CCATCTTGCGCTGGCCGGGGTGGGCGTGTGGATTGTGGACTGTGGATGGATGGACTTCGACCTGCCTCCTCTTCTTTTCTCACCACCGAAAACAAAACCTCCCCACGCCCGTCTTCTTTCTTTTCTTTCTACCTCTCACGACTCCACCAACCACCTCCAATATTCCACCTAGGACAGCCAAAGAGGCGAGGACGGTAAGCCAGACCGACTTCTTCTACGCCTACGCTTCCCAATGCCTCTTCACCACCCTTCATCCTCTTGTTTTATGCCCTAGACCGCCTTCAACATACAACATCCATATCTCCCCGTCTCCCCCATCATTCCTCTCCTGCATCTCCTCTGCACAAACCGCCCCCCTCTTATACGCCAAAAAGCTCTAGCTAATGTACCTGCATTAGAAGAGTTTGGGCGAGCTCGACGAAAGAGAACCAGAAGCAAAGAACAGACGGACGGCCAGCACGATCCCTCTCGACTGTGTGTGTGTGTATGTGTGTGTGTTTAAGTGGTGTTTGGTACCTGCCTGGACAGACAGACCTACGTACAAACGGCTCCCGCCGCTTGTTACTCAGCTCCCGATCTCAGCACTCACAAAAAGGGCATTCCCTCGCTTCCCATCGTCACCGTCCTCGGCGCCTTTCGTGCAACCCACCTTCTCATCAAACAAGAGAGACTACCTGGTCTCCTCTCCTGGCACTTCGACAAACGGCGTCGCTTTAACCAGTCAGCACTCTCCCTGCTGCATCTGAACTGCCATTTCGAACAGACAAACCAAACCAAACCGGCCTACGAACCCACCCTCAGATGCTTCCAGCGTAGAAGCTTCTGATTTTTAACGACTGCTTACGACGACTACGACCGTCCTGATCTGTATTTTTCACAAAAAAAAAGGAATCATCGAGCTGCACGGACTTGTAAAGTTTCTTTAGCGCACCACCTTCACCGCCGGAACCCTTGCGCAATCATTGCGAGCCGCCGAGACTCTCGTCTGCTCTTCCCAACGCCTTTGCATCACAGGTCGTTGGACAAATCCTTTTGGCACAACAACTTCGACAGAGCTGGACGCCTAGGAAGAAACGCATTTTCTTCCTCACGTCTGATTCTCTGCCTTGTAGTCACGAGTCTTGCTCGGTGACTTGCACTCCACTGATCATCCTGGTGCTTGGTGTAGGAACCTTCGGGGCAAAACCGTGAAGCTGGATCTACCGTCGATTGCCCAAGTGCAAACCCGGGGACCGACCGACGTGTCGTATTACAACGCTCACGCCGCTCAGAGGCCGCTGTACATGAACAGCGAGAGAATCCCGTCTCTGCCATTGCCAACTCCGCATCAGGCGTACTCATCCGGTACTTCATCTCCCCGGGTCAGTTCCATCGGCTCTGCTTCAAGCCAACACGCGGGCTCGCAGTCGTCCTTCACGTCGGCCGCATCTTCCAACGGCCCCAAGACGCCTTCTCCCACCTTGCCCATTAACTCGGCGATTCCTGGATCTTCGAGCCAATCCATTGGTGGATACGATCACTACCCCGCCATGAATCAACCTGCAGCCGATATGTACTACTCGCAGCATATGTCCGCCGGCCAGGCGCCGCCGCCCCAGACTGTGACCTCCGGCAACATGTCCTACCACCAGCCTCCGCCGTTGCAGCCGAGCCATTTGCCTCAGTACACTCAACAGACCCAGTACGGCCAGCCGTACGGGTATACCAATGGCCTGACCTCGCCCCAGAACGCTCCTCCCGCTGTGAACAACGGAATGGGCGGCCAGAATGTCCTTCCTCTGCCCGGTGTTTCTACCCAGGGCTTCCAGGGCTTTGACACGACTGGCCAGGTAGCTCCCCCGGGCATGAAGCCGAGGGTGACTGCTACTTTGTGGGAGGATGAAGGAAGCTTATGCTTCCAGGTAGAGGCGCGAGGAATTTGCGTTGCGCGTAGAGAGGGTGAGATTGATTCGCCGTATCGCTGACCGCCTATCGCATTGCTAACACTACATCAGACAATCACATGATCAATGGTACTAAGCTGTTGAACGTTGCGGGGATGACCCGTGGCCGTCGTGATGGAATTCTCAAAAGCGAGAAAGTGAGACATGTAGTCAAGATTGGCCCCATGCACTTGAAGGGTGTTTGGTGTGTTCTACGTCCCATGTCATCTCACCGTATTTTTCACTAACAAGCGAACAGGATCCCGTTCGAGCGGGCCTTGGACTTTGCCAACAAGGAGAAGATCACCGAGCTGCTCTACCCCCTCTTTGTCCACAACATTGGTGCTCTGCTCTATCACCCTACAAACCAGACCCGCACCAACCAGGTCATGGCCGCTGCCGAACGCCGCAAACAAGAACAGAGTCAGATGCGTGGCGCCCCCCAGACTGGAGGCCCTGGACTGCCATCTATCCAGCAGCATCATCACCACTCCATGGGTTTGCCGGGGCCTCAGCAGTCTCTGCCGTCGCATGCCAACATGGGCCGTCCCGCTCTTGACCGGGCTCACACCTTCCCTACACCCCCAACTAGTGCTTCCAGCGTGATGGGTGGCAGTATGGGCACTTCTGACAACGGGTTTCAATGGGCTCAGTCCCAAAATATGGGTACTGCTCAAGCCCAAAACCCCATGTCTATTGACACCGGTCTGAGCAATGCGCGCTCCATGCCTGCGACACCGGCTTCAACGCCGCCAGGTTCGACCATCCAGAACATGCAATCGTACCAGCAATCTGGCACGCAACAATATGACAACTCGCGGCCCATGTATAACCAGTCTGCTCAGCAGTCCCCTTACCAGACTACCAACCAGGCCCCGCAAGATCGCGCTGTCTACGGGCAAAGTGATCCGTATGCCAAGAACGACATGGGTCCTCCGTCAGCACGACCCGCCACCTCTGGCGCCCCTCAAGATCAGAAGCCCACAAATGGCATCATGCACCCCGATCAAAGTGCTTCCCAGCCCGCCGGCGAGGAGGAGGCAGAGCACGAGCACGATGCCGAGTACACCCACGACAGCGGCGCTTACGATACCAACCGTGGGTCCTACAACTACTCTGCCCCCGCTGTTGGAACGCTTCCTGCTGAACATCAGCACCTGTCTCCCGAAATGACAGGCTCGCCTGGCCACCCGCCCCCATCTGGTCGTGCCACCCCTCGCACCGCCGCTGCACCCCAGCCATACTACTCCCAGCAGGCTGGTTACAACACCCCCCCACGTGTCGCCCAACAGTCGTCCAGCAACCTGTATAATGTAATGAGCAATGATCGCGGTTCGGCTGCCGCGGGCGCCAACGATGTCTATCAGCCTCAAGCAGACATGGGTCCCATGTCAAACGGCTACCCATCCCAGATCAATGGCTCCTCCGGTGGCATCAAGCGTGGCCGTGACGACGACGACGATCTGCAGCGCCCGCTCAGCGGTGGCGGCATGGACCTCAAGCGCCGCAAGACTTTGATGAACTCGGCTGTTCCTGCTTACGACACCATGGCCCGAGCTGCTCCGGTGATGACTCAACAACCTCAGCGAAGGTAACGGTGACCTTGAGCGACACTAATTCCAGCCACTGCCTTTCGTCACTTCGTTTGAGGGCGTTTTGCGGCTATTTCGGTGCGAGGCATGATCAGTTACGAAAATCTGATGTGATGATCTTGAAGCATTTAAATGGGGCTTCTCGGCACTCTTTGCACACCATTTTTCCTATTTGTCTTTTTATTCGCGAGACGACTCATCGGCATCGACGATCCCCAGGAGACGACGCTGACGAGTTGACGATTTCTCATTCCTTGTTTTTAAACGCCCGTCATGGCTGTAGATGCTGATGATTGACGCCTTGCATGGAGGAGGACTTAATCCTAAAGACTTGATCATTCTTCTTTTTCCGGATCTTGGCAACATACACGAAACAGCATGGTGGGGTTGGGTACCGCTTGCTTTCCCGTTATGACACTCGGGCAAAGCAGCATGTGAACACCACCTCGGGGGACCGGCCGTTAACATCACCGACATTTTTCCTTTGCTTCAGTTTTGAATACAGTGGAGGATCATCTGGTAACCAGTGTGTGCCAGGAATGGGGGATAGGATGATGACCTTATGACGACTCTTGTTCCTTTCACAAAAGTGTGAGACGTATGTTGGAGAATGTCTCTTTAGGTAACGACTTGATGAACGGAAATAAAAAAAGCTGTTGCTGCTTCATAAAACATAGATCTAGGGATCTTGAAGCCTCTATTTCGAACTGTGCATCGTGAATAAGAGCTTTCGTGAAACACAGGAAATGGGCTGTGGAATTGTTTGGCTGAACAGGAAAGCCGGTAAGCTGATGTTCTCAAGACAACTACTGCAAGTCAAGTCCTCTGATATCAGAGCCCCGACGAACTGAAGAGGTACCGGGAATGAGCCTGTAGGCTGATGTAAATGCAGCCATGAGATTGCTTAACATGATCCCAGACAAACGATGCGGGTAGCAGACGTCACTCTGTTTATCATTACCGGGGAAAACGTTTGTTGTACAGACCTGGAGAAAAGCCAGGCTTGTGCCTCTCTACCAACTTTGACAATAGGGAACAAATTTGAATACTGGCCCGGCCAACTTCGTTACCCAAGTCTGCCTTCGCTATGTGAAATCAGATTGTGTGCTGAATAACATCGAGTGCTGCGTAAGGGTAAACGGCTAAACCCCGGCCCGTTTCGCCCCCACCATCCAAGGTAAGGTTGTTGACCATTCGCCCAAGGTCGCACCCGCACTTGGAGGCAGGTACCCTTGCGATGCTGGACTGCAGCTCTACGAAGTACTCGAGCTCAACCCAGAGCGCCCATCTTGAACAAGATTGCATCCTAGTCAGACTTGTGCCACCCATTCCTTCCCTTTACTTGATATTTGGAATCAAGCAATTATAGATACGGCAATTAATGGTGACAAATACTCTGATATTGTCTTAACGGTGCGACGGCATTATTCCACCAATTCGACCTGCGATACCACAAACGAACGAGACCGAGCGACCGAATCAGACAATGGCCACACCGACCCAGATGAAGCACGCGGCTTCGCAGCAGGGCCGGACCCCCTCGCAACTCACCGCAGCGACCCCTCCGGTGTCGACACCATTCTCGGTGTCGCAAGCACATGCAGCCTTCTCGCCCAGAGGGCCCAAGTCGTCGCCTCAGCAGTTTAAGAAATCGCCCGCGACCTCGACCACCCTGATGGGCCACCCTGCGAATGGCGCCCTCAATTTCGACAGTCCTTCTGCGGCAGCTGCCATGGGCGCGCTTGGTATAAGCGGTGGACTAGACATTGGGCTGGATCATGTCGGCGTCGGAGGGTTCGGTGGCCTGGGAGCACTGGGCAGCGAGGACGACAAGATCAAGAGACTGGACGGAGTCATTGAAATCCTCGGGGTACGTCAACAATCCTCCCATTTCTTCTCGGACGGAAGTTGACCGATTCCCTTGTAGAAGGCGAAAGGACGAGTCAGCGAAGCCGGGCTCGAGCGACTTACGCTCAGAACAGGTCTTACTAGTATGTGGGATGAGCATAGGTCGCCCGACGGCAGAAAGACGAGGATGTTGGTCATTGCCGGTCAGGCTTTGACGATTGATATCGAGCTGAACAACAACATTGTGGAGAGCGTCTCGCTGGGCTTTCCGGAGTCGGGCCCCATCGTCACGAGGCACAAAGACCGGGCCGGAAACATCCTCCTCAAGGACCTGCAACTTCGCCCCGACCAGAGCCCGTTGACCAAGACGCTAGAAAAGTTCTCTGCAAACCTGGAGCGGCTGGCAAACCTTGACAAGCTGAGCGTCATCCCCGGACTAGACTGCCAGGAGGCCCTGGCTGGCATCTTTGAGAGTCTTGAGAGGCTCCATAAGTGGGAACTGTCGAAGCTGCGGGAGGACCCTGCCCTGAGCGGCAAGCCAGACCGGTTTCTCGAGATAACTGTCATGTGCACCAAGAGCGGTCGACCCATGATGCACACGAGAGACATGGTGGGACTCAGCATCGAGTATTGGACCGAGAGACGCCATGTCATTCCCAGAACGCCAGAAACGGCGCGCTACTGCGAGAAAATGGAGAAAGTATGGTCGATTCTCATAGGTTGCAAGGCGATCGATGGTAACATGTTCCCTCCAGTCCGGGTAACAGAGAACTGGATTTCCCAAAAGGTGGAAAAGGACGAGCCTGGACCTGAAGACATTCTCGTTGCAGCTTCTGGACCGGCCCTCGACTGGCTGGAACCGGAGCCCACGACGCTACCCCAGACCGACGACAACAAGGAACCGGGTATCGACGTGGTGCAGCCAGATGGCACGACGCACAAATATCCAAATGTCAAGTTTGTAGCCACGCTCACCCCTTCGGTGATCGTGCCACAATCAGTATGGAACACGCTGCATACCCTCACAGGGGCGCAGGCGCAGCCTATGCCTCTGCCCACCTACACGTTCGACAGTATCTCGTTCCCAATACCCGAGGGTATCAACCACGATGCGAGCGAGCTCCGCGTCATCTCCTGCAAGAGAAGGGTCCAGGTCCCCGGCGACGGCGACACCGTACCGTGGCGGAAGCACAAGAACACGCTACTTATCTACAAGCCCGTGTATGGCCAAACCGTGACGGACCTCTCCTTCTCGCACCCGCGGCAGCTGGTGGCAATGCTCCCCATCCTTCGCCAGTATGCCTTTATATCAACCTTGCTGGAGAGAAGCTTCGGCTCCAAAATCACCGGCGAGGCCGTACCGGAGGTGGACGATTCCATCGTCATTAGTGATACCACCACGACGCAGGCCGAGTACGACAGGTTCATGTCCCAGACCTATGATGCCGACGAGCAGGAGCTTACGCTTGACGTGGTGCTGACTGTCCATCCATCGGCCGGCCTCCACGTCGTTTTCCCCTTCCGAAACGCCACAGCCAACATCGACCTGCAGATACAGCAAAACGGGGTGGTTCACGTGGTGTCACAAAACGTTGTTCCGGCCAACGGCGAAGACGTGGCAGAGACGGACAAGGGCAAACATAGGCAACTTACCCCGCAGGACCTAGGCAGATTGCTTGAGGTGATGGAAGATCTTTGCTCCTGGGCGGAATGGATCCGGAAGAACCTATCTTAACTCCACGGGCGCCGATGAACCGTTGTCTTTGTGACGCACCCCCGAATGGTATGACGCCTGGATATTGTTTGGTTTTCTTTTTGTTCTGTATAAGTGATACCCAGAGAACCTTCTATTCCTCCCTGGACGACATCACCGGAGCCCGGCTGAGCCGTTATTTATTTTGGCAGGGAAAGGGGAGGAAGGTTCAGTCTCCAATGGATACCATTTATGGTAGTAGGGTGGGGGGCGGGGAGGTGGATTGCATGAGAGTAACACAGGTTTGCCGTCATGTCTGTGGCGTTGGGCTTCTGGGAAGATAGGCAGGGCTGCGGTCCCGTCCACGCTTGGTGAGCTGTCTGCCTGCCTGCCCAACTGTCGAGAGAGTCGTTCAAGCAGCTTTTGAGGCCGGGCAAAGGTAATGCGGAACCACTTGGTGCGTCGACAGTTAGCCTTCATTCTCTGGTTCATGTTAGTGTCAGCCCTCGGCCTACGAGAAGGCTGAAATCGAAAGAGGAAAAAAGGAGAATCACGAGTTGGTTATGGCTACGTCCTCTTGCACCTGTTTGGTTCCACTAGTGAAGCGCTCTCCCCCCATGGGTGCGGAACGATCGCTGGCGTTGGTTGTAGGTATCGATTGATATGTGCGCTCTGCCCTTGCCGAACCCACTGTGACGTCGACGTCTTCCGGTAGTCCGATTGTTGTTGACTCACATACTGCTTTCTTCGATGTTTGGGGGGGATGACCCAGAATGACGATACTGGCGATGATGACGAAATTTGGGCATCTACTATGTATTTTACAACCACGGACTACTGTACCCGGGGACCCTGGTGTTTCGGATGCGCAAAGTAGTCGACTCTTTCAGGCGGAAGTTGGAAGGCCTCTCTCTCTCTCTCTATTTCCTTCCTCCTTTTCTTTTTCTTCACTGTATTTGATTGTTTTATTCAGGATGAAATTTCAATAGCAAAGCCCAGGGTCGAGAAACCGCAGGCTGTGCAGGCTCGATGCCGGATGAGGTCCCCTCCCGGCCCGCCGAACTACTAAACTCGACATGCCAACTGCGGTCCTAACTGCGGGTTCCCCTTCCTCCATCCGGGTTCAATACCTACGATGGCTGCATGTCTCGATCTCGCGCGCACGGCGGCAAAAAAGGACCGTCCGTCTCGCGGGGGTCTCGGGAGGCATGTCGCAAAACATTTCTTGACGCAATGGAACACAAATAGTCGGATGCCCCCCCCCCCGCGCTCCCCTTTCTCGGACGGGAAGGGAGATGAGGCAGAGGGAGAAGAAAAGGGTGGATTGTCCGGCCATGGCTGGCTGGTTAGCCTACCTAGGTACCCTAATTACCTACCGTTCTTCCACTGTTGAAGCCTTGGTGATTCACCTTTGCTTTTACGTGCGATTGCGCCGGGAGCTTAGCCACTATAAGGGCTACCTACAGGGGGTTTAGTGCAGTAATTGGATGCCATGTTTTTCTTTCCCCCGCCGGCGTCATCATTTCCTCACGTATTGAGGTTTTTCGTCCTTGATACCGTGGTCTGCCGGTTTTCTTTTCCGATCTCCTTGTCCGTCTTGGTTGTCTCTCCAGCATAAATGCGCCGCTCTTTCCAGAGACGACGGGCGGCGGTCCGATGGCTCAAGCGGGTGCTGGCCTAGTTAGATTTCCCGCGTTTCCTTTCTTCTGCCCATGCACTTCGTCACCTTTTGCGGTGGGAGTCTGTGCTGTCCCCGTGCTATCCTATGCCTGCCCTGCCCTGCCTGCCTCAGGAGATCGAAAGGGGGGCGGACGGGAACCACAGAGGGTCGAAGAGGGGGAGGGGAGGGGGAGGGGAAGGAATGGAGGGGGTCGATATCGATAGGGGAATAGCCATTGTCATTGACCGAAAGTCAATAAACAAATAGATAAGTCAACAAGACGGCTCGAAACAAAACACGGAGAACCTGCCCTGTTCGACGAAGCGAAATTGGCGGAGATCGTAGGGGTTGCTGGATATTACTTGATTAGACCCAGCAGCACTCCGCAAACTTGTCAAAAGAGGATGGGTGCCATCTTTACCCGTGCCTAGGTGTCTACCTTCGGCTTTCCGGTCTTGCCTTGACGGCAGCATCGGAATTAAATCTGAGTGGTGAGAATCCGGAGGCCAATCCGACTCGTCGGTCTGTAGGTCTGTGTGTCCCCGATACCATGCCGGGAATCTGCGATGCTGCATCGTATCAGAGATTTGACAACCAGAAAAGCGTCCGGCCGGTCCACTTGTTTTTTCCAACACTCCCAAGGTCAGGGGATCGTGTCATCCCATCTCTTCCTTTCTTCCTGTTCGTGTTCCGGTTCATATGCAATATTGGTGTAACCCTTGGCTGACACTTCGACTTTTTGGCTTGCATTCCCGCCCGTTGCCCCCCTTGTAATGGAGCAACGAATCTTTTCCTGGCGGCGCCCGCTCATCCTTCTTCTCCTCTCAGCCCGGGAAGAACTTGACTGTCTCTTGCAAGCTGCCTCTGCGCTGTCCGCCGACTCCAGTCAGGGTCAAAGAGCGTCCGAGCTTTTGAGGCAGGCTCGAACCGCCGCCTTAAGCTCTTCCCGCCACTGTGGGCCGAATTAGAAGCGTGGTCCTGACCTGACACTGAACTCCCCTCAATGCTGCGGGCCCCGTTTTATTCTTGATCTTTCGCGGTCCATTGAAGGAGGAAACCCAGTCGATGGCCTAGAAAAGCCAAAATGAAGAAGAGAAAGAGAAACACCGGTTTCTTCTCAGAATGAAAGTAGTGTAAAGCCGCTGTCGCGCCCTATGCGTCTGAGCTTTCCCGGTGGTTCATTGTTCCGAAATCCCCCACGATGGGAGACAGAGAGAGAAAAGAAGAAAAAAAAAGACGACGAAGGAGTGGCTTCAGGCGTCTCAAGTTGTCAAGGCCGGCCAGCTCATCCGGTCTCTTGACTTTCTGCCGCAAATAATCTGGCACCTAGAAATGACTTTCAAGGTTGTCTCGGCAAGCTCAGTGCACCTTCCGGCGTCGGCCCCCAGATTATGATCAGATTATGATCAGATTATGAGTGGGAAGCAACGCAATGCAGCACTGCGACCAGAAGCATGAATTCGTAATATTAGACGCAATTAACCACTAAGCTTGCTGCTTTCCCCATTGAGGCATGAGGGATGGATGGCCCGGGAGATTGGGGAGGAAATCAATGAGGCAAAGCCAAACAAAAGCTGTTGACTGGTTTGGTGGTCATGACGGTGGTGACGGTGGCGACGGACGGTGGTGGTGACCTCGGCCAAAATTGGACGAGTGTACATACAAGAGGCAAGAAGGTACCTCGATAGTAGGTACCAGTGTTGACGAAGTATTTGTTTTGTTGGTGTTGTGTTTTTGTTTTGTTTTAGTTCCCGGTGGTGGCTTGTCGCGTTTGTTTAGGGGCCTGGCTCATGGATCAGCCGCTTTCTATTTTGAACGCTGAGCCCACCTTCCCCCGCCATGCCCGCTGACAGACAGTCGCCCAATTGTGGCCACTCGTCCTCGGCCGACTGGTGTAAGCCAGCAATGACGACTTGGAAAGACGAAGAAGGAAAGATGGAAGCGGCTCGCCGCGTCTTGACGGAGTCCAGATGAACAAGTGGCAGACTTATCGTGGCTTCGAGACCAGGGGTCCTTTTGCACTATGCAGACTGCAGCTGCTACACTACTGCAGAGTGACTGTGACCGTGACTGACTGGATCTGATCAGGGCAAATGAACAGGGGTGCCGAGACTTCTTCTTTGGGTGAAGATGGGTGCCTTTCCCCTCGGATGGATGTAAGAGCGCAAGCCTCGTTTCCTCGCCCTGGCCTTAGTTGGACTATCGCTTGCCGCAGGTAGCGCAACGCACAGAACAGGGGAAAAAGACGGATCCGTACCAATGTGCCTGTGCCTATGCCTGTGTCTTGACGGTCGTGTGTGTCTTTCTGTCTCCAGAACCTACATACCTATTCATCTCCCTTGTTGTTTTGCCCATATTTTCCATTTATCGAGGGAGGACTGCATGAGACCTCAGACGCGTGGGCGGGACCCTGCAGGCAGAGGGAGATGCATCCAATGAATGTCGGCGGCAGCCCCCCATAAGCGTCCCCTGGTCTAGAGTTGGGGTCCCCTGGCTCTGCTCTTCGTACACATCACTGCCAGACCGTTGGGTTAGGTAGTGATGTCAAGGTTGGGAAGAGGTCGTGGATCTGTGTGGTGTGGACCTTTGCGACATGTTAGAGTGTGATAACGGAGGACACAAGACACAGAGTCCATGGTCGGGCCCCAACGCGAGAGACCAAGACATGTTGTGGCCTCGGGATTCTTCAGTTGAGACGTCTGCATGTCTAGACCCGGGTGACGAGATTTGTTTTCCTCGATCCAGGACCTGCAGCTGCTACCTGACGTCTCTTGAAAGGCCTCAGCCTGGGTCTTGCTCTAACAGACCAACCCCACTTTTGAGACGCGGAATCACGTGAAAGCTAGCTTGTTTTGGAAATATTGTAAACAACACACGCCACGCGCGCCATCGCGAAAAGCACCAGCACCCCATAATCCCACCACACACACTTTCCACTTCTCGCTCTTCCCCCCCCCCATCTCCTTCCCGTTCCAGTGCACTCTGTCCAGTCACGTCTCGCCATTGACCGTAAGAGTGTCCATCCTGACTGCGATCCCCCGGCTTGAGCGTACCATTCTGCCTGCCCGCCCACCTGGCCTGCCTTGCCCATCCCATCTTCCTTCTCTCTCTTACTCGCCGCCGGCTCGCGCTGCGCTGCACTTTCGCACTTTCACACCCGCACCCGCACCCGCTCTCTCGCGCACACAACCTGACGCACACACTCACCGCGCATCGCATTCCCTCCCCCAATTCGTTGCGCCTACCTCTCTCTCACCCTCACCTCTCCAAACTTTCTCTCCTCTTTTTGTTTGGTGTGTTGTGTCCATCTCCAGCGCGTGTTTCCAACTTTTTGGACCCCAAAGCAAGTCACCTCGCACCGAGGAACCTTTTCGCCACCACCCGCGCGCGCATCTGATACCCCCGACCACCACCTAAGACGAAGAAACTGTCTACTATTCCTTCATGCGATGACTTGAACGAGCCATCTGCCGATCACGAATCGCGACTAGAGGGGAATGGAGAAGCGAAGCAAAACGCATACCTGAACGTTCCTGCTTGCCAACCACCCAGGCCTTAGCGCCATGCAGTAGATGCACTTGCGCTCCCGTCCCGTCCCTACTCTCGCCTCGCTTTGCCCTCATCCTGTCTGGGCTCTCTCCCTCTTTTTCTTTCAGCCTTCTTTCCTGCAACATCGCGCCCACCTCCATCACTTTACCAAGAAAGAGGGCGCCCTTCCCCGGCTGACCAAGGCCACATCGCCTCGTCCACGTGTGACCAGCCAGTCCTGGATACTTGGACCCCTAAACACGTCCCATTTTCATTACCATCTTGGGCCAAACAACGCCCTCCAAGCATTGACGATAATAAGCACGACCTTGCACACCAGGTAAAACTGTGCTTGCACAGTCGGCATCTCTCCGGTTCTCGCTATCTGCGGAAAAGACAGAAACCATTACGCGCCATACCCTCCAGCCTCTCTGTATACCTCCATCGATCGCGCCTTTGGCTACCGCCTACCTACTCCCCTAGGTTCCTCAGCGAAACAGTATACGACGACGAATACCAGCGACAGATTGTTTGGAAGAAGGATTGCTTCATCCCTTGAGCCTACACCATATCACATTGCGTGACGCGCCTCTTTGTATTTCGACAGCGAACAAAACAACCACAGAACTTCCAAAGGAAGACAACCAGCTAGCGCGGCACAAAGCAGACAATCACAATGTCGTTCTCCAACAGCAGTGGCGGGACGCTCACTGTTCCCAGCCCCACGCACGTCCACCATGCCGACGTTCTTGCATCATCAGTCAGGAGCCTCCGACGCTCCCTCTCAAGATCACCATCCAAGTTCAGCCTGGCGCGTACAAGCTCGCCAAGCTCTGAGAGTTCTCACAGCGGATCCCACACTCCTGTGCAGCAGCAATCGCCTTGCCGACGATATACGCCAACCCCGACCCCTCCCAGCAGCAGCCACGACAACACTACCGCCTTTGGGGAGTCATTCCAAAGCCACACCCCAGCGGGGCTCCCTCACTCGATGACCTCGACGACGCCTTTCAGCTCCCCACCAAGCCTCGCGACACCCTTTCGCCCCAACGTCCGCCTTTCTCTACGTTCTGCAAAGACCTCCAAGGCAACCGGCAGCCCCTCGAGGCCGGCTACCCGACTTCGGACATCGCCCAAATCCCCCCTCAAGCGCGCGCTGAGCGCTACAACAGAATCGGGGGTAAATTCCACCCCTTCCTCATCTTCAAGCTCGGAGGCCTCGGGCCAGGAAAATAACCAATCTTCTGCACAACAGAGCCCGCATTCGCGATCGTCCGCCCAGAAATCTCGCCATAGCCTTCATCTAGACGTATCAGGCCACGCCCAGCAGACGAATATTTTCAAGCATCTGGAAAGTAACGGTGATTCGCAGGGAGCACCAGGGTCGGGCGCTCTCAAACGCAGCGACGCCATCATGAACCTGGACCAGGCGTCTCTGGGCAGCCCCGTCGCGAAACGACGGAGTTTGCACGGCATTTCAAATTTTGGTCAAAACACAACTGATTTCAACATTTTCGATAACACCAGCAGCACCACGAGCAAGACCAATTTCGACATCCACGACGAAGCCAACCGGGAGCGCGAGTACGAACTTTTCGGTTCAAGTCCTGCTGCTCGGGAGCCTTTTTCTTCCCCGACTCCGCCTCCCCAGATCCCGAGAAGAACTGGATCGCTTCGACGGTCGACGCTTCAGCAAAGACAGCACGATCGAAGCTCTTGGGGCCGGAAGTCTGGTGCGAATCACCTTGCTCAAATGGCCGGTGAATTCTCTTCTCCCAATCTCAAGAATCGGCCGCGTCTTTCGATGGATCAGTTCCTCCCTCCCCAGCTCCCGCGGGACAGTCCATTCACCTCCAACGGGTCCTTGCCCAACCCTTCAGCCCACCCTATTGACCGACCTTTCCATCAACCTCACCCTCTGTCTAAGACGCTAGTTACTTCCACGTCCGGTAACAACCTCGAGGAGCAGAACAACAGCATGCCTCCTCCTTATGTCTTTGAGAAGCCACGAGCTCCTCTCAGCTTTGCCAAGTCTATGCCTTACGGATCTTCTCGACCCTCGTTTATGCAGGAAGAGGGCGAGAATGTTACGCCTTTCAAGGCAGCCAAGCCGTGGGCGGGGGCTTTCATGTCAACTGGTCTTGTTTCCAAGGTGAATCGCAATCCCGAGGAGGACAACAAGTTGACGATGCCCGATACCCCTTGCAAGAAACCCACCAACGGTTTTGCAACTTTCCCGCCTCCGCCTGGCAGTGCCATCAAGAAGAGCAACCGCTACTCTTTTGGCGGCATGCCCTCGACGCCCTTCAACGCTCCAGGGGCTCCATCTCGCAGCACATTCGGCAATCCCGGAAAAGGATTGGGTATCTTCCAACGACTTGGATCGCGTCATGCGCGCCGGGGCAGTGTCTTGAGCTTGGATGACGATAAGAAATTTTCCCTCGACACAAACTTCAATGTCGGTCCGGGGGCCGAAACTGATGCCCCTCCGACTCCTACAAAGCAGGGTCTTACGCCCAGCTTAAGCAATCTGAGTGAACGGAGCATCGAGAGCCCCAGCGCCAAAAGGTCGCTTCCGCCCCCCATGTCTGCGGTCCGGCCAATGATTTCCAGAGAGTCTACTGGTAAGTGTGCTTCCCAGGAGCGGTCTGGCAACGAGGATGACAGTGACTCGCCGAGCCCTCGGTTTGGTCCTGCTATCTCGCCCACTAGCAGACTGTCTTCTTCCCAGCATTTTTATTTGCCGTCATTTTGTCGTTCCAGAACGGCAAGGGGTCAACTTGACCCTGCGGCTTGCGCTTATCAAATGAATCTGTTGGCTAAGAATACTACTCAAAACACAGCTAGCCCAGTGGAACAACGCTCCCCGCGAACTCCCTCAACTCACGTTATTCTTCCCGATGCCAGCTGTCTATCCATCTCCAATCCTGCCGAGTCTCAGAGTACCACTACTCCAGTCACGCCGTCAGGACGCGACTCCTTCCAAAGCACTACCACACAGCTTATGACTCCCGTCAATGCCGGTCGTGGCAATGCAGATGTCGATGACTCACTTTACTCTCGCTTCGACAAGGTCGAGATGGTCGGCAAGGGAGAATTTTCCTCCGTCTACCGCGTGGTCAAGGCCGGATACTCTCGCGCCTCCTTCCTCTCTGTCTTTAGTGGAACACCTACGAAGAACCCGCGCGAGAGTCCCGAGCCCGACCGCATTTACGCCGTGAAGAAAGCGCGCCGTCAGTTCACGGGCCCTAAGGACCGCCTGTCCAAGCTCAGAGAAGTCCAAGCGCTCCAAGCCCTGACACACGCGGATCACGTTGTCCACTATGTGGACAGCTGGGAGTACAACCAGTACCTTTACATACAGACAGAGTACTGCGACGAAGGTACTCTGGACAAGTTTCTCAGCAATGTTGGTCGTAAAGGCAGACTTGATGATTTCCGTATCTGGAAGGTCATCCACGACATAGGCTTGGTATGTTTATTGTGTTCCCCTGAGTGGGTTGAGGTTAACCAAGAGGCAGGGTCTGCAAAGCATCCACGAAGCCGGTTTTATTCATCTCGACTTGAAGCCGGCCAACATTCTTATTACCTTCGAAGGCATCCTCAAGATCGGCGATTTCGGACTGGCAACGGAGTGGCCCGCCGCCAAGGGTGTCGATGCGGAAGGGGACAGAGAATACATCGGCCCTGAAATACTACGTGGCGACTTTAACAAGCCTGCAGACATCTTCTCTCTCGGTTTAATCACGATCGAGATGGCTGCCAATGTCGTCCTCCCAGACAACGGCCCTACTTGGGTTGCTCTTCGTTCTGGTGATCTCTCTGAAGTTCCTAGCTTGACCTTCAGCGCCACCACTACAATAAACGCTCACCGAGACGCGGCAGGGGTTCCCACGGTGCAGTCGCTTGATGACCCGCTCCTTGGCCAAACCAGTGCTCCGGATATCAGTCTCCACTCGGGTGCTGCTCCTACTCGGGTGAGCGTGATTATGGACGACGAGAGTCCTTTTATCACGCGCAAGCGCACCGAGCTTAGGTCTCCCCCGGATTTCATGAGCGATCCTTTCCATCCTAGCTCTCTCGATCAAATCGTCCGATGGATGATCAGCCCCGAGCCGAGTGAGCGACCAACCATTCAACAGTTGCTATCAACTCCCTCGATGGTATGGGTCGCCCAACGTCGCAGATCAGCTGCGACCGTCTTCGAAGGTGTTTGGGGACCTAGCGAGTCAACCGCGCTCCCCACCTTGGTTGACGAAGACATCGAAATGATGGACGTCTAAGCACGCTCCATACATATATATATGCCGCACCAGTCGGCTTGGAAGCTGCTCACCACTCTGCACTCTGGCAAAGAGTGCGTAGAGCCCTCAACGCCTCGTCTGGATTGAACAATTCTGGCTGGATCACTCGAGGTGGATGCACCGAGATGCAGTCTGAATTCTGGAAGATGGCATCGAAATGCGAGCCTGTGCCTCGCAGTCTATGACGACTACTGAATACTACTTTAATATGGCGGCGTTTGACTTACGACATGACGATGCTACGGCCCAGCCCTACGAGGAGTTCAACAAGGTCTCCTGCGGATATTGTGTGTTTACGTCCTTTTTGGTTGTACGCTTAACGACATGTCAAAACGACAGATCGTTTAATTCGGCGAACAACTTTTGAGGAAAAGACTTCTCAATCAATATGGCTAGCGAATCATCGCCACAGTTATTTGTTTGAAGGAAATACTGGAAGTCTGGCGGCCTAGGGGCCATGGCTCAACAACGATCGGGCCTTTTTCTTTTGTTATGGCTTCGGCTGATACCAGACTTTCGTGTATAGACTAGATAGATCCGTATTCCTTTTCGAGATGTGTCAGAAACGGCACTGGCCCCGCAACTTATGTGGCGCCGAGTACGAGAGAGGAAAAAAGGGGGAGTGAGAGCCCGGGGGAAAAGGCTTTAGAGGCTTCATTTTCAAGTTCCTCTCTGGATCAAAGCATCATGTGGCAATTGTGGCACTTGAAGAGCTTCGACGGGAAATCGAGGTCACAGGCTGCATTGCGCACAGTTCGCATCATGTACATATGAGTAATTCTGTCAGAGTATGGGCTGGCGATTGGGGACGAAGAGGATAGGAAAAGGGCTTTTCTTTTGTCGTGTGCCTTCGAGCGCACTAACCGCCCTGGTTATGGTTGTTTTTAAGGGTTCTTCTTTTGAGGAATACTGCATGGTAACCGTATTATGCGGACTTACCCGAAGATCAGATAGATCATCTCTTGGCCAGACTGCGCCTGTTCCCTTTGTCATGGGGAGGTTGCGATCTTTTTGGGCTCATGATTCCATGACGAAATGGCATGATAGTTATGAACTTTTCAATTCAAATCAGCCTAGGATGGTCTGTTGCAAAATGACTTGGTTCTTCCCGGACTTCTGATTCCTAGCCTAGAAGCACCTATCTATATCTAGCTTTGATCCTGACTCTTGGGCCTGACACATTAAGGCCCGATACAGCCTGTAATGCAGCAAACATGGTATAGTAAATGATGGGTAGGTAGTTCGTCATTCATAGGGGCTCCCCGGTTCTTCTGCGTAAAAGATCCACTCAATTGAATTTCCCTTCTTCCCACCAGCCACGGTATGCAACGCCTAATAACAATTCGCCTGCGGCATCATGGAACATGCAGTCCTCCCCTCTTCTACCACTCCGAGAAAGAAAACGAAACAGACTTCAAAAGGCCTGAATGAACTGTCTCAGCCGGCATGCCTCGCTTGGCCTCCAAGTGTTTATATTGCGTGATCGCGGCGGCCGTGGGCATTGCTCGTGACCTGTAGTAATTCCACGCCCATTCCAACTCGTTTACAAGCACCGATCCCGCCTCTGCTTCACCTCACACTCTGGAAGTATTCGCCGAGGCCGTCGAGGTCGTCTTGGTCTTCCTCCTCGAGGGTTGGTATACGTCATTGAAGTTCATGGCAACACCGAGGAAACGCATGTCCACGTCAGGCTGATACGCTAGATCGCCTAATAGGATCTGGAGGCGGGAACGGAACGTGGCGCCAAGCTGCCGCAGACGGTCTTGGAGGACGGGAAATTCTGACGCAACGGCCGGGTTCTCGTCCTCGCCGTCCACGCCCGGCTCCGACGGCTTCTTCTGGTGACGGGCGCTGCGGGCCGACATGCGCATGACGTCGGCCTCCTGCCGACGCGTGAAGTCTGAGACGCTCCAGCTGTAGAGGCCGTCAACAGAGTCGCGGTAACTTAGCATGGCGCGCAAAAGGTCGCCGAGTTGAGAAAGGTAAGATGTCCGATCATCTTCGCCCGTCGCCATGTCGGCGTGACGGCTGCGCCGCGCGCCAAGGAGGCCTTTGTGGGTGATGTCATTGAGGTAGCGAGTATGAGCCTTGATGAGATCGTCTAGCGTGCATCCTTCGCGATGAACGCGCTTCTGGAGTTCGTTCCATGATGACTCGATGACCTCAAACAGGATGTAGTATTGGAGTTGGCCGATAAAGTGAATCATCTCCGCAAGGATTCCACGGGTTGACTTCCAGGTTTGTACGACGACTGGGTCAGAGTTCTGGAGCACCCCACGCGAACCTGTCATACACTTGCGCCAAGTCGAGGCCAGGGCAAACTCGACACGCTTAATGCGCCACAGAAAGTTGAAGACTTTGAGGTATTGTCGGTTGCCCCAGTCCGTAACCACGACATCCACTGGAGCATCAACTTTGTATTCTAGCGTGAAGCAGTCCCATCCAATGTCGCCGTGCGATAGCTGAAGCATGCGAGCGTCGAGACGACGAAGAACCTCAGGAGAGTCGTACTGCGCGTTGGAGCCGCGGATGGCATGCTCGAGCTGCGCTGTAAGGGTATGTCGGTATTGTGCACCAGCAGGACGGTCGAGGTTCGCGGCGAGAGATTCCATAAGAAGAGCGATGAAATCCCCTTGTCCGAGAAGGATATAATTCTTCAGGGCCTGAAGATGTTCAAAGAGGTGGAATTTGTTCGCCATGAGGTCGATGAGACGCTTCATCGTCGTCTTGTACGCCTCATCAATCCAAGCCTCAAGCGTGGCAGTATCACCGTAACGCAATTCCTTTGAAGCCGCCTTGGAGTAGTCCTCAACCCATTGTGAATCACCGCAGCTGTGTCTGATGAAGTTAAGAGACTTGCCAATGAGGAAGACCTTTTGGGCAAAGTCCTGCGTGATGATACTAGGAACCATGTCCTTGTCGATCTCATACTTGTCTTCCCAAACACTGCTACCGCCTGTCTTGGGCTCATCCGTCTGCTTCTGTTCCTTTACAAAGAACTCACAGAAAGGGTCGAGAAGCTCACCATCATAGATCCACCTACGCAGGATGTCGTAAAATGGGCGAGTGACATGGACAAGCAGCCGTTCAGCAAACGCTGCTACCATGGGATCACCATGAGACGATGAAAACCCGTGGATGAGAGAAATGAGCTGGCCGCCTCGTTTGCTCTCCGACTCTTCGGCGATGAGACTCATGAGTCTTAAGCCCATTGTAGCCTCCCGTGTCCATACCACACATCTTTTCAAGGTTACACCTGCCTTTCCAATGCCACCTCTTGGAGCAGATTCATCTAGCGAAGACAGCGCCCTTCGAATCTGGCCTTCAAGACTCGCGACCAAACTGAGGTATGACCGTAGCTCTCCACCTATTGCAGCTCGGATACTTTGCCTCAGCAAACCTTGCGCAGGGGATTTGACGAAGACGTCGAGGTTCCGATACAGTAAGGAGGGCTCAGATACTGTATGCAGGAGCGAAATGATCGGCGATGGTAATGTCGGAGGCAATGTGACAGTGTCTGGTTTCGAGAAGGGCAACGTTGTCGATGACAATCCCTGCAAAGTGAAGGGAAGGTCCCGCAAGAGAACTGTCTCGGAGGGCTCGATCTCGGTGTAATTGTCGGCCAGCAGCGTCGACTTCAAAGCAACCTGTCGCTTTTTCGCGTCAGACTCCTCCAGCTCCTTTTCATTTTCCTTGTCCTTATCTCTTTCATCGACCGACTTGTTCTTGGGATGTTTCGGTGGGAGCTTCTTCAGTCCCTCGGGCGCAAAAGCGTCGTTGAACTGCTCTTCTTCTTGTCTTGAAATCGGCGTGGAGTTTTTGGAGGATTGTTCTCTCTCGTGTTTCCTAGATGGATCGCGCTGCGTTTGCGAAGGGGGGTTTGGCGGAGGCAGAGGTAGTGGTTCGTTGGGGTCTGGCGAGTCGGCGAGCTGGTAAAGGAGGTACAGGATGGCCCATTTCTGGCCCAGCACAGGTAGAGATAGAAGGCGTGTGTAGAGGTTTGAGAAGCGCAGCGCTTGTGTCGGGTTGCTCTGTATGAGCTTCCTCTTTATCAGATCTGAGGCATGGTTGACGTCCGAGGAGATAGCGGGGGACGCGGGGCTGCGGGATGGCTTCGGTCAGTGATTAAGGTACAACAGAGCAGAGGAATTGTATAACCTCAACAGCTTCCGAGACTTACGCTTCCAAGACTGACTTAACCAACTCAAAGCAGTTGTCGTGTCGCTCTTGGGCGGCAGAGTCGTCTTCGTGGGGATCGTTGGGTATCAGGTGTGCGATTAGGCTGTCAACGGCGCTGGCAATGCGATGCTCGCGGTTGGCCGACATGATGGCATCGCTGAGGACTGTTCAGACTCGGAAATGAGGAGGAAGATGAGGCTTTCTCGAGTAGAGTCCACAGAATGAATAGGCGGGTCTCTAACTCGAGGAGAGAATGGCGAGAGTGAGGCTTCGTCGTCAAAAAGGACTTCAAAGTGTGTATCCGTAGCGAATGCAGCCCACTGACCGACGCGCCGGACGCGACTTCACAGTGTTGCTGATGCCAATTGCAAGCAGTCCACAGGGGGCATATGGGGAAGTGGTCAAGGCGCCTCGCAAAGTACCTTGAACCCTCCGGCACCGCACAAATCGCGTACCTTCCTTGGTCTCCTCTACCTCTATTTCTTTCCCAGGCTCGGTCCTCCCCTGGCATTTGTCGTCAGACAAAATTTCCATTGACAAAGCAGTGCAGCAACTCTCAATCGCATCCCGTCTTCCTCCACTACCCGCAGTCGAGAGAGACCGAGACAGACCCCGACTGCTGGACCTCACCTCCGACCTTCGCCATCACGCCAGCGCCCGCAACATGCCCCTTTCATCAAGATAATACCGGCTTCGAGATCGCATCGTCTTCCTCTTTCGTTTTCTGCTGCTCATGAACATATTATTCGCCTTGCGCCTAGTCCTGCCTGCCATTGCTGCTCTCGCGCACGCGACTGTCGCTCAGATCCACTAATACGCCTGGCGACGTGATCTGCCTCTCTGGCATCCCGTCGTCGCAATGCCCGACATCGACCCCGCGGCCTTGAGCAGCCGCCCATCTGTAAATATCTCAACGCCGACGTTGTCTGCCAAGTCCATTACTGTACAACCTCCCGGTTCCCTCAAAACTTCCAAAACAAGCCAGATCATTCCGGCCCGCATTGACCTTGAGCCGCTGTATACCGCTTTGAAGCAGAACATCGGCTCCGAAGCATGGGTCGTATACAAGGAGTCAACGACAGAGTTCCTCATCGGTAAGCAACCCACGAAATTGGCGCATTCTCTTCTCTGATTAGTAAACCCTTTATCTAGGTCGGCTGAACCAGACCGAATACTCGGAACGAATCGATCCTATCCTCGCATCCCCCAATGGCGAAAGGGAACACCTCCATAACCAGCTAATAGCCGCTATTTACGGCAATGTCACGAGAGAGATGCCCGACCAGGGGCTTGCCCCCTGGGTTAGCGCTAACGACAAGCCGACCGCGCCTGTTGGCAGTAAGCCTGTCTCTGGCGATGCTGCAGAGCGTCGACTCAAGGGCGATGTCATGCAATTGCCCACCAAAGACCGTCGGCGCATTAAGGACTTGGCTTCTAACGATGTTGGTTTCCATCCCTTTCTCTTCAAGCCACACCTTTCTGATAGTGATTCTATACAGTTCGATCCTCACGAGACCCTTTCCAACGTCTTCCTCGAAACCCACAGGCGACAGTCCAAGCCGGCCGAAGTCCCGCCCAGTGCTGGAGGCATTGGAGGCATCAACAAAATGAGTATGTGGAACCAAACATGACCTTGTCTTCGAAAGCCAACGCTGACCGGAATGCAGATTTTGACTTGGAGATTCGCAAGCGCTTTGCACAGCCATTGGCCGTGGAGTCAGGCGAATTCCCGGATGCCCCTGTAGTAGAAGGTAGGATGCTGCCTTTCTGCTATGAGGCAGGCCTCACCAATGGTCATGTCCAAGAAGCGCCACACTTCATGTCTGTCGCGACAGAAACGTTCATCAAGGAAGCCCTAGCTGCTATATTCTCCAAGACGAGGAGCAATGGTCCGGGAGAGGGCGGAACCGCTGGTTTCGGCGCCGGTACGCAATGGATCCAAACCCACAAATACCGGCATCAACTTGTGAAAGAAGAGGATGCGGCTTTACGAGGCGAGCTTACCCGTGATAAGAGCGGTCTGTTGCCAATCGAGTCGAAAGCCGCGAGCGAGCGTGGTCCTCTTGGTATGGCAGACGTACGAATCGCACTGGAGATGGCAGACAGCGGCCTGGCACAATTTCCCATCATCAACACGGCAATATCGTATGGATATCGTGAAGGAGAACTCGAAAACTGGCATGATTATACCTGGCTCCCAGGTCTTGAGCCCAGTGGAACCAAGGAGGCAGATGTCCCCGATGTCAAGCCACTGGCTGTGGAGCAGCTGCCGAACGGACACGTCGACGAAATGGAGATTGACTCGGAGCCATGGTGGGACGGCGCAGATCCTCAAGATATGGGCGCGCTTGATTCCGTGCTAGATTCGTGTCTGGCCGTTGGATCATAGTATGGGCGACGGCCAGAACGACCATCGTGGGCTTGTAAGAGAGACGAGCTCTACTCGAAACGCTTCGTTCGGGGTATTCACCCTATATTCAAGGATTGGGGACGCTTGTGGGGCTGGACGAAGAAGCATATTCAAGCTCGACCCCAGAGACACAACGGCGGGAAAGGTAAATAGGAGGGTTATTTTGCTGCCTTTGGATGTCATACCCATCCAGCATAGCCCCATATCAGCATTGGCATCAGGAAAGGCGTCGTTGGCTCTTTTTGTTCTTTGGTCGTTAGGTCTTTTTATTTTTCTTTTGGCTACCCTGACACGAGAGGTAGGAGGGGGGGCGTAGTTGTGCATGCTCTCAACTTCATCATGGAAACAAAGGAGGCGTTCAAGGTTCTTTAGCGAAGGGAGGGTTCTGTACAGTAAGGACGATACCCGATTGCTCGCTCTTCATGGGCCTCACAAGTATGGAAAGGTGGCGAATAGGGTGATTTCATTTAGCGGGGCTTTATAGATGACTTCATGTAACATATATCACAAGCTTCGTCTGTGTGTCATTTGGAGTTTCAAGACTTCGCACCTGCTTCTAGAACTGGCATCCTGTTTTGAAGCTATGTGTGTCATTTTTTCTTGGAAATGCGACTGGATCTAGTAAATACTAGTTGCTTGTTGCTCGTCGTCATCGTCTTTCTACAGCTTCGAAACTGGATCGCCAACTTCCTTCTTGGCCTTTTCTCTGAGGATATTTCGCAGGATCTTGCCGGACTGGTCGAATTGTTAGTCTGCCTGCTTCGAAGGGCGGAAGCAATACTCACAGGGTTCTTGGGGATGGCATCTGTAAACGCAACACCGCCCCTGAGGCGTTTGTGCTTAGAAACTCGTTCCTCCAACCACTTGGCGATCTCCTCGCCAGTGGAATTAGTCCCAGGCGACCGTACAATGTAGGCCCGGGGGAACTCCTCTCCGCTAATTGTAACGCCGATGACGGCGACGTCGGCAACGTCCGACCGCTCGAGGAGAAGTGCCTCAAGTTCGGCAGGGGCAACCTGGTTTCCCTTGACCTTGATAAGCTCCTTCATACGATCGACGATAAAGAAGAGACCGCCCGTCGCGTACTGGTCGACGTATGCGACGTCACCGGTGCGCAGCCAGCGGTTGCCCTCGGCGTCCGCGATGATGGTCTCCTCGGTCGCCTTGGGTTTGCCCCAGTAGCCACGCATGACAGTCGGGCCCGTGACCCAGAGCTCGCCAGACACCTTTGCCTCGGTAATCTCTTGACCGTCCACGCCGACGAGCTTGGCCTGGTAGTTGGGCATGAGCTCGCCAACGGAGGCGCTGCGCACAAGTCGCGCCGTATCCCAAGTCAAGGCAGAGCAGGTGACCTCGGTCATGCCCCAGCCCTGGCGAACGATAAGATCGTCCCTTTTGAGGACTCGTTCCGTCTGACGAGCGACGTCGGCGGCGAGAGGCGCGGCGCCGGAGCCGACGACCTCGAGGCTACTGAGATCGAACTTTACGGTAGCGGGGTTTTTGGCTAAAGCGACCAGGATGGGCGGGACGGTAACGAGATGCGTGATGCGGTAGCGCTGAATGTAAGTGAGCATTTTGACGAAATCGAAGTTCGGCATGATGTAGACTGGGATGCCCTGCTTGGCAAAATTTGCGACGAAGTACGTCTGAGCATAGGCGTGGTAGAGAGGCAGGAAGCAGAGACCGACGGAGCGAGCTACGAAGGCTTCATAGTCCTTTTCCAGAGCTGACACCTTGACGACGCCAGTCCCGTTTGCGACGTAGCTATAGTGAGATATCTCGACGCCCTTGGGCACGCCAGTTGTGCCAGAGCTGTAGTTGAGACAGCACGTCGTCATCTGGGAGTCGGAGGGCTCAACCCAATCGAACTTCTCGGCCTGCACCCTAGGGGCGACCAGCTCGGTCCAGTGGCGGGCACCACCCCGCGCGAGGCTCTCGGGGTTGCTCGAGCCAGGGATCGTGGTGTCGAGAACGAAGACGTTGCTCGCAGGCATGGAGACTTGCTTCGCGGCTTCCATCGCAATGTCAAAGTTACCATCGGCAGTGAGCATGAACTTCGCCCCGCTGTCCGTGAGCTGATACGCAACCTCGCGGGTAACATAGCCCGGGTTAGCACCGGTGAAGATGCCGCCGGCCATCAGCACCCCGAGAAAGATGACAGGGAAGAAGAGGTTGTTGCCCGAAAAGAGCAGGACGCGGTCGCCGGGCTTGAGACCCGCAGTCTGGAGGCCGATAGCGATCTGCTTGGCCATGAGGCGGTAGTCGGAGAAGGTCAGGTAATGGGTGTCTGGTCTGTCGGCGTCATAGAAAGCCTTGCGGTTGGAGAGGGGGTCGAAGGAGGACCCGAATATCCATGTCTGCAGAGAACAGTTCGGAATAGGTTCCGACCATCGTGATTTGATCGGCATATTTGCTGTTCGCTGGGTTGTTTCGTCTTATTCTAACAGTAGCCACACACTTAGGTATGAAGTTCGAAGTCGAAATAAGTGGCAAAAGCGACTTAACAAAGATTGTTGTGCTGGCACGTCGGGGCCTAGAGCGGTTGGTAGATAGAAGTTCTTCTATAGCCCATATACCGGGGAATCTGGACGAAACCTCTGGCCACCGCGCTATGCCCGGCCAATGGCTACGACTTTCCAGCGAAGCCATGACTTGCAACGGATTCATCCAAACCGTGAGGGAACGGCGCCGTCGTGACGTGGGATCACCGCATCAAACCCCTGTTGAATGCGGGGATAAAAGCTGGGGAAGAGACGAGCCGAGGTACGAGCTGCCAGAAAGTTGGGGAAGGAGGGGAGAATTAAGAGAAGGGACGACTACTCCTAATTCCCAAAAGGGTTTGCAAATCGCTTCGGTGTGCTCGAATTTGCCGGCGAAGCGTCACACCATTTGCTAGGAGAAGGCCTAGAAGGCGTATTCATAGAGAGAAAGAGGCGGGCGAAGTGGAGGTTGGATGGAGGTTCCGGCCCCAGAATCCCGCTTGTTTAGAACCTCCAAGATGGGGTGAGCGAGAGTCCATCGGGAGCTCTCGATATCGTTGATTGGGGCCCCGGGCGGCGAAGAAACAAAACACTGAAGTTGGCACTAGTGTAGAGCGTACGCAAGGCAAATGGAACGACAGCCCGTCCACGCTGTGTTCCCCATGAACCTGCACGTGAGCAAAGATGGCAATACTCCCTGATTGGCGGCTCTTGACCGTGCTATCGGTGTCCCCAGTTGGCGATCCGATATTGTGTGCTAGACGATCTATTCGGGAGGACACCCTGTAATCAACGATTTGGTTCGGTCTTGAATTTGGCGTTGGCCTGAATGACGTCCCAGTTTACCCATTGACAGGTCCTCGTCTTAAAGCAATGTTTTACATTTTGAGCTGTCCCCGCCCGAGGTAGAGCTCGGTTGTATGACCAGTTAATTGGATGGCCAACATTGGATTTACCTCGGATCGTTTGTATTGCTCTTCGACTCGCTCCGTACCCTAAACCAATGCTCACCTGGGCTTCTGCAGATCGCCAAGGATCTTGTATAATGAAGTCTGTTTGCATGACTTAATGGCTAGCAACCAAGGAAAGCCTTCAATATGGTAGACGTAATATTCGTACTTTACCTGTCAAACCTCGAAGATATAAACCTCTAAGACATAAACCTCTAAGACATAAACCTCGCAGATATATCCGTAAACCTTGCAGATATGTAAAATCGCTCTGTGATCCACCGACCTTCCTCTTCGCGCACTGCCCCCGGGATTCCCTTCTCGTGCATACAAAGTTGAATCGATTCGCTCCCAGGTAGTATGACCTCGACTAGACGAGATCATGAAGATCCGAAGCTCTTCGATCAGGTGTTCTCATTTCTCACCATCTGACTGCCGAAATGGCATTTGGACCAAAGTTAGGTAGTATTGTATCGGCACTCAGTAAACAGGGCGTGCCGAAAGACATATTTAGTGACGCAATGCATCATCAGCCAATGCCAATGGCGATGATATGGGGCTCGTGATGTCCCATGCTCCTTTCGTGTTTAGATGCTAGTTCTTGGAGTAGAAGTGAAATAATGAGTGCCTAGGTAGTCGTATCAACCAAACGCACGACCCTATGCATAACGTGCAAAAGACTTATGCAAATCTTCCATGACGCTCACCCGCACACAAGCGCCTCTTGTGCATCCTCCGTCCCGCTGCATTACTTAATCAGGTCGTAGCCGGATCGACCAATCATGGCGATGCATTACCCAAGCAGGAGCTCACGACTTTTGAACTTCCCGAATCTAACGGACAGCACAAGATATCCGCAAATCAACCACCCCGTCCGCCCGCTCGCCCATCGTCAATTGAGCAGCCGCCACACATCCCTTGCCATGGCTTCCAGACTCTCACCCCTTCTCTTCAGATCAGCCCTCCGCTCGGCGACGTGTCGAGCGGCGAGGCCCCAGTTCCGCGCTTTCTCCCTCACAGCCGTCCGCCCCAGCGACACACTCCAAGTGGTGAGCACCCCTTCGCCTCTGCCGCCCCCGCTGTCAATTGCTCGCATGGCGAGACGCGGAAGCAATTCCGACACGCGAAGACAGCCCACTTCCAGTCGTTTCGTGGGGGGCAATCGCTAATCATGATTCGCGTCCGAAACAGCACCGCGACTCCCCCAAGAACAACGCCGACATCCCCTTCAAGTTCTCCAAGGAGAACGAGGCCGTCATCGATGAGATCCTCAAGCGCTACCCGCCGCAGTACAAGAAGGCCGCCGTCATGCCCATCCTCGACCTCGGCCAGCGTCAGCACGGCTTCACCAGCATCAGCGTCATGAACGAGGTCGCCCGCCTCCTGGAGATGCCCCCTCAGCGCGTTTACGAAGTCGCCTCTTTCTACACCATGTACAACCGCACCCCCGTCGGAAAGTACTTCATCCAGGCCTGCACAACTGTGAGTTCAACCCTCGCTATGGGAATAGGCACTACTCTTGAAAGAACGTCTTCCCCCCCCTCCGAGAATGCCATGGCCGAGCTGCAGTTGGGAAGCGACTGCAACCTCGTGATGTTGCCGGGCTAGGAAACAGAGAAAATCACAATGTCATCTTTCGGAACAGGGAGTCTCTAACATGCCATCCACAGACCCCCTGCCAACTTGGCGGCGTCGGCTCCGACGTGATCGTCAAGGCCATCATCGACCACCTCGGCATTAAGCAGGGTGAGACCACCAAGGACGGCCTCTTCACCCTCCTCGAGGTCGAGTGCCTCGGCGCCTGCGTCAACGCTCCTATGGTTCAGATCAACGACGACTACTACGAGGATCTCACCCCCGAGACCACTGTCCAGCTCCTCGACGCCCTGAAGGCCACCGCGACCGCCACCGGCGGCGCCGCCGCCGCCCAGGTTCCCAAGCCCGGCCCCATCAACAGCGGCCGCCAAACCTGCGAAAACAGCAAGGGGTTGACAAACCTTACCTCGGAGCCATGGGGCCCCGAGGTGACGCGGAGCGACTTGTGAGAATGGCCATAGACGGGGGAAGGGGCAGAGGAGGCGATAAGAAGGCTTGGCGTGTGCGCGGAAGTCGTGGGAGAACAAGACCCTTCCACGAAAGGGTCGAGCGAACGGGATAGAGCCGGAGGATGGCCCGGTTTGTATATAAAACACTGTGTGCTGTATTCGAAATGCATGGGAGAACGTTTTAGAGCTTCATGGTTCTCTTCTGTTCCTGCGCCCGAGACCGCGGACAATCACCCTAAGCTCATTTTGTTGCGGGCGTAATGATCCTTGCCATCGAACTGTTACATGTATGTCGCTTAACCCAAAATTTTGCAGCGTCTTGATCGTTTGGGGGGGGAAGGGGGGTTATGTTACTACTCTAAACAGCGCCCTTAGAGACAGTGTCTCACTCGGGGAGCCTCAGAATCCAGCCATCTTTCAGTCTTTTATTCTCGGAGCTCAGTCCTCCCCAGACAACAACGCCGGCCTCTTCCACATCTCCCATTGGTGCCGTGGCGAACCACCCGCGCGGCTCCGGCTCGCCATCATCATTGTCGTCATCGTACGGCTCCGTCACAAGTCTCGTCCACTTGCCCTCGCCCGTCGGCCGGCCAATGGCCTGCAACATGGCGTCCCGCACGCTGGCGGCTGTCATGCCGAGAGGCGGGACCTGGAACGCCCACACGTCGTCCCACATTGCGCCAGCGCCGGAGTGGCCATCCGAGCTGGGTTCACGCTCGCCCATAATGAGCAGTAGGTACTCGCGACCGCCACCGACAGTGATAGCCTCGAGTCCCGCTACGCTCCTATTCCCGGGCCATGCCTGACCCGGAATGAGGTGGATTTCTTGCTCGCCGGAATTGGCGCCCTGGATGATGCTCTGCCAGCCGCCGCGGCCGTGGACAGCAATTTCGCCCTTGGAAACGCCGTCGTCGAATGTGTCCATCTCGAGGTGGATGAAGTCAAGTTGCCCACCAATCTCACCCTTGCCATCAAACCCGCCGAAGCGGAACAGGCGGCTCTTGCTGATGGCAATAGCGGCGCCACCGCGCGCGGGACCGGGTGCCGAAGGCAGCTGGCTCCACACGCGGGATCGGACATCGAAAGCCCACAGATCACTGGTGCGCTCACCGTCGGCGAGGCAGCCAGCGTGCACGAAGAAAGTGCCATATCCGTCATCCTCTTCGTCAGTGGCATTGGCGGCAGCGTGGCCAACGATGGGGGCTTGAGGGATGCCGACCTCGGCGCTGTCTCCTTGTGCCCATGCCCTCCAGGTCTGCTTACCACGCGCGTGCTTGGGAGCGAAGTCGCGCGGGCGGTCAGTCGCGGCAGCTGAGTGGTAACTGCGCGGTGATGGCATTGGCAGAATGGTGACTCCAGGTGCGGGCGGCACGGGATCGAGGAAGGACCAAGTGTTGGTTCGAGTGTCAAAGACCCAGACGCGACCCTTTTCTTCGAGAGGTTGCATATCAGGCCCTCCGCGACCTCCAAAGAGGAAGATACGACTGCCGATGACAGCAGTGGCATGACCAACACGGGGAGCTGGAACGTCCCCGAAGGAAGGAGCCTCGGGAAGAGCGGGGCCTTTTCCTTTGTCCAAAGCAATACCCGACGATGTGCCTTCTTGGCCGCCCCCAACGGGAGAGTCATTTCCGCCCTCAATGCCCGGAGAGGCAAGGGAAACCTCGTCGAGAAGCTGCTCCTTCTGCGCGGCCTTCTCCGCGAGGTCCGGAGCTTCGGCCGTCTCTTGCACCGTCTCATCGGTCTTTTTTTCGACGGGCGGAGTATATTGTTTCGTAGGAGCGGACTTGATCTTGTAGTAGTCGGCGCCAGCACTGTTATACGGCAGCCTGATGACGTGGACATCGTTTTCGACCGGCTCGCGGGGGATGATCTCGCCGCCGAAGACGTAGGCAGTGCCGTTGACGACGTTGACAGTGTGGGACGAACGGGCTAGGGCCGGCACGTCGATTCGCTCCCAGGTGGCCTTCATAGTCTTGGGGCCTGCGCCGCTCGATAGAGATGGCCTCTTCACGCTGGGCATGTTGGGCATGGCGGGGAGGTTCTGGGGCAGGGATTGCAGGATCTCGGTCGTCCGACGCTTGAGAGCTCCGAAAGACTCCATGATTGCTCAAATAGGTTTTTTTTTTGGCGTCAGAAATAATTATAGTAATAGTTGAGGGAAAGAGGAAATCAGTGGACGGGATTGCGTGAGGATGAGGTCAATTTTGTGTGCTGACAGCTTGCTGATGGTCAAACCGAACGAACGTTAACGATATGACGTAGCAAAGAAGCAATGCTAACCTCGACCCGGGGGAGGGGGGGGGGCGTAGGGTTTTTGTCGGGCTGTACCTAATCCTATAGGCAGGCAGCGAAAACAAGCGTCGGATGCGGACGGAGATGGAACGAGCAACGACGAGGAGAAAGCCGTTGGTTCCGCAAGATGGAGATACTTTTCTTGTTATGGGATGGAACAGAGAGAAAGAGTAAAAGAGGAAAACATAGTCTTCCCGATAGATTGCATTGCTACATAGTAAGGCCTCCTCTTCCTTTACCTTCCCTCGTATCACTCGGCGCTTGTTTTCAGCAGCTGCGGGCTTTGTACTTTGAACGATGGTGTATTATGGCTCAGCTTGCAGTGGGAAGCGGGGGCGCAGGCTTCCCAGAGCTCCCGCTGTCCTATCACAAGCTTCGCAGCGGCCGGCGCACATGCCTCCAGTGGCACCCGTCGCCTGTCGCCCAGTGGTTTGGGTACCTTAGTCGTCGTCGGTAGTGCTGTTGGTGGGGTACCTGCCCAGGTAGGTATACCCGCTCAGTCCGTCGACCTCAAAGCAGGGCTTTAGCTTGCTCCTTCGGGGTCTTACCGGACTCTCCGAAGGAAGACCATGATTCCCCTTCGCGCAGTCGACGGCGACAGCGATAGTACCTAGATAGTCAGCAGCAGCGCTGAACTCAGCCGTCCCATCTATACTTGGCTTTATTGCCGGGGAAACATCTGGTTGGCAACCGCCATGCCAGGAGCACTCAGTTGGCCATTGACAGCGCCGATCCGACGCCCAATGGAGAGAAGCCAGCGGTGCCACAACACGGCGCACGACTCAGCAGACGTCCCTCGCCGTGTCACAATCCCACCTGTGCCCCTCAATAATGATATATTGGACACGTTGATCCCCAAACATGAGACGCGGCCCTCAACAAGGACCAATATAACCCTCTAGACAGACATCTGGACTATCTACAGAGCCCGTAACCTTTGCCGGTATTATCCTGAATCTCACGCAACTTGCTCTTTCACAACATTGCCGTCGTATCGCCTCCGTCATTTCCGTCCGCGGATGGGCGGAAACCCATTGATTCGCCATACATCGACCCAGGCAGGGTATTCGCACGGTACGGTAGTATGCGATTCTTCGTAAGGCCTCTCCCGGTTGTCGGACTGGCTTGACCAGCTCCGACTCCGATATTGCGGTAGGCACACGGCCCCACCCATATCCGAGACCCGCTCGCCGTCGCCGTCGCCGTCCGGGTTTCGGTGGGGATGGCCACGACAAGTACCACAATTTGGAGCACTGCCAGATATGCGGCCTCATCTTCCGTCACGGGGCGGCTGACGACGCCGTCTCGGATGGCCGTCCAGTCGTGAACCAGGAAACCCGGCCGGATCCGATTCCCTGCCGCCGCAGTGTCGACTTCTTATCCGTCATGATGTTCCCCTCCCCTAGATAGCCCCAGGACCGCTTCAATGCTGGTACGGTTTGCCAGTCTACAGCTTCAACTCATCCACCTCGTTGAAGCGCATCATCCGAGAAGCTTGTGCAACCGAGTTGAGATGAAAGACCAATGGCGTCTTCCCGCGCCCCGAACACGAGACCATATGGTGCAGCTAGCATGCAACAACGGAAGACTACGGCCAGAATGGGAAACACCCCATAAGCCACCGGCCGCAGAGCGTCGTGGCGCGAATCCATCCCTCAATCCCTTCATGAGGTGAGACATCTCCTGCGGATGTCGTCATGATCCCGGATGTTTGACTTCGTTGGGGGCCGCATCACGCAACGCACCACGGCAGACGGCGGAGAAGTGCACTTTCCACGAAAGCCATCTCGATAAGAGCCTGGACATGCGAGTCCGTCCATGCAGGACCGGCTGGTGTACAGCCTCTATGCCTCTTCCGTTTTCTTTGCGGCACAGTCACCGCCTGGACCGAATAGACCGAATCAACCTATAGCGCCGCGCACTCGCGCGCATGCCCATCCATGTGTAAGTGTACTTGACCACCTTCAGCCGCAGAACCGTTGGTGGGCAGTGAGTCTCGACCCGCTCAGCGTCACCACCCTATCATCCAACCAGACCAGCTGTAGGACCGACCGGTGTCCAACGCGTACTAGCGCTGACAGCGTTATGCTTAGCACCTCGGCCTCTGTTCGGGGGCACGCTGTGCCACCACCAACAGAAGGCCGTCGCTCGCAAAATGTAAAAGGGAGGAGGAAATCAGGTTTCCTCGAGTTTGGGGGCCAGACTTGGCATCCGAATCCTTACGTCCTCTTTGCTTATTTTCCCAACAGCCACTCCCTCTCACCCCACCCACCCCTTTTGGCCATAAGGGTGCATCGCCCTATGAGAGGTACATTTTGTGGGAACGTGAACGCCATGAATTGCATACTTTTGGATGGGCTGGGGGATGGAGGTGTAGCAACGGGTACCCTACCCTTCAGATGTGACTGGACGAACCAGACTAAAAGCTGGGCCTCTGGGGAAAAGTAACCGAAACGCTGGGATTTCTTTCTTACACACCCTTCATGCTGGAGGATGGAAGGAGTCAAATGTCAGACTCTCCCCCTCCCCCTCTTCTATTGGAGCCTCAGAAGCGTCCCAAACCTATCGATCATGATGGCTGGCATGACGGTTAGCGCCAGGGCGAGCCTCTTGAGCCGCACGGCTCAGGGTTCGCGGGCTGCCCCCGGCTTTTCGGTCGCTAGAGAAATCTGACACGTTGGGCTTTATGGGTGACAGGCGTCGGTGAGTGGTCGGTCTTGCAAGTAACTTTGCTGCGAATTCTGGACCTCCCTCTCCCCCTTTTTTCCTTTTGTCTGCCGCCGCCGTCTTCAAAAGGCCCAGAGCCGGCCTCTACGCTTCTCACTTGGAAGACGCGTCAAGCGCCGGGCGCTCTCACCGAGGCGGCCGTAGACGCTTCGTTGGATGCCCCTGACGGCTGTTGTGCCCCTGATCGTGGCGCTTGAGTCGTCGCTGAACGGCCTCAGGCTTTTCCAGCGTGAGGGATTGGATGAACACGCTGCCATGAAATACACAGAAGGACCTATTCAGCCGGGACAAACTCTACACTGACAGACAACGGATGGATGCGCGACAGTAACAACTCGGTATCAATATAGAACAGATTGTGATCGTGAAGGGTCATTAAAAACCTCCGCCTTATGCCAAACCATGCGTGCCACTTTTATCCCTCGATATGTGATATGCCTGTTCCTTTCAGTCCCTTCTCCCGCCATCATTCGCCAAGATAGGAAGTCCGGACGCCCGCAAAAACACCTTCGCACATTGCTGATACGACAAATTGTAAGGAGATGAATCAAGTAAAAGAGGTATCCTGCTACTGTGTGGTCAAACAAAACAACTGAACCCTCAAGCGCTTGACATGCCAAAATGATATCTCGGGGGAGTAGCGCATGTGTACTGAACAAGGTTGGTGGAAGAGAATATGTTAATGGGTAAATCACTCCTCATCTTCTCCCTCGGCGTCTTCGTCAGAGCAGGCGGCAACGATAATATCCTTGCGGTAAGACGAGGCATTACCACAACTGCCACCCCCTTTCCCATTGCCTGAAGAGGGGCCAACTTCACCCTTGAGTGGGTTGATGAGCTCCCAGCCGCCAGGGGCCTTGGTCTTCCGGACGACGTAAACATCAGGGCTCGACGCCCACTGTGTAAGAGTCGGATCGTTTTCGTTGCCAAAGTGAACCGCCGGCTCCTTGCCGTCGGCCGCGCGCTCGAGGTGACGCGCGACGTGCTCCATGCGCTCGTCCCAGGCTTGCGGTCCATTGAACTCGTGCCCGCAGTCGCTGGCCGGGCAACGCATGTGATGCGGTAGGTCGCAGCGCGTTTGTTCTGCGTCCGCTTGGAGGTTTTTGAGGTGATCATCCCAATCGGGTGTAGGTTTCTTCTGCTTTTGGGCCTTTCGGACATGAGGAGGAACGTGCATGCGACGGACATGTTGGGTATAAAGATCTTTGCGGTTGAAGATGGCGCCGTTGGGTAAAGCAGGTGGTGTCGGCATGGTAGAACAGGAAGAAGAGGAACGTCGACTGGTCGGAGGATTGGTGGTCTTGGAGCAACCATCCTGGATACAGAGCCAGTACTGGAGGGCGAGATGCTGTGAGCTTACATGGCGTTTCCATTCGTTCTTGCTGGCAAAGGTGGATGGGCAGCCGGCATAATCAAACACGCATACGAAGGGGCGGGTGTGGTGTTGCTTCATGTGCTTCTGGTACGCGTTCTCGTCGGAAAAGGAGGTCTTGCATTCGTCGCAAAGAATCTTGGAGCTTCGCGTAGATGAGAAGGCCGCGTTGAGCCGATTTGAGGACAGGCCACCGGTATTTCTGTTGATCCTTGTTTTCTTTCTCTCCTGAGGTGAGTCGGGATTTTGCGCCTTAGCTCTTACATTGGTGCTACGGGAACGCTTCCGAGTATGTTGCTTGGGCTTGTAGTCAAGATCCTCGTTGTCTTCGATGCAAACATCGGCCCCGATTTCGGACTCAAAGGGACTCTGTTCGCATCTATTCGTGTCAGGGTAGCTCTGTTGGTACGAGCACTCAACCATGGGAATCTCCTGCTTTGCGATTTCTTCGGGGGCTTCAGGTGTAATATGTCGCGACGAGAAAGCCGATTGTAGCGGGATGCTCGGCACATCAGAGTCTGAAGAGCAGAAGCTGAAGGTCCGGCCGTTGTCGAAAGCATTCGGGGTGATCTCGTTCTCGAATATGGCTTGCGAGATGTTCACCTCGTGAGGGTTGACAAAGGAGGTTCCCTGCATGCCAAGGCCAAGCAGTGTATGGGATCGGTATTGCTGGGTCTCCCAGTCACCAATGTATTGCTTGTGTGGCATGAAGGGGGAAGTGGCAGAGCAGTCTGGGGGAGTTGCGGGGAGAACGTCGCTTTCCGTAGGTGGACTGTTGGAACTACTGCTTGATAGCGTCTGCTGAGAGCAGGGAGATCCATGCCTTCGCTGTGAGGCTGGAGGTGAGACACTCTGCTCTTGGGCCGGAGAGGCTAGGCCATGCAGGACCTGGGCGTTCTGGGGGACGAAAAATGCTGTTGGTGGCCCATCCATATATTGTTGGATCTGATGAGTTTGGTTCGGGGCCCATGAGGCTTGAGAGTAAGATACGTGACTTGGGTCGATTAGGGCGGACGAGGTTGGAGCTGTTGACGAGTCAATGTAGGAAATGGATATCTGATCAAAGTTCTGCTGCCCATAGTATAGCTGTTCGTGGAGAGGGCGTCCTCCTTGGTCATGTTGGTAGAAACAGGACATCTTGTGAGTTTCTTCCAAAGGCCAGTTCCAAAATAAGGGGCTGCCTATGGATCGGAGTCAACGAAGCAGATGGTACAGTATCTTTTCGAGACGGTGCGGCGGGATTTGATCCAGAGTGAACGGCGATAGGGCAGGGCAGGATGAGAGAGCAGAGGGTCCGAACAGTTAGGGTGAGTGGAAGTAGAAGGTTGAATGATATAATAGAAGGGATACCGGAGTAAGCGAGAGAACACTTGCTTGCGGTTTTCAGATATAGGCTGAACATGAGAAGGCATCATTCCGGCGTTAGAGACGTGCTAGTGTGGCGATCCTTGGTGTATATAAGTGCAATAGGTAAACTGGGAGACTAGCGAAGCTGGAGTGCGCCAGGGCAGTTGGCTGGGCTCTCCAAGAGCAGAGGGCTTTGAGGGAAGGGACGAAACCCCATCGAGAAAGATACGTACATTGGCAGAGCCGCATGGTGGAGACACGAAGATGGCAACAGAGAGAGGGCAGAATGCGAGGCGTCAAGGAAGAGGCAAAGATGTACGGGTACAAGGGGCTAGGATTAGTCGCTGTGGGCGAGTAGATACACACCCCTGACGCCCAAGGCTGCAGCAGGCAGGGAACATGCTTGGCTTGGATTGGCCCCCAGGTCGTGTCTGGTTGTTTCTGGGGGTGAAAAGCACGCGGAACACACCATCTTTCCGACCGGCAGGGGAGAGAGGAGAGGGAGGGTGAGTGATGGACGGCAGTGGGGGAGAGGAGCCGCCAGGGCTGTGTTCTGGTCTGCCTACTGTGTATTACCGACTCCACGACCGACGGGACGGGTAGGGATTGGGCTTGTCTCCTCTGAGCTGGTCTCAAGCATGTCTCTCGTAGTCTCCAGGCAGATGTGTATGGATGCCTTGTGGTCGGCGAATCAAGTACTGCCTCGAGTGGTCGCCAAACGTGCCAGTCTCGGTGCATCCACCCATGCCAGCTCAAATCAGCCCAACAGCGAGGCATCAATCGAGGTCTGTCACAGCGGCCGCCTCTTGGATGTGCCCAAGGATGCAACGCCAACGTCACTGGCGATCGACGATGGGAATCGCGGTTTGGTTATAGCCATGGGCTTGCCAAAGCCGTTATCACTGCGCAGAAAGTAGATGCATCTCAGGTAGTCATAAACCACCTAGGGAGGGTGCCCCCGTCCGAGGAAGTGGATGGAGTAACCGCGCAAAGTACAGACTTGGCCAGGATATTATCGAGCGGCACCCAAGACGTCCATAAAGAGGAGGCAGGCTAAGAACAGGACTTCTGGCTTCTCCTTGTTGTTGTTACTAGGGTGTTAATATGTTCGGTTGACAAAGGAGGGAGCCAAGGAAAGAAACAGACACGACAGCAGGTGGAGGCCAGAAGAAGCTGGGACGATAATCTGGGACGTACCTGTAGAGAGTGCAAGTATGGTATGTCATCTAGGCCATCATCTCTACTCCCTCTTACGGCGACACGAAGCGCGCACCAAACGAGGCAACCACAGGCTTACTAGCGCAGTTGCGTCGAGAGAAGGTCATGGCTGGCCCACTGGGCAAGGCACCTGAAGTACCTGAAGTGCCTACATGACTGTACGTATAGCGCGTATGTACGTGTATTTGTACATACATTGATACGGGTCCAGCGGCAGGGGTGGGTTGCACTTGGGGGGATGTGGAATTGGTAGAAGGCGTCACGCCCGTCCCCGTCCCGTACCCGACGCAGCAACAGCCACCGGCAGTGCACCTACACTGCCAGTACAAGTCCCAAAGCTGTTCTGTTGCCTTGTTTATCGGGTCTCATGCGTTTTTGGGCCTAAACCAGGTAACTATACGGTAGGTATATTACCTATCCAGTATAATCATTAACACACGCAGGGAGGGGGTTCAACCACATGGCCATGGCACTGCCACATCGATTGGTAAACTAAGCTGCGGTTGCTTACAAGGCGGACCCCAGCCACTGGGCAGCAAAAGCCAAACGCGACACCACTTCCAAAGGTCCGTCCCGCAACTCAAAGTCCCCACGCTCCTTAAGTACCTAGTTCGTTCCCCTTGCTCACCCAGTTAGTCAGTCGTCCTCGAGCCAATCCCGACCGCCCAGTTGGTCTTCATAGTCACCCGCGCGCGCCGCAGACACCACATGGACATTGGTGAATAAGTACAAATACGTACCCAGACAGGCCGTGCTTGAGATAGGTATACAGGTACGTACCAAACCGGACGAACTGACAGGTGGTCCACGCTACGGATACCTACGCGAGATCTACAGTCATCTAATCTACCTAGGTAGTAGCGTACCGGTACACTATCCGTACCTACACCAGGTGATTGCCAGGAACACACAGACACGCACCACCAAGGTACGTACTGGTCACTTAATTTTCCGGTGCTGAATACCTCTCTGTACGGATACATCGTGCCTCATGATAATTACCACCCTCCGACCAATGAGAACCCCCTACTCGATTCTACCATGTACATCGACCATTCGCTACCATTCTCCAAGAAAGCCGCAGATACGGTGGTGGAGTATATCCGTACATGGATGGTTGGCCCGAGTCGCATTCCTCGGACCATCAACCCTCTTTCCAGATACCCTCGTGGCCCTTTGCAGACCTTCACGGTTCAGTGTGACTGAGGTACGTATCCAAATTCCAAATGCCACACCAGCAACCATTCTACCTAGGTACTCCCTCCACACGTAGCGTTCAGAATCCTAGCCAACGTAGCCATCCCAAGGCGCCTCCATCTTCATTGCTCCCTGGCCGCTCGCTCATCTACCAAGTACGAGAAACACTACGCTCCTCCCGTCTTCACTCCCAGCCCATTGCGGATACACTATATGGGTACTGTATCCGTACACGCAATCAGTGCGCACGCTACGCTAGTATACACTACCGTAGACGCTCGACTGTTTCGTAAGCCACTACCAGGCAGGCTAACGGTAAATAGTATAGCGTCCGCTGAGGAGCGACTAGCGCGCTGGCAGAAAAAGAGATCAGATACTGGCAGAAGTAGGGGCTAGTCACTTACGTCAGCAGGAAGCTTGGGTGCAAGCCTGGCTGTCTGGGTAGGTTATTGGCTGGATGGGTTGACCGCCTTCTATAGTAGAGTTAGTGCAGTAAATATCCACTAGCTGCTCTCAGTAATCCTCTAGCTAAATCTAGCTAGCCTGCCTTCTAGTGGCTTACGAAACAGTCGAGTGTCTACGGTACTACGCTGCCACACCGTTGAATCCTTGATGGCCCGCTTTCTCCAACCCTGCAAGCCCAGACTAGCCAACGTCCCAGCATTTGCCAGCTTTCTACTCGACAATATGCAAAGCCACGGCCCTGTCTGTCGGTCAATCGTCGGGGTTTGATCAACAGCACCAACGACGATTACAATGACTCGTGGCAAGCAACCTCCAGCTTTGGAGAGGCCCCGCTGATCCCGAACCTGCTTCCGAGCTACCTAAATGCTATGTATGTACGGATAACTTGCTCCTCTCTACCAATCTCTGGAGCAAGGATCGCATGTCCCCAGAGACCCCATGGACGACGGCCGAGGGCTGAATGCATGGTCACTGAGCGGCCACATCCATCTCTTGATAATTCCCTTTCCGAGAATAAACTCCGCTTGATCCCTGGTTTTCTCATCCTTGTACGGATGGATTGGCCCGCTTCGAGCACGTGGCACACACACGCCGCAACATTGCGCGTGCGACCAAGACGATGGCGATCTTATACGCACGACTGCGCGCCGAGGCCACTCTACCATGGTCGACATACAGCACTCAAATCACACCCTCTGCTCTCTTGCTGGCTAGGTGTCGAGATCCCGAGACCTGCCCCCGCCTTTCTCCAGCCCCTTGCCTCTAACATCGATAGACCAGGAACGGAACCGTTATCGGATTCTCCAGAAACCTTTCGCCCAGTACGGTGGGTTCTTTTAGGACGGCCGCCGCATCAAGCAGTCTTTGAGGTCTCGGAGAAAACCCGCCAACCCGCCAGACCGCCCAATGGAGATAACGCAACCGTCAGGGCCAATCTCGACGCGTCAATAACGGCATTCGCACCGGTGGGTGCTGTCCTTTGCATGCGACGCAGACTTGGCATTCGGGATCCCCGAAATTAATTTTGGGCGATTTTCCCCAGAGCTTGAAACATAACAACAAGAATAACAACAATACACACACGCACACACTCTGGTGACCTGTACATGGTGTAATTGAAATGACCGGGATGTAGGTAGCTCTTCTCGTACCCAATGAGGCAAGACACCCGCGGCGGCAGCACCAGTTTACGGCTCCTTGGCCCACCTCGCAATAGAGCGCCGACCTAGACCAGGGCTCTCGACATCTTCGTCGGGTTTGTTGGACCGAGGTCGATCCACCACAAAGGTTGACAGGCAGTAGTGTTATGTTCAGCTTGATACACAGCCAACGTTGGGAACATTTCGAAGCATGTATTTCAGCACAAAACCGATGTCCTGTCTCAGGGCTGGAAGCCGTTAGGTGCCCGACCTGGAACGTAGTGTCGTGATCCGAGCTAACCTGCCCAGAACCCATTGCGCCGACTACACTTCGTTTCACGACATCCTGACGGTCCTCCATCCCCATCAATCCGAACATCTGCGTGTCCGTCCTCATGATACCATTGCGGCGCTCTGCTTCAGCCCAAACCTGAGCCACCATGACTGCTTAGCCGCACCGAGCCACCACGCCATTGCTGATGCCGCCCCCCCCTCCCTCCCGTCTTACACCCTCCCCTCCTACACGAATCTATGGGAGGTAAGCCCAGGACCCCATAAGGGCCGGGGAAATGAGAAGGAAACACGCATAGTCCAGCTCTCGACATCACTCACGCGCATCCTATCTTATGTACATCATCCCTGCCCGGTCTTGCATTGTCCGTCTTCCACTCCTCCCACGCCCCTTCTGCGGGGGTTGTACCCCAGGCGAGACACACACCGCCCCCTTCCACGGAACGGGTTCAATGGCACTTTGACGGTAGAGTAGAATCATGTTTTTTTTTTTACTGGGACGAGGGAGAAGGTCTTATAAGTCCCCTGGTGCAGGGGGCTCAGGGGAGCTGGAAAAAGAAGGACGGGGCAGCAGCTCATTGATTCAAGGCGGCGACGAGAGTCCTTGGAGCGTGCAACGACCTCCAAAGCAGGCCTGCCATTTACTCAAAGAAGCAAAATCCCTCTCAACGCGGCTCCAGGCAGAAGGGTAAGCCCGATCATCCAATACCCCATATCTCGGGTCGCTAGCCGCCCAAGAGCACAGAGATTATCCCAAAGGCGCCTCGGCGCGCGGCTACATCTCCTATCCTGCTGTTACCTGCTTCCCCGACCCTTCTCTGAAACCCACGGCACCCCCCCCTGAGGCGGCCGCGCGGTGGGGCCTGGGAAGTCGAGTGGCCTCGCGGTGAGCGGCCGGGGCCGGGGGTGGGTTGAAGGGCAGGGCGGTCTGATCTATGGTGCCAGGGGCTCTGCTCACCTTTAAGCAGCTTGCGAAGATCTGACGAATGCTTACAGGACGTGTATCAAACACTGAGAAGAAGCGTGGGTGGCCAATACTTGCGGGCGCCGACGGGGATGCCTTGCTTCTTTTCTATGTCTAGGTACTATAGTAAAGGTGTATTGGAAACATTGGAAATGCAGCCAAGGATCCGTCATGGATTCTGTAGCCTAGCAAGTGGATGGCGGGCACCGTCGTCTATTTCCGCATGGCCTTCCTGCCATGTTATCACTTCCTCGCGCCCGACATAAGAAACCATCAGGGCATCCAATAGCCACAACGGGTGATATCATCGTCATTATATCTATTATCACATTATAACCCTCTACGTTTGCTTTTTGGCTGAACGGTGGGCCTCCTTTTTGTCCCGGACCGTGACACATTGGACTTCGCAGTTATCGCACCGTCTGTGGTTGCAGTTGAAGTTGATGCAGTTGTCATTCAACTTACAGTCGGCGTCCATAAATTCACATGCGCACTGTAGAGGTAACTTGTTAGCGAGGACCCACCAAGTCATACATATGATGATGAACGAGGGTTACTTACGCACAACCACCTGTACGTTCGTATGCGCTTAGGTCCATTTTGTTCGTCGTCGTCGTCGTTGTCGTCGTCGTCGTCGTCGTCATCTCTTAGCCTTCTCTTTCTCGTATGGCAGCTTACAGCCTTGGGGGTATCGCCCCCGGGCTTCTGCGAGTCGACGACAACGGGGCCCTCGTCGGCCGATTCCGCGTCGCTAGAATCATCCGGAGAGCCGGTGAGGTCGACCTTGGGCAGGCATGGATTAATAGCTACCCAGTCTGAGTATTCCTTCTTGGGTTGGTTATTCCGGCCTGCGTAGTGGTCGTCGATATGGTTGAACCGCCCGGCCCAGACGGTAGCGCTCTTCTGCGGAATTTCGACAATCTTGCTGCAAAACCCACACCAGAACCTGGGCTCGCCGTTGCGTCCGACGCGGCACTTTTCGAGTGCCCTGTCGACTTGCACGGCATCATTCATCTTGTGTTCCTTTGCAAGGTGGCTCCGGAAGGTCTCCCGGCGGTGACAGACCTTCCCGCAGCTTTCGCTCTCATTGTCGGCCCGTTTCTCGTGGCATTTCCACATCTCAACCTGGAAGTGCTGGCTGTTCTCGTGGCGCTTCCAATCGTTCTTGCTGCCAAACTTTTTCTTGCAGTCGGAAAACGTGCACCCGTACGGCTTTTCATGGCGCTTCATGTGTTTCCTATCTCTCTGCGTTAGCGCTGGACTATCATAAGGCATGGTAGAGACTGCTTACTTGAGCTCGCACTTTCGGTTGAAGCCCTTTTGGCAGGTAGAGTGCGGGCATTGATGCTGGTTGTTGGTAGTTATGATAGGAGCTGATGCGGGTTTCTGAGGGGCGGCTTCTGTCTGGTTCTTGAGGAATGTCTCAATGACATTCTTGGGCAGCTGCGAAAGAAGATCGAATATGACTTCTTGGCTCTTGTTCCGAAGTAAAGAGGGAGACCGATTAGTCGGCTGCTCCCCTTGTTCGACGGGTTGTTTCTCCCCGCTGGATCCGGCCAGGGCTGGATGAGTCGGCTTCTTGGTAGCGGCATCGCAGTCCATGCTATCTTCTAGAGAACCATCAAGAAACCTGCTCTGGGTTCTTTCTGGAATCGCAACATCTGGTTCGCGGTCTAAGCCAATATCGATAAGAGTACGTTGATGCTGGTCCGTACGGAAGCTATAGGAGCCATCACGTTTAGCTCCAACAACGGCCTTAGGAGACAGAGCTCTGGTGATTTCCTTGGGTTGTACAAACTCGTGGCGTCTAGGCTCATGAAGCAGACCAGGAATTTGGTTGTGTAACTGAGCCTTGGAAGCAGCTATATCACCCTCCGATGAATCGAGAGATGCGCCCGATGCTGAGCCATCGGTCCTGGTAAGAGATGGATCGAGGATGAGGTCCATAGGCATTGGCGGTTCTTCTTGAGGAGATAGCTGAATCTCCTCAAAAGTTGTCGGCCTGTCGTCCCAGGCCATGGCACCCTCGTTGTAGGAGTTGAAAAGCTCCGAGCCTACGCCTTCCAAATCATCTTGCGCGTTCTGCTGAAATGAAGCATCCTGGGGTCTCTGTAGTGATGACCTACGCTGTTGTTAGCTATCACATCCGATAACAATCCTATCCAAAAACACTTACTGCAGTGAGTATTCATTAAGATCATCCTCAGAGCTGATATTTCGATGATGCACACGCTTCAGGTGTTGCCTAAAGTTATCCGCCCGGGGCCATATCTTGTCCTTGGTTTGGCATGAGCCAATGTGGCAACGATACCGCGGGCCTGCGTTAAAAACGTCAGGGTGCACACTGCCTTTGTGCCGGTCGAGGTCGTTCAAAGTGCCGAATCCCTCCTTCCGGGTACATCCGGAGACATTGCATATGTAGGCTTTGCGGTGCCGCTGATTGTGTTTGCTTAATTACACGTCAGCGCGGTTGTCCGAGATGAGTGCCATCAGTTCGCGAACTCACTTCAACTCTGACTTGGTCTTGCAAGGAGCCTGACAGTCCGGACAAAGCAATCTGCTTCCAACGGCACCGCTTTGGGATAGGGGAACGGGTGTTGCAGCCATATTGTCCCAGCCCCCATCGGTAGGGGTTATGCCGAAGGGGTGATAGTCCATCACCTGCCCCGAGAGGCTCTGGGTATCTTGGCTGCGGTCCACATCGTTGAAGACGGATGTGTTTTCGATACTGTGTTTGGTCCTACTCTCATAACCAGAATCAGAAGGAGGAAACCCCGAGGGGGCAGTATCGCATTCCGAAGGCAGCGTGCTCCGCCAGCCCTGGAAGCTGCCGTTGGTTCGTCGCTGAATACCCGGCGCAAGTGCTGGTCGGCCTTGCTGAGATGCACCGAAAATACCCGAAGGAACCCATGGCTGCTCCCCGCCATAAAATTCCATCAGGCTCCATGGCATCGGTGTCTTGTGATGGAAGCACTGGCCCGAAGGTGTCGGCATGTCACCCACGGTCTCCGTGTCCCGAATGGGAACCATCTGGCCTTGCTTTGCGAGGTCCATCCCCATGTTGTTGGGCAGATTCGTCATAAACGAGAGGACGTCGTCGTAGCAGCGAAGAGCGGCCAAAGATAACAACTCGAACTATGAGCTGTGACGAGCAACTAATTACACGTTAGACCGCGGCATACAGAGTAGGCGGCTCTGCTGGCATTTGCTCCCACAGTAGAAGGCACTGGCCCGGTTTTACATAGCAAAGTTAACAATACATGTAGTAATAGACGACGGAAGGGAACAAAGGCAACCAACTCGAGTCCGAAGTCAGGCACGCAGAGCTGTTCTTTTTCTTTGCTTTGGCTTTCAAAGCTTGAGACTCGAAGCCGATGTGACCGGGGAGAAGGCAACTGCCTGTAGAGGGTTTGTCAAAGCGAAGCGGAGTCTGGATGGTCCGAGTCAAGATGGGAGGTTGGTGCGGTTGAGTTGCCGGCCCGCAGTGGGTCGGTCGGGGCCGAAAGAGGACGACTGGCTCCCGGGACTAGGAATACATGGGCAAACGGACAGGCGAAGTCTTCCAGGAGAAAAGACTGCTGGCTCAAGGACAAAATGGAAGAAAACCGAAGGTTTCAGTCGGGCGACGTGGACACGGAGGGAAGCGAAGGGGACTTGTAGTCATCCGGACGAGGAGAAAGCAATGAAGAAGAAGGAAGGAGGGGGTGAGAATGAGGATGAGGATGAGGATGAGGATGAGGGCTCGATGTGACTAATGCGAGGCAAAGCGAGGAGCGATTGCGGGCGGTTCACACACACATTAGGGGAGTAGATGAGGCAGCCATGAGGTCGAGGGCGCAGTCCACCCGCTAGTCCGCCTTGCTTTTGGGGCGACTCTCGGTGAGTAGCACACGTCGACGCCCAGCCCCGGCCAATCAACGTCCGGAAGACACTAGGCAGCGATACAAGGCAACCAGCGAGGCAACCAGGCACCCGGAGAATGGGTCGCATTTTTTCCACTTCCAACATCGACCGCTCGGCTCACTCAAAAAAGACATTGAATTAACCAAGTACTACACTGCACACTCCGTTCGTTGTCTCGTTACACAACTTACCTAGGTATCTGCCATTGAAGACATCCAGCAACAGGACGAAAACAACCACGCCAACGAACTCCCGGGACATACAAAGCCGCCTACCTGTCTGTCGAAAACCAAGACTTGGTTGGGCGTTACATTTCTCAGTGGCTAGATATAAGCGATACTTGGTCCAACTACCCGGGAGCCACGCCAACTCGCCTCGGTACTCTTCAGCCGATGTCACTTTCAACGGGGCCAATCCCATGAGACTTGCGCATGCCTAGAAGAGGAAGCTTTACGCCCTTCTCGACTAGCTTGCTTACTTATCCTCACCCTATCCCTAACCACTCCATCAAGAATTGCTTGCTACTTCCTTGGGTATTTCTCAGCTGGCACAGTCATGTTGCTCGCTTTCGAGTTCTAGAGCCCGCGGCACCTTCCACCGCAAGGAGTTCCACAGAACTGAGTGAGACTTGAGCCGTCGTAGGCTTGACAGGGTGTGCGAATGTGGGGTCCGAACTTTCAACGACTTTCCCCAGGGCGGGCAGCTGTGGTTGATGGGGGGTTGGTCTTCTAGAACCGCAAGTCGTGATCCCCAACCAGCAATGTGAGGCTCGCATACACGCCCTCGCCCGGGTTTCACCTTCTACTTTTTGCGCAATCCCGCACGGCACCCTGTTGGGTCACCTCTCATGCGATAGAACAACTCAATCATCATCCCACTTCTAGTTGTTTGGACGAGCAACCATAGCTCAGCATGCGATGTGTCATTTCCGCCAATGTCGTCCTCCGATGCCCGCTCCCTCCCTCCCTAGATTTGAACCTTTCCGATGCTTGCAGGCCCACTTCCGAAGGCCTATTCCTCCTTCAACCTCTCCTATACTTGAGGGAATCTGCATCGTTTGGCCGCCGGATGTTCTGGCAAGCGGGGCCTTGTCCCCTGTTGCACAGTCTTACGAGTGTACTTCTTTTGCCGCAATATTTGTCTCCTTACAAGATGGACATTTGAATCCGCGCTGCGCTGTGGCATACCTGCTCTACATTTCTAATGGCACGCTATGGTAAGAAAATTTCAACGGCCAGGGAACTGTTCGGCCGTAACTTTAGTTTGGGCATCTGCCTCGTCCGCTGTGCAGGATATTCGGTGTTTGCTCTGCGCCAAGGAGCGAGCCTACATCTGAGCTGGGTAAACCCGCCTATCGGGCCGCTCCGCAGTATGCAAGCGATTTGGGTCCTGAATCAACGGCTCAAACAATTGGGTGGTGCGGAAATGATATTCTCCACTGTCGATAGGATTTGATGTCCATCGTGACACACGACCAACAAATTGCAGACGAGCCTAGAGAGAGAACAAGATGAAGCCGGCCGTCTTAACCTGTCAAAACCCTGGAGGCCCAAATGAACAGTTCTTCTGTGACTAGACCAACCTTCAGAGGATGATGCGCATTATCTATGACATGGCCAGGCAATAATTCGTACTGCGCTGGCCCTTACTGGCACCAACTCTCCAAAAGGCAAACTAACACGCCGTCACCTTTGCAAAGTGCGTTTTTACTCAGACCAGGAGTATGCATCTTCTTCAAGACCCGGAACACGGAGTGAGTGTCCCTGGAGGGGGTAGCCGATATCTCCGATCCAAGGTCGAAAAGCAGCTCTCAGTGTGGAAAATGCCAACACAGTTCTCTCATTATACTCATTGCTTATTGCCATCATCCGACTTGAGACGACAGCCAAGCTTCATTGTATCTCGAAGGGAGGAATATGCTAGTTCTTGCATCCGTACCTACCGTCCGAGCAGGGAATCTGCAGTCTCCTCTCCCGGGGATGCACAGTCAACCCCCTCCCCTTAGACGTACGGGACTAAGCTTCATGTGGGAGCTGCTGAAGTCCGGACGAGGTAGTTGTTGAGCGAGGTTGCCCCCACACCATGTCCAGGTTTGCATGGCATCCTCGCAAACCGACATCTCATCGATGCACAGCATCAACAAGATAGCCATGGACGTACGCTGCGTCTATGTGGCCAGACGTCTTGTTGGCCTCGACAATTCTCTTTGCGTTCAGTTGCATATTGATCTTCGAAACCCCATGGTGGTTACCGTGGTCTGTGAGCCGAGTCCCCAAGACAAATATGTTATAAAAGCCTGGCAACAGCCCGGAAGTGTGTGCTTCATTGGGGTGAGATTCACTTCTGAACACTAACTGGCAATTACTGTGCCAAAAAGCATCTGACACCATCTACTACAAATTTCCTTTATCCTGATATATTGACCAGAACTATTGAACTTAATCGGGGAAGACACATTCGCAGAGCCGAGTGGACGTAGATTCTGTATGTATCTGAACAGTGTTCAAGCCCTCTTACTGTCCATAGTCCACAGCTGACCACGAGAAGACAGCTTCTTTTAAGGCCGTTCACCAGCACCGCTCGACAATCCCCTCGGCTCGCTCTGGCAGTATGTGTGACTGGGAGGAATTTCTCTTCACCTGCAACCACTCGATTGTACGGCTGAAGTCGTACTGTCATTTCGCTCGCAACGATCCGAATCACCAATGCTTCGGTGTCAAGGTTCTCCGCAACTCGTGGCGACAAAGCGTGCCGTGCGATAACTGCATATCGGCCTGGAGAGACCAGGAGAATCCGTGTTTTGCCGCCGGGCTCAATCGAGAGGAACATGTTGGCGGCAGGGGCCGGCGTCATTGAAAAGGGGGTCAGCAGCGAAGGGTGGCGGCGCTAGTCCACGACGATAGCAATATTCCGTGTATTTCTCCATTTATGAAAACATAAACTGGTTTGCGCAAAAGTGACACCCGACTGGTTGGTTTATTGATTAGATGATTACTCATTTTCAACAATATTTGATAAATAGTGTCATACAACCCTCGTCTCAGTTCATGTAGTGATATGAGCCTTATGCGAACGCTACTGCATAAAATAGTGGTATAGACCTGGAACAATGGGTAGTTTGAAACTGTGATCATTCTCGGTGCACAGCTCTTGTACCTGCCTGGGTCGAGAAGCCAGTGAGGCTCTATGGTTGTATCAGGAAGATAGGCGGTAAAAGTTGCGGTACATGTTTCTAGATTCTTGTACAGATCAACCATTGGGTGCACATGCTGTAATCATGATGAACCTGACACGAAGTGACGTGAGAAGCGGGTACGGGTATGCATTTCCTCATTGGTCTTGTGAATCACTGACTTGTTTTAATCAACAGGGCACTGGGTTGAGCGAATGTATGAACTTGGTTGGCTCAGCTTTGGTTAAGGGGCATCGTAGGGCTCATTAACTACGTAGCTTCGGGTGAAAGAAAACGAGTGATAGGAGTGATGAGGCTCACAAGTACACTCAAAGGTTGACTTAGGATCGTGATTTATGTATCATTCCTTGGAAGATTTGCGGGTCGATATGCTAGGCAGTTTCAGGTTTGACGTAAGGAGTTGTGTCTTCCTGAGTTCCGAGTTTTGAGGCCTTCGTGAACCTATACCGCAGTGTGACCGGATGGCAAACACGGCAACCGGCATGTACATAACCCTTCGTACGACTGGACAACAGAAAGGCTACGCGTCACCAGAACGGCACTCTGAAACTCCCGAAGGGGAGCGGCTTCATGGGAACAAGGCCAAGTCCTCTGAATAGTAGATCTAGATTTAGGCGCTTGTCCGTTGAATACTCCCCAAGTTAGAATAGAATAATATATGACGCAAGACTGGTCGCTTGTTACTCATTCAGATACTGGTAAACAGGCCGCCTCAAATAGAACCCGGTGACTTGTATCCGATTCCAATCGTAGAACCCAATATGGAGACCCTCATTGGTTCAACTAGATATTTACACTTGAATCCAGTATTTATGGAAGGAAATTCGAGGCCGATGGTCCATCAAGCATCAAGGATGAACCAGTGTAGGAGCGTCATACAACATTGGTGGCATCGCATGAGACAGTGAGCTGTCGTGCACAGAGCGATGTGCTGATAAGTGCCGCGGGGGCACATCGCTCTTGGGTAACTTTGATGTGATAAGTCTGCAAAACGCACGACGGCTGCCAAAAGTCTGCGAAGTGTAACTATAATGCCATGATTGAAATCGATATTAGTGTTTTCTTCAAAGAGGGGCAGAAAGAGGAGGGGCTGGCAGGCTTTGGCTTGAGACCACTGGCGCAGAATGAGCTCGCGATATTTGTTACGACTAAACTTACTCCCGGCAGCGTATCACGCTCAGATGAGCAAATGAAGGCAACATTTGAGATCCCATTCTGCTCTAGTCCCTAACCACTCCCGCTTGCTCTACGTTATTCGGAACCAGGCCTTCCTTCCTTCTGCCCTTTACTCCGTGTTTGTAGCTCCTGCAACGCGACCCACAACATTGTAACGCTTAGAAAAGAAAGTAATCCAGTCGTTGAGAACACCCTTCTCCTTATCAGGGAGGTCCTGCCACTCAGGGCTGACATCCTCGGCCTTTGTTGAGGTCATACCTAGAGCGCGGGAGGCATCCTTTCCAGCGAAGACTACTTAAATATCAGTATTCGTACTACCTTTGGCTTTTGTGAGCAGTTTTGGGACTCACCGTTGTAGGAACCTCCTAGTTGGTAGGCCTTGTTGCCCGTCACGTCATAGACAATACCCTTGGAGGCAATATGTTAGAAGCCGCTGACACGTTTCTTATAATTTGATTTTACCTTGATCGCGACGTATGTCTTCCCATTCGGATCCGAACCTATGATGCTGTTAGCGTCGCCGGTATCGAGTAAGTTTAGTTGGCGAGAACATTTGCATGGGAACAACATAGCATGTACCCAAACACCTGAACACGAATCTGAGTCGCTTCGAGCCCTCTAAAATGTCCAAAAGAATCCTGATCCATTCAACCCTTGGCGGCTAAGCCCCTATCATTGAGGGCACGCATCAATGAGTGAACGATCTCTCCAACGCACACATAGGTACCTCCAGTCAGAGCCAGGTACAAGCCGCTCGGCGGTCATCGCTTGAGGAGCAAATGAAATGACGGGAGTACTTCAAATTAAAGATACGGAAGTAAAGACAGCTTACCATCGGCCTTTGCCAACTCCTCGAGGGTGATAGGGTCGTCCTTGGGGGGAGCCAGTTCGACAGGGACCTTGGGCTCGAATTTTCCGGCCATTTTCTTGAGAGTTTCGATGAGAGATAGATGATATGGAGTATAGGTATCGAGTTGCAGGCTTAGAGGCGTCAGATACAAGTTGCAGAGTTGTGAATATTTTGTTTCTCTTACAAAGACGGTGAATGGAGGGGAAACAAGCTCGACTCTGATGCTCAAGCTTCCCCACGATCCAGGTGGGGTGGGGGCTCCAGCATGGCCGGATGAGCCTCGGAGTAAGCGTCATTTTTGATTCGCTGCGCATTGTGATACAGACCCACAATAGCAAGAGCTCTGGTCTTCCATTAAATTTCGTGGCAATACGTCACTCACTGACAATAATCGCACAAATACCACCAACACAGATAGCATCGACGAAACTCGTCCAACGACCAATCCAGTACTGTACGCCTTTAGATTCTTAACACGATTTCTGTCTTTGGTCCATCTCGACGATGGCAGCGTCGCGCATCGCGGCATTACGGACCATTGACTCGTGCCGCCGTCAAGTCATCAAACCGTTCACCGCGTCCTGCGCAACATTACGAGCCGACACTCTTTCGAGCGCTGCCACTGTGTGTGGGCACAATCAGCTGAGGCAGCAGAGCACATCGAACTCGTCCTACAATGGCCCCGAGAAATCTAACCCGCCGGCTCCGCCTCCACCACCACCACCACAAGCACGCCAGCTTTGGAGATTAATGTCTTTCCGCTCCTTTTTGACTTCAATGAAACCGCAAGGATTGAAGAAGATGTTCAAAGAGACTCCTGAAGAGCTCTTACTAGCCCTGGCTATGTAAGTTGTCCATCATTGTCATCAACTCTGAACTGCGTTGCTAACTCGCCTACCCTCAAGTCTCGCAGGTTTGGCAGGTATATCCACCTATATTGTCAAGGTCTATTTCGACTACTTCATGGCCCGTCAATTCACCAAGTACCCCAAGCCGATCGCAAAGTCTCTCCGTCGAGCACTATACTACACCAACATCAGCCCCGACCCTAACCTGGCAAGGAAATACTACAAGCAAGCCTTGGAGCAGTGCAACGAGCTTCAGCTAGATCCGTTCTCCGACGACGTCTTGGGCATTAGGATCCAGACAGCTGCTTGGCTTGAGAAGATTGGCAACTACCAAGGAGCCATCACTGTGTTGAATTCAGTACTAAGAGACTGCCTCAAGTGGGTAGAGTGGATGGAGAAGTCCGTCGCAGACGGAACAGTAGACAAGTCAGGAAAGCCGCCTACTGTCGCGCAACCGCCTGCAAGTCAACGCCCAACCATCGCAGAAGATGATGAAGAGAAGGTTGCTGAAAATTTATGGCACAAACGCACCCGTTTGCTTGCCAAAGCTGTTGGCACCAGCACCAAACTTGGTGTTCTATACTCTGATGAGCATGTTATGGAGCCAGAGAACGCCCAGGCTCGCTTGGCGTGGGCTGTCGAGACTGCCTTGAAGGAGTCACGGCGGCGCCATGATGAGGGTATCAAGAAGCAAGAGGGCCCCTGGATGAGTCCAGAGGAGATTGGAGGAGCCATGGAATGTTCGTTGTCATCCACCATCCGATACTGACGTTTTGAAGCCTCTGCCGACATTGTACTGACGTTGCGTCACAGCCCTGGCTCAACACTACGAGTCCAAGTCTCAGTTCCATTTGGCAGTGCCACTGTTCTTCCAAGCATTGCGTCTCTGCGACAGCCCTTGCCATCGAATTACAATTAGTAGGTTGATGACGCTTCGCCTTGAACTATTCTGAGCGATGCCCCCAAAACGTGTATTTGGACGTTACTGACGCATCGTCTAGTGAACAACCTGGCTGCGGCCTTTGCGCAGCATCCTCTTCAGACTCCACTGGAGGCCATTCCCAACGCACCTACGACTTCCAACGCGATGGTCAGCCCTGACATGCCAACGGATCGTGCCGGGTTTCTGGAAGCTGCCAAGAATTGGGCTCGCAACGCTTACTTACACTCCAAGGATATCACGGGTGACGAGCGAACAGAAGAGTGCGACGAGGCATGTGCCGTGGCATTGGCAAACATGGGCGATATCGCTGCCATGTTAGGAAAGAAGGAAGATGCTAGGAAACGGTTCCAACAGGCCATCGACATGAGTAAAAGGATCGGCCTTCCTTCAGTTGTGGCCCAGGCCGAGGCCGGACTCGAGAGGCTCTAGAATGTGCCAGCGACACACGCCTTGGTCGCTCCACACCATCTCTTTCCGTCCTGGGGATGCCAGGACTTGAGGTCCGGGAAATCGAAACAATGTCAGCACCAACGGCTCTGCGGTTGGTGCCAAAGACCCCTACAATCGTGCCCACAAAGTTCCTACATAGGGCTGGAACTAGGCACCTAAGACAGAAGCCTCCGGTCCCAAAGCGCTAGACCGAAATCAGGGGTTAGGTTTTTACTGCCTCCCCGGCATTGGCCGTTGGGAATCGACTGGGTTGGCTTTGACGACGGAAGGATGTCGCGGCGGCAACTGTGTCACTAGACATTGTCTTGGTCTTGAACGGCAGCATGCGAGCCGGGGAACGACGAATTTGTTAGAGCCGCCAGCCACTTGGAGCATCGGTGGCGATGTCAATCAACCTGGTTTCGATATATGGCAGCATCAAACACCGCAATATCATCGCTTTGTGTACGTATAATGAAATTCCGGTTAAGGTGAAGCGACCATTGGCTAAGTCCGGGCTCCGAGGTCGGATGAGGGACTCTTTCCTTTCTCCGCGACATCAGAACTCGGCCCGGAACAGACCGCCAGTGCTGAGGACTGAGGATTTTTGAAGGCATGACTCTTGTAACCCCAAAAACCATCTTTCATGATTCATCCTCCTAAGCTCGGGTCCTCGTGGCTCAGAAAATAATTCGGACCCCAAGTGGAAGATCGGCGATCGTATGGCCGGGGAATAGCGGCTGGGCGTACCAGCAGACGCAGGTCAGTCCCCTGCAGGTAGTCGAGCGGAAATTGCCTTATTCGGATAATAGTCACTCAGCAGTGGAGAAGAGGTGCAGCTGGGCGGGGAACCCCGCCAGCCGCTGGTTAGCCTATTGGACGTCTTGAGGATGGGTATCGGAGTCCCGATGCGAATATCTGCAAAGATTCCTTCTGCCTAGATGGCTGGGGAAATTGTTGGTATCATGGCACCCACGTAGCCAAGTACCTCATCAATCCCCCCTCCCGCGCCAAACGGCGACTAGCCTAATACCGTTCTTTGCAACCTGCGGGGTGCTGGACTTGCAAAGCACCCAGACTACCTACGGATCAAGCTGAGGGGATTCAACAATGGCTAACCCTGGAAAGGCCACGACACTGAGTTACACAATTCCTAGGCGTGGAGTTGCAGAGCAGAGGGGCGATGTCATGCCGTCGCTCACAGACAGAGAGGCGGTCAGCAAGGTAGACTGCTCAACGCTGCTTCACTTTCCATCGTGTTCAGGTGGCATGCCCCGGATGCGCTGTCTGACGTGTCCTAACGAGACTCTGTTCAAACCGACGACGGCATGCAACATTCCCTTCCTTGTACCTCAGGTGTAGCGAATGGTTGTATGTCGCGAGCAACATACTTGCGTGCGGCTGTCTCCGGCTCCACTTGGCTTCTTGCTCTCGATAGTGAACCTCACATGCTAACGGCTCCGGCCAACCCACGGGCGTATGGTCGATGATGTGGGTTGTCTACAAAATGCAGCTTGCGGGATTGCGGACAGTCATGCCGGTCTCCGTCAGCCTGAGGCATCATGGAATGCAGTGGCCCTATCTACGGTCGTGGTCGAAGTAGATACAATGCCACTTTTTTAAGATGTTGATGATCCCTTAGTTTATTGGACCCACGTCGAGACTTATGCGTGCTAGGCGAAGAAGGCGAGCTTAATCCAATGAGTATCAAATGATAACCCAGCCAATGCCCTCACAGCATGCCTTGAATTCCATGCAAGGGTTTTCACTGGTCCATGCAGCAACACCATTCCTCGTCCCCGGCCAGACCATGCCATAATGTCACTCGGGGTTTGGGGCACTGGATCAACGGAAACTTTTCTCCGACGTCTTAACCGGAATTCCGCTCGACCAGTGGCGGACAGACTCGAATAGCCTTGTCCATCTGCGCAGCCGGCGAAAGTGGTGGGTTCAAGGGACGTCCTTGTCGCCAGATTCAGGCAGCTATAATAACCACGAGGTAAGACATTGATATATCGGCAAATAGGTACCTACTCCCCTTTCGAGGCAACATAGAAACGGAAGACGAAGTGGCGGGATAAAGCCGACCGAAAAGCTGGGTACGTGATCTGGTCCGGGGTGCGCCGGCCAGCAATCTGATATGCCCAGTTTGGCAATAAGGGGGGCCTGCGGGCTTTAAATAGTATCGACTTGTTCGAACCCTGCTTGAGGTACTCCAATGACACAATACTGCGTACCCAGTTACTCGGTCCAGGGTCCAGACGAAGGGAAACACAGCTAAGGGGCGAGACCGAACGAGCGAGTAAAGAAGCATAATCTTGTTGCCCACCGAGATTTACAGACTGTGGTGTGACTACTGGCGGGCGGCGGGGGACAAGATCCGACGCAGACCCTATGTCAGAATCCCCTGCACGCAAGTTGCTTAAGTAACAGTGTAGTAAACCAGGTAAGGGTTGTTATGGGATATGGGGGGGGGCACCCGCCACGCTAGCAGCTGCAGCCGGGAGGCAGCATGACAAAAACAATCGAGGCCTCTGATTGGGACGCTCGTACCGGCGCCACTCTGCTGATGTTCGAAAGAACACCGCAACCGAGACAACCCCCAAACCCAGCCATTGGGAACCCCCGCCTGTTTCGTGGGAATGGGAAGCAAAAAGGTTAGTTGAGAGGGAGGGGGGACTCGAACAGGGACAATAATGGCTGCCTGATCTGGGTAGGGGACAGTGACAGGCCCTGGAGGGACTTGTGAAGCAAAAACGAGAGACTAACACGCAGAGCCGACGCATCTCGCACATGCGGGCGGTGCGATAACAGTTGTTTCTCCGCCCTGCTGTTTCCAATTCAGTGGAAGGATTTTATTTTTCTGAAATGATGTGACCGCCGACGGTTCCCGGCGTTCCATTGTGGAGTTCCGCTACCGGGGGGGGGGGCGGGCTACAGTGGCAGGCAGGATTCGGCTCGGGGCGGTACAGGACTGCTGATCGTTCAGTTGCTGCTTAGGACCATTTGACGACGGTAATACGGCCAACGCCACATATGCTCGACGGCAAAGAATAAGCATGGCAGGAGCGCCGTTTAGCCACTGAGAGCAGCAGTGCATGTGACGTCCAGTGCCCGACGTGCGTCATATCGCTTACACCGAGGCCTCTCATGGATTTCCCACACTGCAAAACGGCGCAAGAAAGCTGAACAAAAACGGTGCTGCTTGGAAGCGCTTCCCGATTGGAGGAAGTATGTACATAGGTAGGTACACATCCACCACCTACCGGAAATGGTCAAAACGTTGCAACCCCGACGCTCGGCCCACTAGTGTGGCGGAATTCCACCTCGCAGAGCAAACAACACACATGCCATGTCCTGTACGTTACACTCCTCCGTACGTACCTACCTATGCTTTGGGTACCTTGCAATGCTAATCTGATAGACACGTCAGGTACCTGGTCTTCCTTCGCCTGTTGCATTCGATCCTTCCCTGCTTTGGCCTCTTTGGGGTACCGGTATCCGTAATCGTCGGTATATCCACCAAGAAGTGTGGTGCCGTTAGCACACTGCTTAACCTCCACGTTCTGTGAAGCTTTTATGCGATTCCGGCCAACGAGCACGCACCTTACCATACATACAGCCACACGTAAAATGCGACACTAATCAGATAGAATTCCGTGTCGTTACTGCAAGCACAGCGAACAGATGTGCCTGTAGGATCTGATTTCCTGCCCACCCATCTGCACCACACACAGCAAGGAGACGGATGGGGAAGGTAAACTCAGTCTTGCCGGGAATCTCTGAACCGAAGACTGCCCCCATCGCCTAGCCCGACATCGCCTGCGCGTCCGATTTAACCATCCCCAGATTCAGGAGGCACTGACTGGCATAGTGCAAATTGGAGGGCCTTGGAGCGGATTCCAATCCCATGTTTCCTCCCTCCCCATGTCACCGGCGGCGAGATGAATCCTGCCCGACGCCGCAGCACAACTCTCAAAGGTTCTTATTGTACGAGCGTGCTATCCAATTCTGCCTCCCAGCAAATCAGAGCTCCGTGTCCAGTCCAGCTGTCCCCTGGTGAAGATTAAGTCGGGGCTCGTGTGGCATCGTACCTGTATCTTTCCCCCCTTCCACGTCCTGGGAACCCCTTCCTTCCTCACGGTAGCTCCGGCCTATGGCCGTGTTAAAGTTCGTTCGGAGATCCTCCGACGACTATCATCTACCTAGCTGACATGCCCGCCGTAGGATTCTTCTTGACGCAAGTCACATGTACGCCTCCCGCGGGGAATCATGGAGACTTCTTGCGCAGTACCTTTGCTTTGGTCTACGGGGCTGGGCCAGCCTCGCAAGGCAACCGTCCCCTGCCCTATGCACAGCTGTGGTGATCGTGCCGCTGCCCTGCATGCCGTTTGTTGCTAGTGGGGTCCGTAACATGGATGCACACGAACTGGTTAACATACCTATGCGCAAGGCCTCTTTGCTCAAGGGGCACCCGTAAAACCTCTTTCGGAATTGGGGAAACGCACGACGGCTAGGCTAGGCTACCCGAGGGCGATACATCCAAAAATCTTCGCTGTCGTCATTCGGCGCCAGCACCGCTTACACCAAGAATCGCCATCATGCCACAGTTCCAAGACGTGGTAATGACCGACTATCGGTCAGCGAACATCTGCGGCACCGGCACGGGTATGAGTCGCTGTAGACAATCGCTCGAATCGTCTTCTGAGGAACATGCTTCAACCCAATTTTGGGGCGCTGTCCACTTCCATACTCGATGGGACGAAGCCATCAGAAAACTTTGGCGCAGCAGGCATCTCGTCTTCGAGTCACCCGAAGAGTGCGAACAAGTACGACATGCATCAGGCGCTGCCATTCTATGCATACGCCCTTGCCAATGCTGGACCCCTCCCACAGCTTGCATCCAAATCGGGCTCCGCCCTTCTTCTGCCAGAATTCTACCAAGAATGAAGCTTCACTGCTTGGAAGCGACCCGAAAAGGCGGGATTGCAAATGCTACGCTTAGCGACACCACCTCCCGTTGTACCGCACGCCCCCCAAGCCCTAGTCTTGGACGACTGTCGGGCAGGCAATGTGAATCCACGTTCGGCCTCTGGAAACCATCGGGATTTGACTGTTATCTCAGACAAACGGCCTTTCGACAATGATCCGCGAGACGAGGGCCGCTTAACGGTCAGCGAAAAGAGCAGCGAACACACCTCTTTCCGGCCACGGACGAAGCGTGTCTACATCGTACATGGTAGTAGGGAACATGCATCGGAATCACAAACAGCAAAAGTCGCATCCATCGTACACACAAAATCTACAGTACAGACCGCGAATGTTCGCCTCCTAAACCTTTCTCATACTTTCAGGGATGGGATGAGCAAAAGGAGACGGCTAGTGTAGGTCTGGCTGCGGCGGTGCTTTCGTAAACCATCCGTCCGATGTTTGGACTGGCCAAAAGTTGGACAGTTGGATGGTTGGTTACACAGAGTCATCTCATCTTGCCCTTCGAAGCGTCGTGGTCGAGATGGCTCAGCATCATGCAACGGCGGCAGGTCCAGAACTTAACGGCGCCGCGTCGGCTTACCACAATCTCGACCCCCTCGCCTCCGTCTTTGTCTACCGTCTTCCGTCTTTGTCCCCGTCGAATTTTGCTCCGTATTGCCAGGGGGCCCTTGCAACATTGCAACCCGCCCGTTCAGTGCGGGACTTCGCGCGCAGACAACGGCAGTCTCCAATTCTATCCCTGCCCGCACCTCCACCACCACCACTGCATGCGGTACAAGCTCTCGACTAGACCCAAGAAAGATGGCGGCGACGATTCTTCTCGTGCTTCTCGCTTCTACAGCATGCATCCTTGAACACAACCAAGGGCCAGGAACAAGAGGGTGGACGGAGGCCCCGCCATGTACATAAGCAGCCCAGGAGGTGTACTATCTGGGGTCCAATTCGACCAGGGATCCACTCGAAAGCTGCGTTGCTGGTGTGGGTGCATGTGTGCGTATGTATGTATGTATGGTGTGTGAGTGTGTATGTGTGCGTATACGTTCGTGGTCCCCCAAGGTCTGCCACAATGTTGCTTACCTACTAATCAACCATAGGACAGTTTTGCCATGTGCATATTGCGTCTGCCCCGCTGATTTGGCTGTTTCTTTACCTACCGGTACCCTGTCTGGTGGTGTATGGCTTCGTGGTATTTCCTTCGTTACGCGCCTTATATAATTCCCTGTGGCCCTTTGCAAATCCTCGTGGCGTAGCTTGGGTTGTCTTACACATCATCACTCTTCAGACATATATGCAGACGACGCTTTGCCTGCTCTCTCCAGCATATATCATCCCAACCCTTATCTTGGCCTACTTACGCATCTCGAGCCGACATCAAGTCGAACCTGCTTGCCTACCAACCCATCTCAATTCCACCATCCACGTCTTGCATCCTCCTATCAGCACTCAATTGCTGCAAATGGATCATTCACTGCCGCTCGACATGTACGACGACGTGGAGACTTTCTTGGATATGGACGCTCCTTACGTCTACGACGATCCTGAACAATACTTGGATACCACCAGCTCATCCGAGTCGACAAGTCCCGTCATGTCTAGTGTAAGTTGGCTCGTCCCACATCCCGCGACATTCAATTGACTTGGGTTCGACCTAGTTTGACATAACCCTCGTAAATGACTTCAACGGCCTGGATCAAGGCATCTATCCCAGCCCCATGAGCTCGTCTCGCGACACAGCGTCACCGCAGCCCACTTCGGAAGATAAGACAGCTCCGGCCAAGGCCCCCGCCAAGAGGAAGCGCGAGAACCGCTACAAAAACGCGCCCCCGTCGGTCCTTTCGGTGAGTACTGAAGCCCTCGGACACCGCGCTGGGTGTCACCCAGAGCGCCGGTTACACAGCTCTCCAGCGGAAATACTGACGAGCCTGCGTTCCTTCCACAGCGTCGCCGTGCACAGAACAGGGCCTCGCAACGGGCGTACCGAGAGCGCAAGGACCAGCGCATAAAGGATCTCGAGGTCATGCTCGCCGAGCAAAAGCAGAAGAGCGACTCCCTCAGTCAGGCCTACTCATCCCTACACGCCGAGTACATCAAGCTCCGGGACGAGCAGGTGAGGGCGCAGCAGGTCCCGCGACAACGCAACGCGCCGCCAATGGCCTACGATGCGTCCAACGTCGCCGCCCACTTGGGGATGCCCACACACTCGGGGACGATGAATTTCGCCGACAACATGTTCATGTTTCAGGATATGCAGAATTACACACTCTGAGCGGGGTATCCGCCTTGTCCGATGGAAGAGCAGTGGCGATGAGCGGCAGAGAAACGCAAAAGCCGTGGACTCCCATCTCTCTCTCTTTTCATCGGGTTTCTCTACTTCCTTTCTTTTGTCTCACGGGCCAGCCGAGTCTTGCTACTGTCCCCTGGGATCTTGGGAGGGCAGCTGAGGTTACGACGGTTATGCAAACAGACGAACGGAAAACGACCGATTGGTTCTACGGCTAAGGTGGTTCAACTGATTTTTCCTGCTCTGGGTTTTTCTCTCCTTCTGAGTTCTGTCTCTCTCTTTTTTTTTTTTTTTTTTGCCTTTTTGGGTCTTGGCGCGCTTGAATCTCTTAGCTGGCTCTATTACTAGATGGCGGAACATGGGCTGGCAAGGCCTTCGGGGCGTTATTCGAAATGGAGTTTGCATGCTTCTTCCATCAGTTTCAAATGGAGGCTTATTCATCCCGAGAGGAAACCACCGCGGCCCCATTGCCAAGATGCATGAATGCGGGGGGAGCTGGGTTCTGGTCTTGTACTACGCAATGCTTTTGGGACTCGGAGGATGGGAAACTTTAGGGCATAGTGGGCGGGGAAAACGAGTATGAATAACACGTGAGAATTCCATGTTTTCAACTACTGCTGATTTACGAATCTCGAGGGAGTAGGGGAGGTTTCCATCCGTCAACGCTCGGGTCTGACTTATGTGAAAGGTCAACCCCGCAGCTCCGCGATAGGTCCTCGGGTCTGTACGTCCGAATTGGTGAGCAAGGGGGAGGGGGGGAATGCAGACGGGAGGAATTTGGCCGTTGCCCCTGCGCGCTCGTGACGTAGACTACTTTTGCAGTGTTTTTACGACTGTGTAGGGCCATCATTGTGTACTCGTTCGACCTTACGAGGGACCGCCTTGTAACAGTACATCATTTGTGTCTCGGGCGAGGTTATAAATATCACCATGTCAAGAAGGGGATTAGGCAGGCAGCGAACGAAGTAGGGATCCCGTTCCCAGGCGGGGACGACGCGGCTTGATGGGCTGAACTTCCTGACAGGATGGCAGGTCTGCCGTCTGCCGGATCAAGCGAGGTCTAGTTTACGCCAAGACCCATCATCGAGCCAGCCCATAGTTCATGTAAGCTTCCCCCAAGCTTTTTGGGGTGGTAGGGAAAGGGAAAGGGGGGGGGCTCTTGTGGGCGCAGGGTGAGCAGGGTTCTCGTCAGGATGGGTTCATGGAAGCGAACGAAACAGGCTTGGCCTTCTTTACTGCCAGATCTAGCTTCACCGATAGGAACGCTTGTGCCTGCGGGTTTCCTTGGTCACCCTGCTATCAGCCCTGTGGGCGTTGCTGGCGTGGGAATGTTACTCAGCAGCGATTCACGTCAGCACCCTGTTTCTCTCCCCACTTGCCCACGAGAATGGTCATTTTTAGTGTGTCATGGTTTTGAGGTCCATTGATCTAGCTCCCGGAGCCGATTCCGGGGTCTTGGGGGCCGTCTGGTGGGCTACTCACTTACTCTGTCTACCTGTCATGATCCTATCAAGCTTTTGGGTACTTGGTAATCTACCGGGTGCGATGCGAGGGATAGTGGGGGGGGGGGGGGGGGGGGGGGCGCGATCTAAGCCCTCCCGCTATGCGGCTGCCTGGAGATGGAGATCGTCGAGGGGGGAGAAAACAAGCTTTTCTAAGAATGGAATGACAGTTTTGCAACCGTCGCCTGCAATGAAACGCGTGGCTGTGGAGAGCAGACGCGACTACCCCCGGGCTTCCATCCGTGCAGGTTCAGCTTGGATGGGCAACCAAAGTATGTTTGTGTAGGGTGCAAAGGTTTTGGGCACGAATGTACGGACGACGCGGGAGCTGGAAGCTGCCGACGACATATACAAAAGTAACATGTAAGTTCTCCGGTAGCCGGGTCTGATGTTTCTGTGGCTTGCGTAAACCTCTCGGAACTACGCGGCCCCTTTCTCTGAAGGTTGTCTTGTGGCCGTTTCTCCGCGTAAACGATGTCAGTTTAGGGGTGGGGGTCTCTCTTCTCTCTCTCTCTCTCTCCTGCATTCAACGCAAATCAAATTCTGTACCGTTTCAATGCAAGGTTGGAAAATCCCATCAAATACGGGGTCCGGCATGTTACGTTGCTCTCGGTGGTTTTGCCCGTCTTATGGTCGCATACACGTCGCGGGTCCCTCGGCATCTCGGCGTCGCTGACAATGAAGGGTGGCTGGCTCGGACCGGTTGGAGCTGACAGCTCTCTTAGCTTGACGAGGTAGCTCCGGGTCCCGCCGTCTTCGCTATCACGTCAATATCGTCACGAAAAAGCAAACATTTTCAAATGTTCCTTTTGGCCTGGGCGAGGTCTGGTCGACAAGAGGGCTGCCGCATGCACATGTACGTGATATGTGCAACAACACCGATGACCATTGCTCCTGTTTTGGAGCCAGCAGCTTGTATGTTTTTGTCGCTTATTGTAACATATATGAAATACTTGTTGATATCGGCTGACCTATTGCGCCCTGTTTGCAGATCTATGTGCATGTCAATGTTGGGGAGCTGCCCAGACTATGCGATAATTGGCTTCGAATAGGCTTAGAATGATGGTCCCCCCATAAAGTATTGGGTACCACTAGTTCTGTGATTGAGCATCGTTAAATCTATGTGAATTTACGCAAGTCCCAGAGAACGTCATGTTCAGGGCGGCCTCAGTGGCCTGTGATCCGGAAAGACGATGACTTGTCGGTGTCTTCTCTGTTTCCTTTGAGCGTCATTAATGGCATCACACGGGCCGACCTTGATAAAATTGTATCATTGCATAATATGACAGTTTGACGTGGTTCTCGGACATGTTCCTATGAGGGTTGTAAATATCGCGCTGAATGACCGCCGATGGCGTCTATGGACCGGTCTTCGCGCCTAACATACGTCTTTGAACACTACCAAGTTACAGCCCTTACTTCAACTCAGTAAGGAGGGTCTCATAAGGCAAAACTCCGCAGAAAGTTCCCCGGCCGGGTCTCAGCCATATGCATAATAACTACAAAGGTATTTCATGTACATGCGCGGACTTCCAACTTGTCTGACTGAGGCGCGTAAGCCGTTTGACGAGAAGAGAGACACGGTCAGAAATTTAAATACTGGATTATCATCAAGAATGACAACGAGCACCGTATTCGAAGGGAAATTTCAGGATACAAGGCCTAGAGGGCATGGCCGTCTTGGCCACGCCAAGTATACTCAGTAAGCAGAAGGATCTTTTTTTCGCCCCAGTTACAACCCAGTTGACTAGAAGAAGAGATCGAATAGGTTTAAAAGTCTTATTGGCTTATTCGGGATCATGGAGTGATTGCTCATGAAATATTCACTGGATCGGCTTGCTCCTGCGGCACTTTGTTGTGCCATACAACAAAAGTCTGTATGCACCTTTACCACTGATTGACTACAAAAGTTGGGAACTAACGTCTCATTATACTAAGGATCCCCTTAATCATTGATTTGAAACGCTAGGTGCTAAAAAGGTCGTTGGTAACAGAAACCTGTTGAGGTAAGGTTAGTCAGGCTATATGCTTCGCCAGCCAAACTAGACTTCAACTACTAGTAAGAAGATGCACAAGTAGTCAACAAGCTACATAAACGCGGCTTGAACTTTAAAGCAATACTTGAAAACAGAGTTACAACTCCCAAGGTTATGTCACAACGTTTGGGTTGACACCGTGACCAGGGCAACTGTGCTCATTCGGATAGTGATTTGAGCTGCCGAAAACAACTCTTATCCTGAAGACGTATCTGGTATTATCAATGGCATTTCAATGATGGTATTGCCTGTTATGATAGCGGCAACGGCTTCGAAGTAATCTCAGGGCACAATGGCTTTCTCGTGCTACTAGTCGAGTTTGCGACAGAACTTACTTTACACTCCGACATACTATATAGGTCGGCCAAGTCACAGTTGACGGATGTCCTGTCCGAAAAGCATGTAACGCTGAGTATCATCTCAAAGGTCTCTGAGTGTGACCATTTCAATTCTCTAGGGCTGCCAGTGAAGCTATTGCAAACTTGTTAGGTAATCGTGAGACCTTTGGTAAAGGCAGTCGAGTCCTCCTTGGCGCGTGTGTTTTCTTACCACATTCAAATGAGGTTAAGGGAGGCCCACAGCGACCCGAGACTTGGACTCCAACATTGAACGCCCATGCTCCATGTTAGCCATCATTAGCCGCTGAAGATATTGCTATCATGCGATCTTTCGTTGAGGCAGACTACGAGTCCGATTCTGCCCTATAAGAGGACGGGTATCAATGAAGTAACTGGACCATGTGACACGGCCACAGAGTTGCAACGTGTCCTCAAAATAAGCTATGCAGGGGCAAGGGATAGATTGGCATAGCGTTGGGGCATAGCTCTCGACTAGAGCCTCCTCTAGATTCGCAACAAATGGCCACCGTAAGGTGCTTTGATCTAGAAGGTTCTAGACGACAAGATAGTACCTGTACGATGCACAGTTACAGCACAAACGCAACCCAACCAGCAGCTGATACTATCAGCCAGAGTTACCAGGCAGAACGAGTGGGGATATTCTTATTGCTGTAACAAGACTTTTTGACCTGGTACTGTAGCTGAAGATTGTTATCTTGCTTGTCTGATACCATCACATGTTTGCCAAAACAAAGAGGGTGAAGATTGCGCAAGCAAAGCCCGAGCCCTCGACTTTCGTCATCAAAATTCAATCAACTCAAGAGAGGTGTGCTGTGGAGCTCGAGCGAAGGCTCGATGACTTGGTTGCACGGCGGCGTCGCTACATACACCGTACAGCTACTTACTATTCTCTGGCAGCTCGACAGATTGTAGCGGTCAATTGTTGTAATACTACTGTGCCGGGCTTGGCTCACTCGACAGATCACCAACCCGACGGGTCGAGACTGTTCGATACGAAGAGAGGAGAATAGGGGAAAGGGTGGTCACGGGATCCGTGGGGAAACCGAGACCCCTCCGGTTGCTTGCAGCGTGCTCCGTCAATACCATGGGCCCCGCCGTGATAGAGACGGTTCGCGATAACGAACACTGTCCCTGGTCCGGTTGCCTGCCATCCCGCCTGTCAATGACTCTTACGGCAGTCAACCATGGAAATGGCGTGATCTGGATTGCATAGCTGGTGATAGCACATCTTATCTGTGTTATCGGGATTGTAGATTCAAGAGCCCCAAATATGATGAATAGATCGGCCTTGAGAGAGCCAAGAGATTCGATGCTCGAGCTTGCTTGCAGAGCCGGTGGTTGTTCGAGCTGGCCGGCAGGGGCGGTCGTCGACTGGCGAATGGAATGGCAGCCTCAAGAGAAATGCGGCAGGTGGAAGAGGAAACACGTCGAGCACCACTCTATCAGGACAGCCGGCCTGCAGAGTAGATCAGAGGGGGGCACACACGGCGGAGAACCGGATTCGTGCGAGTCAGGTGGACACTGACGAGCTTTCCCCACTGTAGTCATGGCAGTTTCGGTCTCTGCACTGTACAGTACAGATACACTACTTCGTATCGTATCTCGTGAGGCAGCACGGAAGTAAGGTGGGTGATCAAGCGGAGGGCTGACGTCAGTCCGAGGTGGCATTGCGAGATGGGTGGGATGTTAGCAGACGTTTAAACCACTTCGAGAGAGCTCCAGAAAGCTCCGCAAACAAGCCGGGTGGAGCTCATTGGTCAATTGGCCCTTGACCGACCCTGACGACAAGCTTGACTGGTTCAGTGGTCTCGAAGACCGAGATTGGAAGGCGGAATTCCAGTCATACGGGTCATTTCCCACGACATGCATGGGTATTGCAGACTTGTTGGGGAGGCAATTCGCTAGGGAGAAGTCCGGAAACGGGGCTGGCAGCGGGCAGCTGACGATGGAAGGAATCCATCAGAGCCCCGTTCCCCCATCGTGTTGAAGCTGGAATTGCTGCCACGGAGCGGAGTTTCGCATGGTCCATGTACGGTATGTGCCTTAGGTTGGAACAGGCGAGAGAGGTGGAAAGAGCGCCCGCCGGTCGCCGAGCATGAGCGTGATCATGTGTAACGTCCTGCAGGTTGCCGCGATGGAGTCTTTGCAAGGTGTCATGCTCAGGTAGACCTGCCACATGGCCATAGAACAACGAAGCCATAGCTCGGCGTTGGGCCATCCGATATCAGAACCATGCAGCAGAATTGGTACAGGTGGTGTTTGCCATTGGCAGCAGCCCTTGAACCGATGTCAAGGGACAAGGAACGACGGAAAACGTTGGGGGCGGTCGGTGGCAGCGGCGACAAACGACGATGGCAGCAGGGACGAAGCAAAAAGGGAGGGAGCAAGCAAGCCGGGATAAGACGACACTGGCGATGGGCAGTTTTCTCAGGGTTGCGGCGTTGAAGTGGCTCGATGGCTCGTCGGGGCATGGGTTGGCGGGTACTGGTCGCGTGCTGCTCCGGTACTTGCGTGGCCGCTGCGGCTCAGTCTTGGGGGATGTAACGGACTAGCGTCGGTCGGTACTCTGTGTACCCACTACCCCGCAATCTGGCCACCCGTCCCAGCTGCATGCTGGTACCTGAGACCCTGGATGCCGAGTGGGTCGCCTTTTGCGTCACTGTGCTCCCATGCTTCAACCCAGGGGAGACTGTGGAAGAAGGAATGAAACAGCCCAGGAAAGCACGAGAGAATTCTTCTACCGTCCACCTATCTAGGCTGGCCGTCAGTAGAATGGTCCATTGGTTTCCTGACAGAACGATCGGTATGTCAAAAAAAGACGAGGAAGACACCGACAGAGAGTGGCCAAACACGAAGCTATATGGTACCGGAGAGGGGAGAGGCGGGGGAAGGGGGGAAAGAAAGAAAGAACACAGACGGGTCAGTTGCAATGCCCCGTCTCCACTCCCCGGGGCCCAGTCCAAGTCCACGCCGGCCGGTCCCCCGTCGCTGCTGCTGCTGCTGCTGCTGCTGCTTCCCTTGCAACAAGCCCCTCAGCTGCATCCATCAGGTCACGCGATCCAGCTTTCTATACCAGAGGACCCAGGCTTTCCGGTCCTGCGAGATGCAATCCGCCCTTGCCATGCACCTCATTGGGCAAACTGTCCGATGGTCGCATGATGTGATAGGCTGCCGTCTCTCTCGAGCCTTCGACCTTTAAAAGCATCCCGTAGCTCTGCTCATCTACATATCTACCGCCTCTCCCTCCCCTCTCTCCCCTCTTTCATTCTCACATCACCGCAACTATTTCATCAACGCGCTTCTCTGTTCAATCCATCGAATCGACTCCTCAACAGCCATTTTTTCTCCAGCAAGCATCAACGGCACATACTCGAGTCAATCCGGCCTCAGTTGTGTCTTTCAAACACCTGCACGCCTATAGCTAACCCCATCGACAACCCCTTTCATCAAGAGTATGTACTCCTAACCCCCTCTTCGCTTCCCCAAACCTCTTGACCTACACTACACCCCGCATCACAAACCCTCTCGTGTGATGCCTCTCCTCATCACCTCAGCCCCCTGTCAACTCCCATATGTCGAAATAGTCGCACATCTTCCACACCAGCGCACATACACGAGTTCATCTCGTCAGCATGCCAATGGGCTCCTCGACGCCTCTCTGATCTAGCTCATCTGACATCGCGCCAGTGACTCGCTCTCATAAGTTCAACGACCGTGACCACGCCGGTCTGGCCGATGGAACCGCTGCCGCCCAGGAGCATCTCCCTCGCTACTTTGCGAAGCACGGCCCTGTGGGTGCTGACCCCAAGAAGGTGAAGAAGAATGGTGGTGGCAGAAGTAACTGGTATGTTTCGACCTTTCTACTCCACTTACACGTACCTCTTTCCCTTTTGGCAATGTCACGGCACCGCCATATCCCCTAAAACATAGTGCCACGTGCATCTTGGTATCAAGTTCAATAAGCTGACATGGAAACTCATCTTTCAGGGGCAATGCTGGCGAGGAGGTCGTCGACGAGGATTTCCGCTTCACCTACGCCCGCCGCCGCACAAACAGCAGTGGCTTCGCCGACAACATCGGTGCCTTCAAGACTAAGTTCGATGTCAACGAGCCCGAGCCCGTCTTCGAGGAGTCTGTCCACGGACCCACCGAGTTGGACGGTGAGGAGCTCACCAAGACCGAGTCGTCCGAGAGCGGCCGTTCTTCAGCCTATGGTGACGATAAAGTCACCAAGCACTAATTCCAACCCCTCTACCTCGTGTGCAATACCATTACCGCTGTTTCCAGCACGGTAGTCGAATCGTGATCTTTCGTCTCAGCTTTTTCCCTTTTGGGAAACTTGCTATCAACAAATAATTCAAAACATATCTTGCATGGGAGGACGGGTATCAATGGCTTCTGGTTTTGCTTTCAAACGGTTTCGGCTACACATGACTTTGTATTCTGAGACCCGGGATGGACATTGAGTTGAGATGCTCTCCCAAAGATTGACTGCTCAAGAGGCGGATAACGACATGCATCACGAAACTCTCATGACCTGGCGACGAAAACTGTCGCCCTTGTATTATCAACCCAAATGGCCAACGATCTTGACAATAGATTTATGCCTTGTATTTATATGTTCTTGATTATTTCGTGAAGTTTGACCCACTACTTTGTAGCTGTGATGTCTTGCTGTCGTCTTGATGCCCCCATGTTTCACCCACTCTAGCCCTGCCAGATTGTGCTTTCGGTTCCGCTGGGGTCGAGCTCCATCCCCCTCAGGCGGGCACTCCTGACGGCCGAAGTAACTAATGGCGAACATCAACAGTAACTGATGAGGGGCTGCCGTCAAAACGAAGCAAGGTCATTTGTTTGATTAACATTGTTGTCGTTAACTTCAAGTCATCGTTTGGTTCTCCTTTTCAGATTACTTGGATGGAATCTTGGAGCAAAGGTTACCCTCTCGTCTCCAGCCTCCCAGCTTGGCAACATCTTCCTTACAACGACCCTCATCGCCCAGATCAGCCCAGTACAATCTGTACACACCACCCAGACAGAATAAAGCTATGAACCCCGCTTTTGGCCACTTTGAAATACCAGTCTTTACCATTCAACTCCAAGGACGCACAGCCGTTTGACAAACGGGGACCAGCCAAATGTCAACGTGAGACGGGCGTATAGTATCTGCTCCTCCAATATCCTGAGCTCACTGGTCTCCATCGTGGCCAAATCTCTCCTTGTGAGTGTGGAAGCAGATGTCTTTGCAACATCCGCTGTCGCCAGCACTGGGTTCGGGGGAGTGGGCTCGACAGCGGGGAAGAAGAGCTCGCCCCAAGCCTGGGCATTCCACACAAGCTTCCCTTGCGTAATGCATCCAGTCTCGTCTGCTAGGGTACCCATGACACGGGCGTTGAGGACGAGCGTCTGCTGCTTCATGCAATTCTTACACGTCGCAGATGGCTGGTTTGCATATAAGGGAACCCCACAGCTGACGAGGAATAATACATTAGTTGTGTCTCATCGAACAGCAAAGCGGGAAGAAGAGGAGAGCTCACCATTCCGTACAAAACATCATCTTTCTTCGATGGAGCTCAAGCAGGTTGATACCTAGGACAGTAAGATTCAGCTTGCCGGTGAAGTCAGTAGCCGGATCGGCGCGTGCGAAGTCGTCCACCTCGGCGAGAGTGAAAAGTGGTCGGACAGGCCCATTAACAGCAACCTCTGCGTTCCACACACCTTCTGGGAAGGGTAAGAAGACGGCCTCTCTCTCGACTCTTTTTGTAACCCATTCGCGAAGCCAATTGGCATCCTGGAAATTCGGATCGACGTCAACGATAGTGTTATAGTTCAGACTAATACCGGCGCTCGTGGGTAGTGGTTTGGTGTCCCGTGGAGGCACGAACTTTGGGTTCGTCAGAAGTAGGATGGTCTCGTTGGGCTTCCATAGCTTGGCGGAGCTGGCCTTATCTTCCCAGAGAGTCAGCACGCAGCTGGCGGTATCGTCGCACACGCTGACTTCGAGCAGCTCCGCCTCTTTCGTACGCTCTTGCATCATGATGCGTTTACGGGCGCCGAAACCCTTGATGCAGACAATGATACGGGCTCCTCGGGTGTCATGGCCTGTCTTTAGATACTGCCCCAAAGTCATAAGGCCAGGGAGAAGCTTCGACTTCCGTCCGCGGTCATCATACTCCAGGGGCACCCGGCAAAGTCGCTGGTTCTCTGGAGTATGGGGCAGAAACTGGATGAATTGTTTTGTGCCTACGTCAGCTGGGTTTATTGGGGTGTACATCGTAACAAAGGGGATGTTGCCGTGATTTGAACCCGCCAAGGTACCTGTCCAGCTGGCCCAGACAATCACGAGCTGTCCTATGACCAAACGAGAGATCGGGATACCAATAGGGACGAGATTGACCTAGACGGCTGTTAGCCTCTACAATACTCGTGTGGCAGCGTTAATACCCACAATTATGGCTCCCGTATCATCTGTGACTATCAATTGATGCGCTGGACGACTGTAGGTCTTCTTGGTGTTGAGAAAAGCCGGAGCGTAGTTGACTATGCGACCAGTGAAGCGGATGCGAGTCGGACCCAGTTGAATGTCACCGATACACACATTCTCGTAGTCTTCTGACGGGTTCCACGGTCGGTCAAGGTAATTGTGTCCAGAATTGATCTCTTCTTGTGTAAATCCATCATTTTTTCGTGGCCATCTGTCAGCTGGCGCAGTTCCACGTGCAGTCGGAAACTCCTTCTTGTAAAAGGCTTGTATGGAGATCTCTGGCATCGTGGGATGGGACTTGTCAATAAAATAACGAACACACTTGAAAGTATAGATACGGAAAATTTACAGCTAATGGGTCAGAAGGTGGATGTTGAGGTTCTTCCTGGGCCTTGGGATGGTAGACATTGCTCGCGCTTTTGGGAAAGAAGACATCGGGAACATGTCGAGTCGGGGGAAAGACCCGCCCTTATATCGCCTTCCTTATCCATGATACTGTCATCCCTTCCCAATGCTCTCCCTCTGCGGGCCTACCGGCATTTCAGGCCCTCGTTTCCGGGCTCAGGTAACGATGTATGCCGTTGAGCGAATTATTAAGACGCCGGACAGGTGCGGGAGGGTCGTTTAAAGACTTGGCTTCGATAACGCTACATACTTTGATCAGAAATCTTCCAGAAGAAAACTGCCAATCCGCTCAAGCCTTTTTGCCATCCCGATCATCAGGGGTTATCTTGGAGAACATGTTGGCAATCAATGATTACAGAAACGATATGTAGACGTTTGAACGCAACATTACCATGGAACCGACGCGAAAAGACCGTCAGTTGATTGAGATAACCAGAATTGGACCCGCGCGATTGTTTTCTTTTTGTTCGGTATGCTTGAACAGAGATGTATTCTTCTTCTCACTCTGATGGCCAGACTAAGTTGTCTCACGTAGGTGTAGGCTTCCTCACTTGTGGTGCTGATCCTGTTCCGTTCTTCATCGAAGAACCGGCGACCCACGTACTGTAACGGGTATGATCTTAAGTATAAATAAGGGGCGTCGGACCGTTTCCGCCCCAAGTGCCAAAGCAGGTGCTCCTAACACTCGACGACGTAGAGCAAATTATGCCAATAGGTACGTCGATGGATGGTGGCCCAGGTTGCTAGACTATTTTCGTAGGCGTAACAAAAGACGTAAGTCACATTTGATTTATTGGTTAAAAGACGATGGTATGAAGCTTTTGGAAGTGACACAGTTCGAACAAGCGGATATGGCGGAACAATGGATTCAAGTGATTGAAGAAAAGGATTAAAGGACAGGTTCATGCGATATTTCTCATCTGTTTCTCGGGCATTCCTGCGTAAGGTATCCAGAGGGGCTAAGGACAGAGAGAAAGAGGTACATATATTATGCCCACAACTAGATCCCCCTCTTTGATAAGCTTGTGGCTTATGTTCGTTCCACTGTGGTTGGAGGACGTCTGTTATGGATCGAAGACGCATCGTCCAATGGCTTGGCGTGCCATTGAAGTTTCTCGGTGCTCGTAGCGTCAAAGAAAGCATATTTGATCAGGCGAATGTAAGTTGAGGTCTTGCGTTAACCCTCTTCAGGTCTGGGTAGCCAATGAAACATTAAGATAAAATGAGCACGACCCCGGTAGGACTGGGGGGTTGAAGCCATTGCCAACTTAAGCCATGCCTGCACGTCAGGTTCCCAATCGTCCCATTATCAATCCGCTAAGTGCAGTGGCGTGTCTTGCTGCTTCCTAGGTAACTCAATGTCAAGAGAGACAGACAGACAGTAATAGGAGGAAAGCCAGGGGCGTACAACACTTACTGCAGAACAGCTCGCAGTTGATTGCATCTGTCCAATGTCCAAGCGTTGTATGAGTAGAATCATCGCTCCACCCAGACCGAAGATCGACAACATATGGTCTGTGCAACCGCCTTCCTCCAGAGTCGGACAACGCACGGATTCAACTTCCTTGTAACCGACTTATCTGCTTATCGGGCGAGCATGTACGACAAGCTCCCAAATTTCTGAACTCCAAGTCGCGGCAGCCTCGCGCCAATTTTTGGTTGAAGTCGGCAAAGCAAGCCACACCCTCTACGCCCTTAGCGACCAAAACACTTTATTGAAATTTCAGGCAGTTAGATTGAAGCCACTGTTGCGAACAACTCTTTCGATAGTACGTTTCTTATTGAATTGGATTCGTCTCAGCATGTCTGCCCTCAACGCCTTCCACGAGTCTCTCCCATGTACGTTGCTGTTTGCACCGTCCGCCGTGCGCCTGCGACCTCAACTAACATTGAATGCCTGCAGATATTGATGATGAGCCCACACCGGAGGAGCGCGAGGCCTCCTTGGCCCTGATTATGGCCGAGCTAGCCACGTCTCCCCCGCCCCCTACATCAACCTACAAAGAACCATCCTTCTCTCCCCTTATTGAACTTGAGCTGGAACGCGTTGCCTCTAAACAGCCACTCAAAGCCATCAACCTCGAGCGTTACCAAGCACAAGAGCCTTTCACAGACTCTGGGAAACCATCGACAGCAGAAGACCGCGAGCGTCTGGCTGACGCTCTCCGGAAAGCATACATATCCTATACCTATCTAGATACACGCGCTCAGAACCTCAGGTTGCTTGACAAATGGGGCAAGAATGCTTGGCTAATTGGTAACTGGGACCTGGAGAACAAGCTCAAGGCTCTGGAGCGCGATCTCGCCGAAACAAAGCGCTTGATCGACGTCTTAACTGTCGCTCGAAGGCGGCAGCAGGAGGAAGTGGCAGCTGAGATGAAGGGACTGGAAGAGACCTGGAAGAAGGGTGTGGGAAGGATACTAGAGACTGAGATTGCCATTGAACAGTTGAGGAGGGAGATTCTGGAAGAGATGAGAGTAAGAGGAGGTTAATGCCGAGTTCTTGTGCCAATACCGAGAAGGAATGGGCGCCGGTGCCTGGAAAAGGCCGCTCGCCTACACTATGTATACACCAATGAGGAAGAATCAATGATACCACGAAATGCTCCAACTACCACACTTCCAGGACAGCATTGTGGATGAAATATTCTTTACTAACAGGTATCTGGACATCACTATAGCCGTGTCTCTTAGGAAGCGAGGGTAAGGGGTTCCGCTAACGCCGCCGTGAATCTTCGCATTCACTTTCAACCATCCGAAAGCCTGCCATCCATACTTGAATAAAAACGCAAAATCATCCAAAGCTCTACCGCTTTTAAGCTGCTTGAAGCGGATCCATCTCTTCGACACCAGTCTTGACGCCTTCGTACTTTGTCCGTCTCATGATGCCTTCAACAGGACCAAGAAGCCTCTGGAAGGCGTTCTTGCCGAGGCTTGCGACCTTGACATCCGTCGTGGCAACGATGCTAGCGGCGCGAGGGGCGTCGTTCAGAAGCGCAAGCTCGCCGAAGAAGTCTCCCTTGCTGTAGTGCTTTACGGATTCTTTGCTGTCACCTTTGTATGCATCGGCTTCACCGCTCTCTAGGAGGAAGAATGAGTGCCCAGGGTCGCCTTCCTTGATGATCGTTGCCCCCGGTGCGTATTTTTGAGTTTCCAGCGCATCGGCGATTTTGGATCGCTCGTATGGCGTGAGGCTCTGCAACAGAGGCACCTCTTCAAGGAAACTCTCGTACATTCGCCGCCGAGCAAATGTCGACTCCATGAGGATGCGGCGGAAAGTGAGACGGTCAAGCGCCCAGAGAGTACATCCAGGCTCGGCAGAGATGACGGTTGCAGCGCGCGGAGCATTGTACATCAGAGCGAGTTCACCAAACGAACCTCCAGCCTGGATGGTTCCGACTTTTTGACCCATGCCCTCGGGGCCAGGCTGCAAGTTACCACTGTTATTGACGTATACGTCGAAAGATCCCTTCTCTACTACGTAGAAGAAGTCGCCGGCGTCACCCTGACTAATGACCTGTTGTGAATTGTCAGGATCCGGTCGTGCGATATGCCAACGTCAAGGCTAGCTTACCTTAATGTCCTTGGCAGGAATCGGCTTTTCGTTGAGCGCACCCAGAATTTGGGAACTCTGCTCTTCGTCAAGATGGCTGAAGAGAAAGTTGCCTTCGATGGCAGTCTGCAGACGTCCCAGTTGTTCCTTGCTTTTTTCGTGGTGAGGAGGTGACCAGTTATCGTACGTGTCTGCGCTAGGCTTCAAAGACTCGGCCGAGACCGAGGTTCGGCGGCCAAAGTTGTATTGGGCGGGATAGCTCTCGGGATTCGGTGGACTTCTAAGCGCAGACGGCGGGGCATCGTTGACAGCGTCGCCACCGAATGGGCCGCTGAACATTGAACCAGAATTCATGCCGAAGCTTGGTGATGTAGGAGACGTGACAGTGTCGTTCTCCTCTTCTTCGATTACTCGATGAATGGCGTTGCCTCCCGCCGGGGCTCCATCGCTGGGGCCTCTGAAAGGGTTGGCGTTAGCCCCGAAAGGACTCTTGAACATGCCGGACATTTTCTGGTGTAGGATATTCGTCTGCAAATACGTTCGTATGGTAGATAGAGATCGGCTTCGTGGGGCTAGTTACTAGGTGGGTGTGGGAGGCGGCGCAGAGATTAAGGATGTCGGCTGTTTCGCGTGAGCGTCGTGGTAGGCTTCGTGCTTTTTCAGTCAGCTTCAGCTCGCATTATTAGGGTAGCAGCAAAAGGAATGTTAGACGGTTGCCCCGTCTCGAGGGTCATGGTGGTGGGCAAAAGAATGTTATGAAATTGGTGGGGGTTTTCGGCATGGTTCAACTATCGTTGTACCTGATGCTTAGTCCTCGCGTTCAGGCTGTAGTAATGGAGATGATCACGACTCTCTTAGTGACTACGCCGCGGAGAGGGTATGCTTAGGTACAGTGACGCAGGCAGAACAGAGACACCATTGGCTGCGGCCGGGTGACGAAGAGGGGTGGTGGCAAGATGCCTCAACGCGATGCCAAGTGATAGAATGGGCGGCTGGAACGATATGGGGATGAGAGCACGCACTGTAAAGTGACGTGCTTTTGAGGATGGAAACGGTAGGAAATAGGAAAATAACGATGGGATGTGATGAAGCCAACGAAGATTCGAGGATAAATAACAGGGAGAAAGTGACGAATAGGTTGAACTGTTGAAGGTAGACAGGCTTCTGGGCCAGCGCGTGGCCACGAAGGGAGTTATCACTCACCAGAAGACAGCGTACGGAGCTAGCTCGTGGGCGATGGCAAGTTGGGGCGGATAGCTCGACAGCCTTCGTAATATTGACAAACGGATCTTGGGGAAGGGAATCTTGGCTGACCAGACCGTGCGATAAAGAGTCGGTAAGGCCGATGAAGCTGTCAGAAGCCAAGGAGGATACTTGGCGAGCGCGTTGACTGGGTTGACGAGGGGAGGTGGAAAGGAGAAGAAAGATCACGGCGTGGTATAGCAATTATGATCCGGGACGAGAGTGCGGCTAGTACCTACCTATGTAAAGGAGGGACTGGGGGAGGCGTGGTAAGTGGCCGGTTCTGTGTCTAGGTGCTCTCGTACTGTCCGGGTGCAAAACAGAGACCACGGTAAGGTTCGCTTTGTGTATCTTGATCGAGAAAAGCAGGAGGTGACGAGATGGGAACACAGAATGGGGGGAGTGCAGGAAGCGGAAAGGCCAAGGGAAGGGAAGCTTTTTGGGTTCGGTTTAGGGACGAGGATTGCTCTGGGACGGGGGAATAAGGTGGGGGGAGAGTCGAGAAGCAGGAGGCACGGAGGGTCCTTTGACGCATCGCTGCTTCCAGTCAAAACACAGTAGCAAAGAAGCAGGTGCTCCCCTCCTTCTAGCGCTCCTCAATGTTCCCCTTCTCCTTTACAAGGTGACGGTGAGGTCCTAGCTTTTGAGGGGCCTTGCTGCCCCGGCCGACCAGTCACGGACGTCGAAGGGTTCTAGAAGGTGCACGGATCGATTTGTGGTCTGTCGCTATTCCTCCTTCCCTGCAGCCCGAAGTGTCCGGGCTTCAGCTTCCACTTCCTAGCCGCTTCGGTTGGGATTCTATGCAGCTCTCAGCGGCGGCGCCTCTGACTGGCTCACTTTTTGCTCGCATCAGCTAGTGTACACGTATTGCCTCAAGGTTGAGACAGAGATACGTACCGAATTTGCCTTCTCTCTGCCCCCAACCAGAGGTGACAAGCCCAGGGCACCTTGAGTGCTTAGGTCCCCTGGTTTCGGCCATGTCATCATGAGGGGCAGCCCTCCCTTGGAATTTCAGGGCGCTTTCGGTGGGCCTCCCCCGTCCGCCCGCAATTGCCCCTCACTAAAACTCGGCTGTAGTGGCTTGTCCATTCGATAGCCCGTTGATCGTGGTTGGTACGGCCATTTTAGGTGTGCAGCCAAGGGAAACCCCGTCCCTTTCCCGGCAGAGAGGACTTGCCTGTTAGTCTCAGGAATCCTTCACTAGCCAACATCAGCCCGCTGCTTTCGCCTGAAAGCCTATCCGTAGCTGCTCATCGATTTCGTCTCAGATAGCCAAATCTCTCGCACCGTCAAGCTGCATGTGTTCAAATCTGTCCTTTTGAGCCCTTGGTTTAGTATATATGATGAGGCATTTCAGCTGCTGGCTCATAAAAGTTTTTGATAAAAGGAAGGAAATAATTCCTTTCTGCTGTGCATCTGACCGTTGATTCGCTGATCCGCCATTTTCTTCTTGTTTCATGTTATAAAAACCAGGCAATCTTAGTTAGCTTGCAAACATATCTCAGCATCCGAAGACTGATTTGCATCCTCGCTGATGTTATGTTGATAGAGAGCGTGAAAATTGCCCATGATGGAGCAAGTAACAGCTTAAGGATAGATCATCTCTCCTGTTGCCTGATTTGCCATTGCATCTGAGCGGTAATTTACTATGCTTACAATATTTGGAGGCGACAGGAATTAGGTGGAAGGAGAAGAAAGATACAATCGCATTTCTGAACTCGTATTACCCGTCCGCCTTAGGGCAGCCAACCAATCAACCAATCTTTCTAACCCAAAAGCCAATGTGCGAGTCATCAGGTCATTGAAACTATTAGGCCTTGTCGAGAACGGAAACCATAGCAGGGGGGGTGAGTGCATGAATACAGCGAGCACTGCTGACATTCGCAAGATACTATTGATAGTAACAGAGAGTAGGAAGCTCTAAGCAATCCGATATGGTGTAGTGGCCAACATGATGCCCTCTCAAGTACCCGAGATGACAGGCATAGCCCCGAGTTCGATTCTCGGTTTCGGAATATCGGATTTTTGTTCAGTTTTGTGCTCTATGCTCTCATGCTTCCCACAGCAAATTAGTCTCTATATAAACATATACATATACAAGTATATAATAATATTATGTACAACGTACGTACTGTACGTACGTACACCTATTCTCCTATTTAACACATCGGCATGGAACTGGATGTCTATTGCATTGCTGCTCTCGCGTCTTCTTTACGTGTACAGGGTGGCAGGGGGAAGTTAATTACCCCTATGATGTTACCCCCCACAGCTGATATCATAGTAGAGGGGGAATATTCACCAAAAGTGAAGTCCTGCAGTAGGGGGGTGAGCATTAGTTACCTAACAGGGGTAATTAACTTCGGCCGGATACCATTGTACGACGTAGATAGTACCTATGTCATTATGCAGGCGTCACAGTGGAGATGTGGGGATGAATGATATGATATTATCAGAAATTCGGAACAGGGTACTTCTTATGCTACTGCGCTGCTAACACTGACTCTACTAGACCGTTCGTCCTCTAGTTATTTAGTTAAATGGCTATGGCGCTTCTCACCAACCAAGGTAGTTCGGTTATGAACGAACCAGATGTTCAACCCAATTACTGCGCTGTGATTGCACGCCTGGAATGTCCGCCCGTGCTTCCATAACTGACGAACAAGTGGATCGCTAAGCCACGGCGCTAGTCCCAATCCACGCATTGAACGCTAAGCCACACTCCTGCTGACTTCCATCTCTCCTGTCTTGCCGGACAAGCGCATTTGAGCCAGACTTCTGCGACAGCAATCGACACCTCTCCGTCACCATTTCGAACGCGCGCCCTTTGAGAGTGCACGATTGTCAAAGATGCCCGAACCATCGTCTGGAGTCAACCACGCTGACTCCATCGAACCGCAACATGACACAGGAAAGAAGGACGACAAGAAGAAGAGCCGCCGACCGGCAAGTACGTGGAAGCCCCGGAACGATGTCAAGCTCCCCTCAGAGGTCTCGGAAACGCTGGAATTCGAACGAAACAAACAATTTGGTGCTAATACTGGTGTGTTTGATTAGATACGGCATTTCGGCAGCAGCGCTTGAAGGCATGGCAGTAAGTTCCTGGTTCCTGGCGATATTTCTGTGATGTCAAAACCGCGGAGACGGGCCTCAGTCGCTGACTGTTATAGACCAATCTTGACGCCCAAGACGGTCTTGCCCCTATTCTTCATCATCGGCATCATCTTTGCTCCCATCGGTGGACTGCTGCTCTACGCAAGTGCCAAGGTAAGCCTGAACCTCCCATTCTGTACAGAGCGGTCGCTAACAACTCTCCCTGAAGGTTAAAGAGATCCGGATCGACTATACCAATTGCCTTACCGAAGCAACCGAGAAGCTTGGCGAGATGGACTCGAAATACATTAGCACTGCGTTCAAGAGCGACGACCAGACCCAGAATGCTCTGTGGGCTGTAACGGACATCGAAGTCGAGGATGGGCCGATCACGTACCCAGCCAAGCAGTGCAGAATTCAGTTCGACATTCCCGAAGAGATGGGGCCTCCAGTCTTGTTTTACTACCACCTCACAAACTTTTACCAGAATCACAGGCGTTATGTCGCGTCTTTCTACGATAAGCAACTCAAAGGCAATGCAGAGTCTGCCAGTAATGTCAACAGCTCCTCCTGTGACCCTCTTGAGTGGGACGAGGAAGCCAAGAAACCGTACTATCCCTGTGGTGAGTATTGGTGTGCGAGTTACAGTATCCTCTGTCAATAGGCTAAATCACTGCTAGGTTTGATTGCAAACTCCATGTTCAATGACACATTCACCTCGCCCCGCTGGTTGCAAAGGGATTCGATATATCCGATGTCGACCGAAAAGAACATTGCCTGGGCATCTGATGCGGACCTTTACGGCAAAACCAAATACAACCCTGAAGACATTATGCCGCCACCAAACTGGAGGGTCCGGTACCCCAACTACACCGCCGAGCACCCTCCGCCAGATATCTCGAAGTGGCCTGCTTTCCAGGTCTGGATGAGAACCGCAGGGTTGCCGACTTTCAGCAAACTATACCAGCGCAACGATGACGAGACTATGATGCCAGGGTTTTACGAAGTCAACATCACCGACAGTGAGTTGTCCCTGAAGGCTTTGCACTGATCCGACAGTATTGACAAGTGCAGATTTCCCAACGACGGAGTATAAGGGAACTAAATCCATCATTATCACCACGCGCACAATCATGGGTGGCAGAAACCCTTTCCTCGGTATTGCGTATATTGTTGTCGGTGGCATGTGTATTATCCTTGGTGTTATCTTTACTGTAACTCATCTCATCAAGCCAAGGTAAGTGATCCTGTCCTGTAACTCGAAGTCCAGGGAAGCGAATACTGACCCTCCGCACAGGAAGTTGGGTGACCACACCTATCTTTCGTGGAACAACGCACCCGGATCCAAGCAGGCTGTCGGCGCCAGCTCAGCAATGGCATCAGGTCGCGAAGTCCGACCCGGCGAAGCCTAGAAGGCCCGCGATGGGTCGCAGTGCTATCTTCACAGCCGTACAGTCTCCAACGCCACCGGCCCTTCCACGGCATCGATGGCAATGGCATACAGCGTCACCTCGTCGTCAGTCGGAGGACAACGTCTGGTTCTACCTACGTCGCTGCTATGAGGTCGAGGAGTGTGACACGCGGGATAGGAAAGCCTGGCCTGCGGAGTTTTTTTAGTTTTTTTTATTTTTAATCTTTTTATGGGATGACATGAAATCTATTTGTATGAGTAACAGGGCCGAACGGGTTTTCTCGGCTGACGACCCCCTACATCGCCCAAGCCTCCCTGTTGCTTGGAGAGAGACAGAGACAGAGGCCTTAAGAGGGAGAGGTACTTGGTCATTTATTTACTGCTTTGCACCGGCTGGTCAACACGCATTGCGTATTTTCGCTTTCTTTTAACCGCTCTCTTGGGCTCAATCCTCGTCCGTGCTTAATTCATGTGAACTTCATATGCTTCACCCCCATCCCTACAAGAACGTGGGCGAGATAGGCAACCAGCAGAAACCAGAAACTGTCCTTGGCCCACTCAGAGAAACTCGAAGTCGTTCAGAGTTTGGATGCTAGGTAGACCGGCAAATCATCGGTTTAGAAATTAAGCATGACTGACTACCGGACCTACTGCCTACCTAGCTCCTCCTATCTGAAACACAGTGGGTGGGAGTGAGGGTATGTTCAATCAGACACAAATCACTCGTCGCCTACTCTGATGAAGACAACGCATAGTCAACAATTCAATGAAAATAAATAGCCAAGTTATCTATTCAAGCAGGAATGGTCGATTAATAAGAAAGCTATCTGTTTCGTCGTTGCACCACCCACAGGAAGCGGATCCATGATCACTAATGACCTCTCATCCCTCCCCATCATCCCAAGACGCCTACACAACAATTTTGATGTTACAACTAATGTGGTAATAAGAACACTGCACCCATAAAGGTCGTTTCCGGCTGTATCTGCGGTTCGCCATCTCTCGCATAATGCCAGAGACAAATGGAGTGAACCCCTGTTTAGTGCTTCCGCTTCTTGCGGCCACGGCCTTCATCGTCATCAGCGCCGCCTCGGGCATCCTCGCGGTCACGCTTCTTGGCCTTGGCCTCAAGCTCGTCCCAGTCCTCGCCCTCGTCTTCGTCGCTCATCTCAGCGTCATCCTCTTCGTCGGAGACGTTAGAGCCAAAGTCGGAATCTTCTTCGCTCGACTCCGATGCTTCCTCGAGTTCGTCGGATTCTATCTCGAAGTTGCTCTCCTGCTCTTCAGAGTCTGCATCCTCGTCATCAGAATCGGCCTGTAGGAAAGACCAGCCTCCGTCGAGGAAGAATTGATGGGTATCGGCAGTGACTGTCTTCATGATCGTCGGCCAGTTCAGGTTGAGAGGACCCTCGGAGTAGGCAATGTCTGAGGAGTCAAGGAACTCCTTGACATGATCGAGGAACTCGACAGGAATGGTGTTGACATGATATGGTGGTCGGGTAAAGTCCTTGAAGACGAACACAAGATCAAAGTTCTTGAGGCCGAACTGAACACGTTCCAGATGAGCAACCTCGATGTCCTCCAGGGTGATGACCATGAAAGGTGGCTCAACGACTTGAATCAGACACTCGGTTGTGGGTTGGATGAAGACGTTGCTTCGGAATGGAACACCGTGGAAGCCAAGATCTCTGATAGGCACATCCACCTCGAGGTTCTCGTTCTTGCCAGCCTCGGCCATCTTCTGGGCGAAGCCTTGGAACAGACGGTCAAGCTCGGCGCGACGTCGACGTTCCTCTTGTTCTTGCTCGAACTCGTCCTCGTCACCGTACCGGTACTTCCTCTTGCGGTTACCTGTCTCATCGAATTGGATATCCGTTGCCTCTCGGTAGAATTGGACGTCCTTGGTCTTCTTCTTGTTGGCAACCATGATAGGATCCTTTAGGTGAATGTGAATGATGACAATCAGCTCGTGCTGACAAGGCTGGAAGAACAGGTGGCGGACGTTCGAGAACAGGATGTCCACGCGTTGTTGGGTGCTCAAAGGAGACTGGTAGCGAATACCGTTCTGGTGGATTTCCACTTTACCAGGAACCCGCTTGCCTTCCATAGCAGGACGGATGAAGACGTTGTCAAGCACGGCGGGACGACGGTCTAGTACCTTGTGAGCAAAATCGATGGGTTTACGACGCAAATCAACTTACTTCTTATTTCGACGAGCTTGTCTTGCTCGACGACGTCCTCCAGCTCCTTTTTCTCCTGCTCCTTCTTGTTCACGTCCCGCTTCATGTTCGAAATCTGGGTTGCGATTTCTTGGTAGCGGTCACCGTCCGTTGAACGGAATGTCAAGCTTCTTACGAAATGAGCAGAGGCATCCTCGAAAGGCTGATCGTCCTTGCGACCAACACCCTGACCAGGCGACAGGAAGTTGATGCGCAGGAATGACCAATCACCCTCGTCGCTCTTGCTCGCATTCTTGATCGTATTGATATGAAAGGGAACAGGACGGCCCATGACAGGCAATACGACCGTGTCGTTTCTCGCATCAACCACGATTTGCAAATCGCGGACCTTGGGAGGGAACTGGTTGTCACGCTTGTATGAATCGAAGCGCTTGAACTTCTTCACCTCTGTACCGTTCTGTCCACTGGTGGACTCGGAGAAGCGGGCAAGACCTTCCTTCTGCTTTTTTGATGCCAGCTCCTTTTGATGCTCACGGCGCCTCTTGTCCGCATCATCGTCAACGGTTGTGGTTCGTTCGGATCTCAACCTGGTCGAAGTGATGTTCTTCGTAGCAACAGCACCCACTCGGGAATCCTTCTTCTCCTTCTTGGGCGTGGGCTGAGCCTCTTCCTCGTCTTTGAAGAAAAAGGAATTCGAGTCCGCATCGATGGGAGTCTCTCCGGTGAAAACGACGGCCTCACTCGTGGTGACGCGGATTGTATCAGTAATGACCAAAGAGTAGATCTTGCTGTTCTTGTCCTGCGGTTGGGGGTTTTCGATATCGCTAAAACCGGTCGTAATGACGAGAGTCATGCCGTCCTTGAGCGCTCGGGAGTTCTTGGCACTGAGAATCAACGTCGGGTCCCTATTCTCCAGACCAACACCCCAGCCAACGTTCTTCAGGAAGTGCTTTTCCAAATCAGGCTTCTTCGCCTTGATCATGTTCAGAGCCTTGTTGTAGACTTCCTTGATGACGACGCCATCGCGGACCTCCTTCAGGATCATGTTGTGAATATTGAAAAGAAGCTTATAGTTGCTCTCCTGCGACTTATTCGGGTCCACGAGATAGGTACGAGCGATGGCGGAACAGTACGACTTGTAGCGCAAGCCCATGGCGGCAACAATAGTGCCGGGGTGCAGAATATCATCGTTGCTTTCCGAGTTCATTTTCAGATCATATTTGCCACCGCTCTGTACCAACGGGCCTAGAACCCAGTCCAGCTGAGCCGGGTCCAAGTCCTGAGGAAGCTTGGTCTTGTTGGGGAGCTCGACCGTCTTCCAGAACTTGGTGTCGTCAAGCTTTTTATCGACCTTGTCTGCCAATGCGCTGTGCTTGACCTTCTTCTCCTTATCAAGAATGTCCGACATTTCCTCGAGGAAAAAGGGGGTCATCAAGGCGACGCAGGCCTTTGACGCAGTGCGCATAGCTCGGAGCTCGGTTTCGTCCTTCACTGAAAAAGCGTGTTGTGACAGTGCTTGGGAAACGTCGACCTCTTCGACATCTTTGCATTGGTCGGCGAAGACCTTCTTCCACTCCTCGATGAAAGGGCCCTTCGAGGTATCCTTGGCGATGGTGCCAACCTTGTTCTGCAAGACAGATGTGTCAGTGGCAATAAGCGATGCCGTATTCGAGGGCAGTGACTCACGCCCGAAGCCTTGATAGCTTCAGCAAGCTTGACAAACAGCTTTTCATTCTCGGCTGCATCCTTGCCTCGGACGAGGACCTCGAGTGGGAAGCGACCATTCTTCAACTGCTCAAGATGTTTCGCTATGTTTGCGTCAGCCAAGATCCGTCGCAAGTGTGACGCGACGATGGCAAGAACCTCTCACCCTTTTTCGCAGTCGTCAGAATGTAGATTTTGTCAGTCGTCAGCAGCATCATCGTCGTGGGGAATTCGTAGCCGAGAAGCCAAAACTGTTGTCCCCAAAATGTCAGCTTCTTGTCTCGTGCATCAAATCAATGGCAAAAGCAACAGAGTGCATCGCGTCGCTGCGGATTGTAAGGGATGCCACTCACATGCATGGCGTTGTTCTTGTGCAGCTCCGGCACCTCCTCCACCTTGCCCATCATGACGACGATGGACGAAGCGCCATGGAAGATGTTGCCATCCTTGGATCGCAAGTCATTCTTCCAGGCGCCCGTGAGGCGCGTGAGGCGCTCGTGAAACGCCTTGCTGTCGATTTTGATCTCCGCCATCGTCGCTGCGAGGTGAGTGACGGATGTGGTGGCAGAGAAGGGGGTTTGAAGGACGAAAGGTTCCAGGTTGCTGCTGGCGACGCGAGATCCGAAAAATCCACCGCGTAAATTGGGCGAGGCATGAGCTGTTCACGTGACCGCGTCGCGCCTTTGCTTTTTCAGTTCAGTGCGTGGTTGTCTGAGTGAAGGGGGTTCGTGGCGCGTTTGTTAGTGGAGGAAACAGGGGCGAGCTTGCCTGAAGCGTGCTGAAGGAAGTTGGGCTTTAGGCAGATAGTGCGGTTGGTCAGTGCCGGATCGACGTCAGAGCTTCAATTTTTGGGAACTCTGGACAGGCTGGTGTTTCGCAAGTCAACGTATCCACGTCGACTCAAAGTCTAGAAAGTTTCAATGTCGTCCAAGCGATTGGCTTTCTTTTCTGTGTGATAGCAGTAGCAAACGTTCTTGCTAGATTGAAGGGGAAGCGTCAGGCATCCCTCCAATATCGCAAGGCAAGCAGAATGCGGATCAACAATTGCCTGGGAGAGTACGGAGTAGAGCTGCAACAGCTGTGTGGTGTAGGTAGCCTAGCAAAGGCTGAATGAATCTTTGAGTATCGCGGATCAGTTACACATTTGTGGACAGCCGTCGCTCGATAAAACCAGGCGCAATTGCAACTAGCCGGCTGGTCTCACGGTGCTGTGTTATCGCAGTGCCCATAGGTGCATCAAGTTTCTTCACAGAAAGTCGCCGGCCCTTGAAGCTCTTGGGACCCGACACCGGCGAAGCGCCTGGGAAAGCGCCGGGACAGTGTTCAACCGGGAGAAAGGTGAGGGAGGGGGAAGAACAATCGCTCGGCCCGCCCGATTCTCGGGATGTGGAGACGGGACTTACAACCCCGCGCTCCTCCGGAATCTCTTTAAATATAACAACGTTTGGGCCTCACATGTCGACCAACACACACAATACTTCTCACTTGAGTATTTGAACCATTCTTCCCGCTATCACGAGCTTCATATGCCCCCTTTGGCCAGGTTCCTGACCTTCTTTAGACCCAGAAAGACGCCACCCATCCCACCAACGACAAATCACCCCGCCCCCAAATCCAAGATGCGCATCCCCTACGTACCCAACCCACCACCGACCTCGACGCCGGAAGAGGCCGCCATCGTCTCTCGGATACAAGCCCGCCGCAACCCCCGGCCTCTGCAGTCCCTCGATCTGGCCCTTCTGCACGCCCCACCCGTTGCCGACGGCTGGAACCACTTCCTCGGCGCCATCCGCACCCAGACCACCATCCCCGCGGACCTGCGCGAGCTCGCCATATCGCGCGTCGCCGTTATCAACCAGGCCTGGTACGAGTGGGGCCATCACGCGCCGCTGGCCGTTGCCGCGGGCGTCTCAGCTGACGCCATGGACGCCGTCAAGGCCGAGGCGCCGCTGGAGCTGGCGAACCGGCCTGCGTTGCATCTGAGCGAGAAGCAGTGGGTCGTGCTGGTGTACGCGGACGAGATGACGAGGAATGTGAGAGTCAAGGATGAGACTTTTGAGAAGTTGAAGTCGTTGTTCAGTGAGCGGGAGGTTGTGGAGATTACGACGACAGTAAGTGAGACTGGAAGGTGGCTTGGGGAGAGGCCGGTAGGAGTTCGAGAGACTGGCTGACAATGACATTTAGGTCGCGTGCTATAACTGCGTGAGCCGGTTCTTGGTGGCTCTTGACGGTAAGATAACCATTCCTAACTGTCTTGTCAACATGCACTTCTAACGAGTATGCAGTTGGCGAAAGAAACAGCACTGGTCCTGAAGACGTTTCCCTTCATCAACATTGAGATCCCACATTGAGACCCCAAGGGCGCGTCACAGCGTCGAGGACACATACGAGGTACGCCTGAGTGCGAGGTTCAATGCTTTCAATATGGAAAGAGGTGAAGAAGAGACCAACTGGTGAAGTGCAGTGTAGACTGGGCATATGGACTCAGAAGGGGCAAAGAATGCTGTGAAAGGGGTATCTCATCTACGTGGGAAGTGATGTAAAGGTCCTCCTAAAGAAACGGTAACAACAGTATTTTAAAAATAAAATAAAATAAATGAAAACCCTTGCTCAACTTGTGAACCAAGTCTACTTCCCCCCGTGTCCCCATGCGCCTGTCACCAAACCCTTCTCCCTTTATTTTCGTCATAATTCGTTTTTTCGTCATAATTCGTTTCCGCAACAAAAAGTGCAGAAGTGCAAAGAATCGGCAGGTGCTGTTGTCGCCATCAACAACATACCACTCTGGGGGCGGGTGCTGAGTATATTCAGACCGTACGCCTTATGTCGTGGATGCATATGTGATTGCTCATTTGTCGTCATGAACGGAATGTAACCTGTAGTCGTAAGCCGATTATATCGCTGTTTCGTCGTTGTTCGCGTGTCTGCAGACATGGTCGCCGCCCTCCACAGTCAGTACAGTCCCAGGTCTGTTGCTAGCAACACCTCTTTGATCCACCGCCAGTCAGATTGTCAGCTTGGCATTGGCCAGCTCCTGCTCGATGGACCTTTCGATAGACGATCGCCGTTTATGCATCCGTGGACTCTTTTGCAACTCCTGGACCACCCCTGCCCACCCAAGTTTGTGCCCTGTTCCCGTAACTTCGCGATGGCCAATGGCCTGAGTGGTTAGCCTCCTCAGTGGCGGCCGCTCGCGGATCTCTTCGGTCAGCGCGCGCGTCAAACTCTCGTTCAGAGCGGCCATCGGCGGCGTGGAGGACGGAGACAGTGGCGCCTTCTCTGAAACCCTTTGGGGTGTTGTCACAGGCATATGTCGTTCCGCTATAGGACTCGCCCGCTCCGCAACCACACCCATGTATACAACGAGAAAACGCATTCTCACGAGATCCAGCCGGCGAACGCGCTCTTCGAGATCGCGGCGCTTGCTGGCCCAGAGAAGACGGGGGCTTATGCGCATGGTGGTGGTGTCGTCAGAGAGGAGCATGGAGTTGATCTCCTCTCGCAGATCGTCGCCACCCTTCTGAATCTCGCGGAGCAGGCGACCGAGGCGGAGCTTGTCATCGAGGCGCTGGACTTTGGCGACGTCGCGGTCGTAGCTCTCGTTCTCCTCGACTGAGAAGTCAACGGCATCGATGAATGAGGCAATTTCGTTGGGAGCGGCACGGTAGGCAGTGATATATGTTGTCAAAATCTGGGAGACGACGACCAAGGAAAGGATGAGTGCGGTTAGGATTAGGACGATTGTCCACTGACGCGCCTCGGTTTCGGCCATGGCGGAAAGTGAAGCACGGAGAAGAATTTAAATGGTGGGTCAACTGGCAATGGACTACGGCGACATGATGCGACTGAGTAGTGTTTGTCGGTTCAGAATGTAGGTCTATGAATAACCGCAGACTGCGTTGCAGAAAGAAATGAAGCGTAGTGACACAGGCAAAATGTAGGGAGCGGAGGAGGCAACATTGATGACGATAGAAGTGCGCCGCACATGAAATGGAAGAGGGTGGGAGGGCTTCGAGGCCTTCTCGGCGGGAGGGTGATGAATGACGCACTGCACGACAACAGCCATCAGTTTCCGCCCGCCGGTGCTGTGTGCGCCAGTACGACGTTAGGGTCTATAAGTCGGTTCCAGACGCAGTCGCAATCAAATACCTAATGCCTCCTCTTCCTTGCTTCTTTCTGCCCCTCTTAGACGCACCTCTCCCTTGCATCTACTTCTCGTGACATGCAGCCACCGGGCGGCATGGGCCAATAGAGGGGCACCAAGGTCGCTCCAAGACGGATACCGTTCGTGGAGATGGGATGCGACGCTCCCATGGTTGGCGCACTTCCCTGCAACTGCAGATGGAATCGTCACCCCTCACTGGACAGGCGAAGGTCGACTTCTGTATCTAGCATGGCTTCACCTTCACCATGGCCAGAACCTGGCTCGAGAACCGATCCGCTGGGGCCGGCGCTCCTTTGGGAGCTTGGGAACGGCGAGAGGGGATACCCGTCACCAAGGACTGAGTGTGTGACCAGCGGTGGCAGCAGCACCGATTTAATCGCAGCCCTTATTTTTCGGGGCTTCGTTCTGTGGATTTTGGCAGTATCCACTGCGCTGCATATCGTGGGCGAAGTCAGTCAGCCCTCGCACCCCTCACCGGGAGGGGAAGGGGGGCGGGAACAGCTCTGACGGACGGTGGTGATTAGTAGATGAGACATGGAGGGTTGGACCTGAAGCCTAGCATTGCGACGGGTGGTGGGCGCTGGGCGAGGGGCTATTGTCTGGCGGTCAGCAGCAAGACAAGATGATACGAGTGCGCATGGCATGATATAACATGGCCTGGTCGAGAGGCGACATGGATGGTGTGTGATTTGTAAATCGACCCCACGATGAAGAGAGATGGAGAAAAGCGATCTCGTGCAGCTGCAGAAAAGCAGCAGAACTGCGCGGTCGAGGCATATGCAAATTCGACTGGCTGTTTGGAGTGCCTTGATCTCAGGTACCTTACATGTCTATCCAACGCCATAATGTGCCATCCGAACGCCTCTGTGTGGTTCCCCTCCATGCACCTACTGTGTAAGAGGCGTACATACTTTTTGTGCATGCACCTGCCTGCACTTGCGCTTGCGCTGCCACCCGAGGTCAGCGGACACGGCTAGCTCCTTCAGATCGCCGGTAGGTGCATGGCATTACGGTAGCCAAAGGGCCGTTTCAACCCTCGTTGCCTATCTACCTGAGCAAACCGATTTACCTATAGGAAAGACTACCCCTCGCCTCACCATCTGAGTGATCTACAGCGCTTAACGGTGTGGGTTCCTAACATGCCGTCGTCATTCTAGGTATTCCTAGCCCACTTTCCCTTTTCGGATAGAATGGCACGTGCAGTGCACACTACCCACATTTGTGCTTAAAGATGAAGGTGTGCTTCGCTTTCTCGGATCTGGTGTATAGCCAGGACTTGAATCACCAAGTCGAACCAATATGCACATGCTGAATTAGGCGGATGGTTTGATTCATCTTCTACCTGAAGGGCTAACTAGGTGCATGCGTGCTCTCGTGCAGGGGGTATCAAATTCATATCTCTCCTTTACTACGCCAGCCGTCGCTCATACTAACACACCATGTGGCATTGCATGATTTACTGCTTTGCCTCTGCCTGCTTCTGGATGTCGTGCTCAGCCCCGCGCTGCTGAGCCTTGCCAGTGTCGTGCATACCCTGGTAATGCTCCTGGCCAGCCTTATCACCAGTGATGCCAGCAACGGCACTACCGAGAGTACCCTGGACACGGTTGCCGATGCCAGAAGTGTAGTCGTTCAACTGGCCTTTGGCCTCCTGCGACTGACCCTCGATGTTCTGCTCGCGACCTTGCTGCTTGAGGTTCTATAATCGAAACGTCAGCCTGTTGCCCTGACAAGAGTCTGCAGGTGCAAATGAGTAAGATAGCCTACCTCGGAGCCGACAAGTCCACCAATAGTCTCCTTGGCGGAGCCAACAGTCTGATTCCAGGAACCGTTGGCACGGTCGGGGTCGTCCTTGCTTACGCCCTGGGCGGTAGCAGTGAATCCGGGAAGCTTGGCCGTGGCGTGGGAAGCATCATGCTCAACCTGTGCCTTGTTCTGTTTGACCTCGCCCTTGTTCTGGTCGGCGGTGTTTCCGGTAAGGGAGCCAAGCATGTTCTGGGCAGCGCCGGTGGCAGAGTCGACGTAGGACTTGAGAGTGGAGGTGTTGTCGTTGTTGGCAGACATGATGATGGTTTGTTTGGTGGGCTTAGTCGATGGATTGATTTGGTAATAGGTGGTTTGGAATGGGTCTGATGAGCTGTGAAGTGATTGATGGTGGGAAGAAACTCTGGAGGTTGGGAAGAGGGCTGCAATTTATCTACGAAGAAGCCAGAAGCCAGGCCCTCCTCCCTTTCCTGAGGCAGGCCACCTGCAACATGTGAAATCTCATCGTTTGGCAACCGCGATCGTGTTTGCCAGGTTGAGCTGAACCTGTGATGTCATAGGCATTGGAGAAGGCCCTTCCGAATGCGGGAGCACCGCTGCTGGGGGGCCCAGTGTGGAGGGGGGTTGCGGGAAGGAGGGGCAGTTTTGCACCTTGCGCTCCTTATGTGATGTCATTTCGCAACTTCAACCTTACTTCATTAGCACCAAACGCCATAGTTGCCTCCTTCCCCGACGTCTCTTTTTGGTATGCGTACTTGCCGTCTGAAGAGTTGAGACGTATAGCCATGGCCATGTAAGCCCGCAGAAGACGTAATCAGAGTTCGTCTGGACTGTTTGCTTACAGCATATTCCCTATTGAGGGATGTTTGATGATGGACCTCTCCCGTCTGGCACCTTGCCAGATGTATCCTGGACAATCAGTTAATCAGTCAAGAGCACAGCACAATGATGCTGCTGAGCATTTAGCCAGCATTGTAACTATGAGCTACATATCCGGCAATCGTGATCTGAAGCGCTTGCCGTAAATTGTGCGAGCAAGCAAACCGCTCAGTCATAGACCACTCTCACATCAGATCGTAGCAGTCGCTGCCCTTGATGACATTTTTGGAGCTCTCACATCTGTGGCAGCCTGGTGACGCATGCAGGTGTCGTGCATCTTGGCTATTTGAAAGCAATTTCCCAAGGATAGACATGCCCTTCATCGAGTAGCATAAACGTGCCGGTGACTTAACGTGAAGTACTCGGAGTAGTCGCATCGCCTGCTGTATGGTTCATTTGTTCATGGCGTCCATGTTCCAATTCATGCCAGTATAATATGTAGTAGTGTACAGTCTTAAGTTCATCAACAACAGCCAGTTGCCACCCCCGTTGAACTCGACCGCCGTTGGACTTTTGTTCAAATTTCCTACTTTCCCTTGGTCGCCCCCAGTTCCAACTCCGATATCCCCGAGGACAAAAACGAAAAGGCTGGCTGTTTAGGTATCTCAAATATGGGTTTTGGTACAGGCATCTCTGCGTTGGAGAGATGCAGGCAAGTTCCTGCGCGGACCTTGACAAGCTCGCGGATCCCGCTGAAAGCAGACGAGGTCGATTGCGCAGGCACGCGGAACGTACGGAACCATTCTTTTAATGCTGGCTCCACTGGATCGTGTTGAGATCCACGCCCTCCTGAACCAACTCCCAGAGCGGACTCAGTTCACGCAGGAAATCAACCCGCTCCTTGACCGCCTTGAGCACGTAATCAATCTCCTGCTCAGTCGTAAAACGTCCAATGCCGAATCTGATACTGCTATGGGCGCTCTCGTCACTGTTGCCCAGAGCACGCAAGACGTAGCTAGGTTCCAAAGATGCAGACGTGCAAGCACTGCCAGAAGACAGGGCAATGTCCTTCAGGGCCATGAGAAGAGACTCTCCCTCAACGTAGGCGAAGGAAACGTTGACACATCCAGGGTAGAAGTGCTTAGGGTCACCATTTTGTGTTGTGTGTTCTAGAGAAAGGAGACCGTTGAGGAGGCGATCGGACAGTGCCTTGATACGTTTCGAATCATACTAGAACATCTGTCAGTACTTCTTTGTAACAATAGCTGCAAACATGGTACATAACGAATAATGGAGGATTGGATTGAATGCGATGCTATGAACCAACATCGGCGTCCTTGTGATGGGATACTCAGAGGGCCATGCATGTATAGAGCGAATCATCCAGGGAATGGCAGGGTAAAGATAGGAAAAGCAAGACGGATCAGCACGTACCTCCATCTCCTCGTAAGCGATGCGGCACGCCTCACCGAAGCCAGCAACCAGTGGCGGGGCGAGAGTGCCGCTTCGCAGACCTCTCTCCTGTCCGCCTCCGCTGATGATAGGGTCGAGCCTAACTCTGGGCCGGCGGCGGACATAGCAAGCTCCAATACCCTTGGGGCCATATATTTTGTGGGATGAGATCGACATCAAGTCAATGTTCATGGCGTTGACATCCATGGGAATTTTTCCGACAGCTTGGGCAGCATCGGTGTGAAAGAATGTCTTCTTCTCTCGGCAGAGCCGACCAATCTGCTCCAGGGGCTGAATAACACCAATTTCGTTGTTGACGGACATTATACTAACAAGAGCAGTATCGGGGCGGATAGCGGCAGCAAGCTCGTCCATGTCAATCAAACCAGAGTTCTTGACAGGAAGGTACGTGACTTCGAAGCCCTCATCCTGAAGGTGCCGGCAGCTGTCAAGAACGCATTTGTGCTCGGTTTGCGACGTGACAATGTGCTTCTTCTTGCCGGATCTGCCAAAGAATCTCGCGACACCCTTGATGCTCATGTTGTTGCTCTCGGTGGCGCCACTTGTGAAGATGATTTCCTTCGAGTCAGCGCCGATAAGCTTGGCAATGTGCTGGCGCGCCGTTTCGACGGCTTCCTCACTCTCCCATCCGTAGGCGTGTGTTCTCGAGTGGGGGTTGCCGTAAATGCCTGTATAGAACGGCAGCATGGCGTCGAGGACGCGGGGGTCGACGGGAGTCGTGGCTTGCATGTCCAGGTAGATAGGTCGCTGGCCCTCCTCCATAGTGGTAACTTGCTTCAGCACCTCGGCCATGGGACTAACCAAGACATTTGGCGCATCGGGTGACTGAGGGACGACATCAATGAAGTCCTTCGTGTCGAGCTTGATCGCAGTCTCGACGTTGACCTGTGCATTATCACGCCTCGTCTCGGAGACGTATCTGCGTTGCTGAGATAACCTCTGCGCTGGAGCTGTCGCCACCCTTGATAATGAGGAAATACCTCGCGAAGAGATTCCGGGCGCTGTGGTGTGACGGCAGAGACGGCCCGCCTGCCTAAAGGCGGTTGATGTGATGCTAGCCATGGTGCACGATTGATGGCGATGGCGTAGGCGATCGAACTTCAAACAGAGGAAGGAGAGAAGGTAGATGGAATTTCTAGAAGGAGGGACTGCTACCCAGGCTGTTGGGAATTTTTGACAATTTGGATCGTGTCTCCGACAGTCTCGGGGTCGGGGATAACATCTAGGCTGTGATTGGCCAGGTCTAACAGCTTCCCGAGTTGATGACGTTCCCCATTCGGATCCACCCTTTGAGGGGGCGGACTCGGTCATGGCATCGTCAAGACCGACCCTCTGATTACTTAGGGGTCGCCTTGCTACCTACCTAGGTACCTACCTATCTAGGTAGGTAGGTAGGTAGGTGCCAGTGTACATGGGCGGGTACCTAGATGCCTACTTGATATCCCACCACAGTCGCCGCGACCGTAGGCCGTAACTATATTACACTTGCCTTTTCGCTTTGCATTGTTTAATTTCCCAATTTGATGCTCCGAATGTCCTCAGACTTCGACTTATTCCTTCCGGCCAGTATTTTCACTTTCTCTTCCGTGTTCACCAGCCCCCACGTATCATCGTCTCTAAGCACACGTCTTACCTCACAGGTTGCCGTGCTACGTCCTTGCCGTTCGAACCGCTAGGCACCTACTTTGGGTACATTGGCTCCTAATCGTAGGCCTTAGCTCCTGTCCTTCCGCAGCATATGCGCCACAGCCAAGCGGTCTTGCGCAGAAGCTGACCGGCACAGCCACGCCTACGTCGTCACCAGCGACAATCAGGTTGCGAAAGCCCACTCCTCATAAGGTTGGACGTGGAATACCCTCAAACAGCGGATACCCTCGTCATAACCCTATCCCCCAATATCACCGCCTCTTCCCTCCACTGGTCCGACTTTCGCCATACCTGATCCGCCATATCAACACCACAATCTCACCCCGCCATGAGCTTCCGGGGCTTCCAGAAAAGCGTCATTCGGGTACGTGTTTCCACTAAGTGAGGGGTCTCCCCGTCCCTTCCGCGCTGTGACGGTGACGTGAGGATGCAACACAAGATTGCAGACTGATGATTCTTTTTTTTCTCGTCACGAACAGGCGCCCCAGCAATTTAAGTCCCGCTTCAACATCGGTGAGCATACAAAGGATGCTGTCTACATCGATTCCGAGCGCAGGTTTCAGGAGCTCGAGACCGAGACGAAACGATTGCACGATGAATCCAAGAAATACTTCGAAGCCATCAACGGCATGCTCAGCCACCAGATCGAGTTCAGCAAGGCCATGACGGAGATTTACAAGCCCATATCTGGTCGAATGTCGGATCCCGATAGTTTAGAGATACGCGGCAATCCGGAGGGTATCCGCGCTTGCGAAGAGTACGAGGCTGTCGTCAAGGACCTGCAAGAGACTCTTGCGCCAGAGCTGGAGATGATAGAAAGTAGGGTTATTCGCCCAGCCAACGAACTACTGGATGTCGTCAAAGTCATCCGCAAGACCACTGCAAAGCGCGAACACAAGAAGCTTGATTATGATCGACACCGGCAAACCCTCAAGAAGCTTCAGGACAAGAAGGAACGGAGTGCCAAAGACGAAAAGGCCCTGTGGAAAGCTGAGAACGACGTCGAGCAGGCTACACAGGAGTTTAACTACTTCAATGATCTGCTCAAGGAAGAGCTGCCGCGGCTCTTCGAGCTCGAGCAGCAATTCATCCAACCCCTCTTCCAATCCTTCTACTACATGCAGCTAAACATATTCTACACGCTCCATGAAAAGATGCAGCATTGCGACATTGGCTACTTTGACCTAACCCTCGACGTACTTGAAGCGTTCCACAAGAAGCGAGGCGACATCCAAGAGCAGGCCGAGAAGCTGTCCATCGTGAAGTTCAAAACTACAGGACAAAAGCGCCCGCCAAAGTACGGCCGCCCCGCGATCGAGAGCAAGCCTCAGCACCTTCTCACCGCCGGTCCATCCTCCTCGTCGGCCGCGGTAACCACGCCCACAGCGCCGCCCTCGAAATTTGGCGGCTACACTCGGCCGAGCGAACCCTCCGACATCCCACCCCCGTACTCGCCTCCAGCAACCAACGGAACATCTGGCGGCGGACTTGCCGCCATTGCTGCAGCAAAGTCAAAGCCTCCTCCACCCAAACCCAAGCCCAGTCGACTCAGCGGAGCACCTGCCGCGGAGACCGTTACTGCTCTGTACGATTATGCCGCGCAAGCCGAGGGCGACTTGAGCTTCAGAGCTGGAGATGTCATTGAGATTGTTAGCCGTACAAAGAGCGAGAACGAATGGTGGACAGGCAAACTGAATGGAAAGTCTGGCCAGTTCCCAGGTAAATATATACCGACTATCATTGTGGCCTTGTCAAGGAGAAGAAAAGTACTGATTGGCTGGTTGCACAGGAAACTACGTCAAGTTGAATTGAGCGATTAATGAGACTCGCACTCGCCAATCATAGCCGACATCATCTTTGATCTTCGCCCGGATACACTGTGCAGCAGAGGTACATTAATGAACGACCGTTGGGACATTGGGGAAGGGGCAAAACACTTGCATTTGGGGTCTTTGGCGTACGCAGAAGGGATTGCCGTCATTTCGAGTCGGAAAACAACTGGGAGAGAAGAGAAAGGGAGGGGGGCTGTTCTGGATGTAGAGTGAGGAAGAGAAAGAAGTCTGGGAGATAACTCGCTCTCGATGCGTCCAGTGTGACACAAAGCCGTGGCCTCTTTTGCCTTGGAGCTTTCCGGTTTAGAGAGACGTCGGTGAGCATCGTATAGTGTGCATTTTGACCCATACCTACCTATTCTCTTGAAGACTTCGCTGCTGTTGTCAAACCAGAGTCCCTCGTTCCACAAGCATCTCCTGTCCTTTTTGCGGCGCGTTTTTACGATAACGTTCTTATTGGGATATTCCCCCCCGGGGGGGGGGCCTCTATACAATAAACGTGCAGGTTCCCGTCCAGTGTCCCCTGTGCAGGCACTGGCTCCGCGCTGGTTTCTTGGTTTCCGGCTGCCTTGCCCGGACGACAGTGGCATGTCTACATTTCTCAAGCTTGCCATTGTCCCGAGGGGGAGAAGCCAGAAAGTGAGACTGTTTCTTTCCCCCTCTCTAAGTAGAACAGGGCCTGCGTTGGGCGCCACTCCCCCTCCTCCTCTCTCAACATTAGAATATCAGGCATACCGTTACATTTCTAAGATAGGGCATGTTGCACAAGCTTCACTTCTCAATATATTTGCATACGGGAGCCTTGTTGGCGCACCCTCTCGTGAAAAAGTGCCACTCTTGGACATCCCACCGATGCACGCGGGATGCAAGCTGTTGAGGGAGGAGGTGTCCCGATCGACCGCCGAGAAATGCAACTCGGGTCTAGAGTGATAACAGATGTGACACGTATAAGCAAACATGATGGATTGGCCTTGTGGCCCTATCTCTTCGCTTAAGATGCAGTTACTTCCTCGGACATGGGGGGGTAATGTTGTTAGCTCTTGGAGCTAAGACAAGGCAAACTTCCCTCTTTGCGCGAATCACTACCGCCGGGCGTGGTTGAGCAAGGAGCTCAGAAAACCAATGCCGCCGATGTCCCCCTCCCCTGCCGGCTGGTTTATAAGCACCCAAAATGCCCCGTCTGTGATACGTGATACGTCCGCGTTCTGGCAGGGTTGGAAAAACGCCCGCTCGTCCGCCCATACGTAACTCTCTGCGTCACTGGCAAGGTAGTTTAATGCCATGGGCCGCTCGATTTGGATGGCCTATTCAAGGAGGGCGAGCTGAGGTAGGATCCCATTCCAAAGACAGACAACACGCCTAGAATATTTGATAGAGAAGGAGAGCGCAACCGTCGGCAGGCTCTCAGTTCCACCTTCGGCGTAAGTTCGAATGATTCCCGCTGTATGCGAAGTTGAAACCGAAAGGTTTTCCAATAGTGCTAGCGCCATCCAAGTACGCAGCTGGAGACCTCCTGAACCAAGTAGGTTCGTAGAGTCCGCGGGTGTCTCGGAACAGACCCGTCGATGACTGATTTGGCCCAGGAAAAGGCGCCTCACTGAAAGACGGGTTTCTCGACGTAGGTCCCGAGACCGGCAACGACTGTGGTGTGGGATAGGGACAGGGGTCCACCGTATTATCACCCTGCGTCTTCGGTCGAGTTCGTGCTGGCACCATTGGGCCACCGGGCCAGTGGTTGGTATTTGGAAGTTTGATAGCAGGGTCGAATGAGATGAATACCAGAGGCCGTTTACTCTGGGGCTCACGCGGACCGACCGCATAAATCATAGAGCGGTCGTCCATAACCCCCGAGATAGGGCTTTGAGTGATGTGGCCCTTTGGATTAAGCAAGCTGTCCAACTCCGCTAAGCGTACGTCATTCTGGCTTACGTCAACTTTTGGCGGCCACCATGATATCTTATTCAGCGTGGACAGCTGGAGAGCGGCTTGTGTAGAGTCGTCAGCAACGGTTTCTTGTAGACATTGTTTGTTCCCAGCAAAACTAGAGCGGGATATACAACGTAACTGTAGTCTCCGCTTCAGCAAATCGGCAGCTTCAGGGTCGTTAACTAGGTCGATAAATGTTTCGCAGGAATCGTTGTAACGGCGTATAAAACATTGACTGAGAGTGATTGCCGGGATTGTAAAGCCGTCATCACCTCTGTGAAAACACGATTCCTTGCGTTGTTTTTTAGTATACGCTATCATGCCAGTCAAGCACGGATGAACAGATAACATCTCGCTGGTTCCAATATCGCTTTCAGAGCCGGAGTCCGAATCGGAGTCTTCGCCCAAACCGTGTCGACGATCAGAAAACTCAAGTGCTGTTCGATATGATGTCCTTGTGCTTGAACACTCGTCGACGAGCCACTCTCTTCGGCACTCTAAGACCATAATAACTCCAGTGACTGGGTCCTTTTCGAGTCGCAGAGTACTCCACCTATCATCTATTGGCCCCTCATCATGTTGCCGCCGCCACATGGCATTTTTCGATGTTAGCTGCATGTCCTCGGCCCGTGAGCTCCCTACCGGCAGACGAAATCCGTAGTAATACGAAGTCCAGTCGTTCTCATAGGCCTCGAAAGTATTCAGGCTTGAAATTCCATAGAAGTGATTGCCAAGTAACTCAAAACAGACAGTGGCACCAATATCTGACCCGACTAAGTCTTCAAGCTCCAGATGGCCCGGGGCCCATTGCTCCTTGCAGATGTCAAATCGCTTGAGAGCCCATCTTTTGAAGCCGTCATCGCCAGTCAGAGAGTGGGTGCCATAATAAAGATGTTCCCTGTTATTGCGCACAAACAACTTGGATGTAGATCCGAGACAATGAGCTGCCAGGAGCCTCTTTTGCTGTAGATCTAGAATAATGAGGCGGCTTCGGCCTTCGGATTTTGGCGGGCTGTAAAGGCAGGTTACAATCCCACAGGCGAAGTGAATTGGGCGAAACTTGCATCTGCTATCTCTGGTATTCGATTCCAAGGCGGACTGCAGTAGCGTGTAGATATCGATGACAATCTCGGAGCCAGAAGACTCATGTAAATGGAGCAGACGGAGCGACTCGTGGCCATGTGTATAGCAAAGCATGCCATCACAGTACAGATACTCGTCTGCTTGGGCAACAAGTGCAACAGAGTATGGCGCGGCTGCGGAAATTGCAATTTGAGTCTTGACCAATCGCCGCAAGGAACGAGCATATTGCCTCGAGGAGCGGGCATTTTGAACCTCAGCTGAGTAGGAGGCGTTGGTCTAAGGCACATAGTCAGTGTTGTACCAGAACGATGCTACTGGAAGAAGGGGGCCTTACCTCGAGTGCGGCCCGGCAGATATCGTCATTGTAAACAATGTATCTGAATTGGGAACAGGTCAAGCTGAGGTTGAATATGTCATGTAAGTCCAGAGAATTGGCAATGTATGACATGATCTCGATAGGCAACCGTTGCATTATCGTGGAGTCGACGGCTGTTTTGGTCTCGTCTCCGAATCATCTGAGTGGAACTGCGTATCGTATGAGAAGGCGAGGAAGAAGGCAACACGAGGCAAGGTCGCTGCCCAAACAGGGTTTGTGCGGTGGAGGGACTGTACTGGAGTTGGCGGAGCAAGCAACCCAACGAAAGCACGTTCAAGTGTGATGCTAGCAGGAAGGGGAAGGGACTGAACAACCCCGTTTTAATAAAAGCTTTAAGCAGAGCCGCAACATACCAAAGGCAATGGGTCATCCCTAGTCTGAAAGAAAAGCAAAAAGGGCCCGGGGGGGGGACAATCCTGGGTAATGTCATATACAGCCTCGGTTCCCCCATGCAGGGAACCAAGTTGAATTATGGGCATTGTTGCATAAGAAACCGGATCGTGGTACAGAGAAAATGAGATGCATTCTCCGATGACAGCCTGATCATTAGCAGAGGTCACACTGGTCATCTAACCACCTACCTAGGTAGGCTAACCTTTCACCATGCGAGGTTTATTTGCGACGCCAACAAAATTAGATGCGAGGCGCGCTAAACCACCTAGCTAGCTACGCGGTGAGACCAGTCTTCCTATTGATTGACTGACTTGACTTATCCCTACGGATGTTCAAGAGTATGCGTAGGTAATAGGCGGGAACATTGGACGGGGCTAGAGGGGGAGGCCTGCTCCCCACAGATGAACTATGAGGAGAGGGGGGTGAGGCTCTGCGCCAAGACAAAGTACCAAGCATCATGTTCACTTGCCGCGATAAATACATACAAATGCACAGAGACATGTGGGTACTATCCCTGTGACCACAATTCGCCCAATAGAATGAACGCCGATGGGGCGCCCCACTCCCTACCTACCGGTAGTATGCGGCTCAAACATAGCTAGCTACCTAGGTACCTACGTGGTTTCCGAGGCAGCCCGCCTCCCCGCCAATCTTTCTTGAATGTGAAAGAGTGCGACCTGAACTGAACTATCTTCATACAGCCGAGCGTGCGTAGGCATCTCTCCGTCGTTGCGGCTCCGCTTTCAGCCTCTGTCCTCGAGTAATAACCATAAACCCTGCGGCGGCCTTACGAAGTTCCTCGTTTTCTGTTAAATGAATAACAATAAGAAAAAAACAACAATAAAAACACATCTTCCCTGCTCGTATCAATCACCTCATCGCCGCCAGCCGGCTTACAATAGTTCTACGCCCCCACCCTCAGCTTGCGCCGCCCGGCTGCGCGAAGGAGCCGTCAGTGATTTGGTTCCATGCTTACAAGTCCTTTAGGTTTAATGCCAGGGGAGGGTATTGCTCCATGACTGGATACCGAAGCGAATGTCCCGTTTCCTGAATTGTGATTACGCCAGCTCTCGCAGGCGATCGTCACGAAGAGCCTCACTCGGACTTGAGAGCTTCTCCCAAGGACGAGGTATCACCTGTGTTTCCTCTTTCGATCAACGTCAGTCAGTTAAAAGGCCGGGGCGATGAGCTGCATAGGCCTTGGGCCATTCCTAGGGGCTTGCTTGCCCTCGCAACGTGTGCCGCCCCTCTCTCTGTCACCAGGCTCGTCACGAAGACGACCAACCAGTGGGACACACACGTCCAGAAACCGACCAGAAACTTGTGTTGCACCCCATGAGCAAATGATGTGGCGTTGCCCCATTCGCTAGAAACATCCCAGAAGCAAGTAGCTCGCACGAGACATCAAGTGGTGATTCAGGCAGCGTTCTACAATAGAGAGAATGGCATGATGGTGCGGCAGTTACTTGGCCAACCATCACCGTTTGTCGGAATTCATCGGAATGGACAATGAGGGCTGTAGTTTGGGGCCCGAAAGTGCAGAAACCAGATTGAGTTTGAGGATTGTATCCACCTTGGAAACATCAATCTTGTGTTGCTATTCGAGTGCACTGTGATGTCTGAACCGTCATTGAGGGCGTCAGTAACAGCAAGGAAAATGCACTTCATGACACATATGTACGACTCTAGATCCCCATCGTGGGCTCGCCTGGCCACAAAGAGCCGGGTTGTCACCAAGGATCCGGATACCATGTAAAAGCCATTGACGTTGCGTTCGGCGACAACGCAGGGCGGCGTCGACGTAGCTAAAGCGACGAACGCTAATGACGGTGAGTTTCTTTTTTTCCAGCCAAGACGCCCCTTGTAGTAAAACAAACCAAGGTTCTGATATTGCCTGCGGTTTCTAGGGCTGCAGCACCATTACCAGAGCCGCATTGCCTGAAGCCGGAATTAAGTTAAGTCTTCATGCTATCTTACTGCAACCGGTTGAGAAGGGCCCATGTTCCAGCGTTTCGCTTTCTTGACCGGGCGCGGTCAAGGCTACTCTGCAACAGCGGTCTCTACCACGATGAGGCTCTGTTTTGATAGAGATATGCTAGCCCATTACCGACTTGCAATACTGATAGCCTTATGTCCGGCTGTGGTCGGGGTCCGACACCATATCGCGACTTGCTGCCGTGGTGTAACAACCTTGGATCCCCTGTTGCCGACGCAGGGGTTCTAGATACCGCCGGCCGATGGTCCCGGACCTGGCTACCTTAGTGCTGACTATCTTGCGGGGAACACCGTACTGTGCGTAAGTATCGCAGTTCACACGGCTATCATAATCATCAATCCCTGAGTGAGATATGCAGCTTAGGTAGAGAGGAGACCTTCCGTCTTCCATACCACTTTACCTCAATTCTCCGCAACCGTTCTTATCATCTACACGCACTGAAAACAACCATGGGACCTGCGCAAGAGATCGACCTCTGGTCGAAGTTTACGAGTGACATTCTGTTAGAGGTCCGAACCAGCATGATGAAGAAGATGCCCGGGTTAGAGGTCGAATCTGGAATAGACAAAACCTTGAGGGAAGGGCCAGTCCGTGTCTCTTTACTTGGCCTCGAGGCGGACGAGCATGACCCGACCTTCCATGGCGGCCCCGACAAGGCAATTCACGGCTGTAAGTAGCTTACTTAGCCACCGCATCCATGCCTACGGTGCTCTGCCGATACGGTACAGACTGAGAAGTGTTCGTCCAGATTGCTCCTCACACTATCCTGGCTGGGCCAAAGAGTATCCTGCAGCAGCAGATCGCTTCAAGCCGGGTGCATTCGGTGAAAATTTTGTCACAAAACATATGAATGAGCGGAACGTCTGCATCGGAGACGTCATCGCTGTTGGCGACGAGGTCGTGCTTCAAGTCAGCCTACCGCGCCAACCATGCTACAAGCTAAACCACCGGTTCCAGCTCAAGAACTTTGCTCCGACAACGTTCAAGACCAGCAGGACCGGCTGGTATTATCGGGTACTCAAGGAAGGCACTGTTAAGGCAGGCGACGAGATCAGGCTCGTTGAGCGGAAGTGGCCCAAGTGGACCATTGAGAGGATTCAGGAATATTTGCACAGGAACCAGGCGGACTTGGCCATGAACGAGGAGTTGGCGGCGGTCGAGGAGTTGGGCAAGGAGAGTCGCGGTGCCTTCCAGCGACGAGTGGCCAAGGCCAAGGCTCAGGAGAAGAGGGAAAAGGGCGATAAATGGCGCAACTTCAAAATTATCGAGAAGTCGATGCAAACCCCGCGAATCGCACTTTTTGTTGTCGAGGCTACTGTCAAACCGGATGAGAAGCCTGAGTATCTACAGCCCGGAGCCCACGCAAAGCTCAAGCTTCCCAACGGCCTCCTTCGGTCTTACTCGATTGTTTCTGGAAACCGCAACAAATTCGAACTCGGTGTGGCCCTGGAGGCCCAGAGTCGTGGGGGGTCCCGTTACCTCCACGAGTCCATGGCTGTTGGAGACGTTCTCCAGGTCGGGAGGATCACCACCGACGTACAGGTCGCCAGTGCCTCGAGCAATCACGTCTTCATAGTCGGCGGCATCGGCATTACCGCCTTCCTGGCTCTCGCCGAGGCCTACCACAAAGTTCACTACAACTTTGAGATGCATTACGCCGTACGTTCGGCCGACGACGTGCCTTTCAGACCACGCTTGGAAGCCCTCGGCGGCAGCGTGCGACTGTACGACAGGTCCGCAGGGGAGAGGATGGATATCGGCCACATCATGCGGACGCTCAAGTGGAACAGCCATGTCTACGTTTGCGGACCTACACGAATGATGGAGGCCGCAAGGAAAGCGGCAGAGGAGTGCGGTCTCGACGAGAGCGACGTTCACTACGAAGTATTCTCTGCAGACACGTCAGGAGACCCGTTCGAGGTAGATGTTATAAACCGAGAGGGCAAGGTGCTCAAGGTTGGGGGGGAGGAGACGCTGTTGGAGGTTCTCAAACGAGAGGTCGGGGAAGATATCGAAAGCAGCTGCGAGGTCGGCAACTGCGGAACGTGCAAGGTCGGACTGAAAAGCGGCCGGGTTGACCACAGGGGCACGGCTTTGACTCCCGAGGACAAGGTCGGATCGATGTTGAGTTGCGTGAGCCGCGGCATCGGAAGAATCTCCATTGAGGTCTGATTGTGTTGGTTCTGGAACGATTATTCCCGAGCACTGAAGTAGTGGTTTATGCCTGATCACTTGGTTCGCTCCTCATATTCTGTACATTCCTCGACTCTGGCTGAGTTTCATGGCATTCTCGCTACGAAAAGCAGTCCCAAGAGTCAGATAGATGGTGGGTAGTATGATGGCTTGGTTATGTTTCCGACGTCCGCAGCTGAATTGGGAAGAGTCTTTACTGCGCTCGGTGTGAGCGGCCGTCATCGTCGATAAGAACTGATACGGCCCCATGCTTGAGACATCGGACCAATAGAAGAACGTACCGATAAGAACATTGACCCCACTCCAACTTTTTCTTTGGCTTGGATCCGGCGAGAATTTTGGCAGCTCCCGGTTCATTTCTTGAGGACGACAAGCACATTCTTGGTGTCGACCACGCTCCCACACCATGTCACCTACCGAGTCCCAAGGAGATGGCTTCGTCATCCTGCCGGTGAAGCTGCCGGCTCTCCCCTCTTGCCCTATTACCGCCCTCCACGAAATCCGCGTCCGTCGGAATGCGTCCAAGATCCCGACCGAAATCGACGACCGGAGTCTTTTCCTCAAGAACGTCCCCGTCGACAGTACCGAAGCCCACTTCCGCCAAGTGTTTGCGGCGCTCGTTGGACCTGGCCGTTTCGAGAGCATTGCATTCGAGAATGAGCGGAAAACCACCACGGCCATTGATCCAGCCCAGGCTGTGAAGGTGACGGGCTTTGGCAAGAAGCGCAAGCGCGATGAGCAGGAGGCAGAAGAGAGAGCAAAAGAGGAAGAGGTTGCCCGGCTGCCTGAAATCTGGACAAGAAGGCTGCGGAAAAGCGGCAGCAGCGCCATTGTTCTCTTGGCCGACGAGAAGAGCGTCGAACTCGTAATGAAGGCCATCAAGAAGACAAGCAAGTCCAAGAAGTTCCCTGTCTGGGGGGAAGGCGTTTCCTCCGACCTTTCCGAGCTCGGCTCGCAATGGATAACGGCGCATATGCAGCTGACACGCTGCGACAAGGCGGCGACGCAGAAGTCGGTACACGCCTTCTTCAACGTCTTCAACCGCAAGGAGAAGGAAGCTGCGGAGATGGCCAAGAGGCTGCGCAACGAGCCGGACGAGGACGGGTTCGTCACAGTCGTCCGCGGCGGCCGTGTGGCGCCCGCGAACAAGAACGAGGCAGAGGAGGCCCGACAGAAGATGGTGGACAAGGCGGAGAAGAAGAAGTCGGAGACGACGGACTTCTACCGCTTCCAGCTGCGGGAGCGCCGCAAGGCAGAGCAGGCCGCGTTGATGAAGAGGTTCGACGAGGACCGGAAGAAGGTCGAAGCGATGAAGGAGAAGCGTGGGAAGTTCAGGCCCGAGACATGATCCTACGGCGGAGCATCTCGTCGACCAACCAACAAAAGATACCCATTTACATAACGCTGTTACACTGTAAGCTCTGTCTTCTGTTCCATACCGGTCTCTTCCCTCTATATGATGACGCACGCGGGGCCAGCGAAGCACCTTGCGATGAAGGGCTTGTCCCGGATTCAGTGGTGCAGTGCCGACAAACACCGCGTTACCATATCTTCTCAAACTTGTCTGAAATCTCATGGAAAAGCAAGGGAGAAAAAAAAAGACCTTCATTTCAGTCACAACCTATCAAACATCAGAGACTAACTTTGCACCAGATGACAAAGGTCGGAGGACCGGCGATAAATGCCAGTATGGCCGTGGCAGATTCGCCGTGCTAGCCATTGGAACCAGAATTGCCCTCGGCCGACTGCCCCTGAGGCCGTCCCACGACGAGAAAGCATTGCACTCAGATGCTTCTTTGGTCAGAGCCAAAGGACCCAACAACATGAGGAGATACTGTATTAATCGAGTCGGAAAAAACATAAGTGCATCCGGTACAGACAGTGACGGGCTGGGCTGGTCATGACCACCACGCCATTCAGCGTCGTCGGCAGAAACAATACGAAGCCACGTGTGTGGTGGCAAGTTTGTGAACCGCCCAGCCTCATATTTTTAAATGTTTCGCCTTTCCCCCCTCTAGTCGTTTCTTCACTTGGTCGTAAAAGGGTATGGCGTCGCAAGCCGCGGTCTCGTGTTTCGCAGCCGGTCCTGGCGGACGATTTGCTGGACCTGCTAGTCCTGGGCTACCACACAGGCGGGTTTCTTCGTGGCCCATGATGCAGGGGATCATTCCAGGAAACGGATTTCCCACTGACATCTCTCTACCTCTCAAATCTCTTTGAAATGTCTCCCTCCCCGACAGGAGTTCACAAACACAGTTTTTATCACATAGACCCCGCTTCCAAAGGATCACAAAAGGTCATTTGCGCATGCCCACATACTTACCTATCCCGTACTGCATGGCGACATCCACCTTGTTTGGCAGACTCTGGCATGATGGTGATTTTTTGGGCATCGTCTCTGGCCTTGCAGCCCCAGGACGACTGGATCGCGAGTCCCGTCCCATGGCCCGGCGCCGAGGTCGGAAGTGGCATAGCTCGAGCTCGGCCGACATCTCCACAACCTTTCATCTCCATTCCCCTGACCTCGAGCGCTGAGACCCTGCCAAGCGATGTCCGTCAATACGCTCCGACGACGTGTCATGGTCAGCTCTGCCGAGAATAGCAGCCCATCAACCCCGTCGTGTGCTCGCCCTGGCCTGGATTTTAGCGCAAGGTTGAAAGTAGAAACATTTGCCTTTACCACACAGACCTTGACGTGATGAGAAGCGACTCCCCGGCAAGTGTCCATGATAACGTGAGAAACCCTATGAGAACATGGGAGGACGAACGACGACTCGCGGCTTAGACACCAGCGCAACGTGTTGCGTACGAAAGCACCTTTTTTTCGCATTTCGTCTCGTGGCACAGCGCGTGTAAGAACAAGAAGCCCTCGCTTCCCTGTTACCATCGCGTGTACCTGTATCAGTCACGCCAATCTGCATCATCGCATGTTGGGACATAGGTATGGAAAGAACAGCTGTTCCATCGAGCCGCGGCGACCGTGCTATCTACTGAAGAGTCAAAAAGTCCAGCCACTATTAGCTTCTTGCGGCTGGCGCTAGGTTCTCCTATTTACTAGCCAGCATCCCCTTCGAGCTAGCCTGTCGACTGATGTGACTCGAAAACCACCACATCGCTCGACGCCCTCGGCGGCCGTCACGGAATCCCCCCAATCATTGTCAACGTATGGCATTCTTGCAATTTCCCAGGCCCTTCTTTCCCGCACCTGATCCGGTGTAGGCTAGGAACCACCCACCGTCAGCTCGCCCGGACCTCGCGATGCTTGGCTCCGACCGTTTTCATTACAGCTGTTGATTCGTAGTGTGCATCATGAAGCCTTCTTTGCAGCCCTCCCCTCCCTTCCGGGAAACATGGGCTGTGCGGCCAACTCAACCCAGCCAGACCGATTGAAGAGTCCGAGAGAGGGCCCCTAAGGATGTTGGTACTAAGATGAGGGGCTCACCTAGTTCACGGAGGCTGTCCTGAGCGTAATGCCGCCTTGCATATGCGCGTGTAAGTGGCTAATCTGGCGGCGGCGCAAGAGAGATGTCCAAATTACCCACGATGGGAGCGCGTGGGCATCATAAGCAGCACTTCGTCCGCCGTCAGGGATGCGGGCTTTCCTCCTCTTCACACAGCACGCACCAGCCAACGACCGTGCCGTCCAGCAGTCTCCGGAGCCGTCCAGCTCGTCCAACGACGTATCTAACGTCAAGTCACTCGTTATACCTCACCTAAATTACATCAAGCTTATCATTCGTTGATTCCTACGCAGCCACTATGGCCCCTTCACTCTTTGCCCTTGGCACGGCTGCCCTCGCCTTGGCTGGTGCCACCGCCGCCAAGCAGTTCGTCCTGGACGACACCTACGACTCGACGAACTTCTTTGACAAGTTTGAATTCTTCGAGAGCAGATACGATACTGGCAACTACAACGATGTCGACCTCACCTCGGGTTACATTAACTACCGGACCCGTGTCGATGCTCAAAAGCTGGGCCTCATCAGCAACGCCGGGGGGGAGGTCTACTTGGGCGCTGACACCCAAAATATCACCGAGTTTCCCGGCGTCGGTCGTTCCAGTGTGAGGCTCGAGAGCAAGGCTATCTACAACAAGTCCCTTATGGTCGCCCGCTTCTCCCACCTACCCAAGCCTGTCTGCGGTGCGTGGCCCGCTTTGTAAGTCTTTACCATGACAATGTTGTACTATATGTGGACTAACGTATCCGAAGCTGGTCTTACGGCGCCCCGTGGCCCCAGAAGGGTGAGCTCGACTGGTTTGAGGGCTGGAACAATGCGGTAAGGACTTAAACCACAACCGCCATGCATAGTCATTGCTAAGAACGCTGTAGGCTGCCAACAAGCCCGCTGCCCACACCTACCACTCGGAAGAGCAGGGCCAGTGTATCATCAGCGAGGTCGGCCAGACTTCCAAGGTCAATACGGCCAACTGTGACCAGTGGGCCCCTGGCCAGTACCAGAATGAGGGATGTGGTGCCACCGCCACATCGGCCGACCCTTGGGGCTCTGCCGATGGTGGTATCTGTAAGTAAAGCTAGACGGGCTTCAAATCCCACGAACCAACGTTTTTAACACCTTTCACAGATGCCGTTGAGTGGACCGACGAGTATATCAAGTTCTTTGGTAAGCCCGACCCTGAACAGCCTGGACTGCACCAGATGGCTGACCTCGCTCCTAGCATGGACTCACGATGCCGCTCCCAAGGATATCGGATCCGACTCGCCCGACACCTCCTCTTGGGGTACCCCTTCCATGCTGATCTCCAACGACAAGTGTAACATTAAGAGCCACTTCTCAGACCAGCGACTCGTGATCAACATCGACTTTTGCGGCGTTCTCGCTGGCAACGAGTTCATCTGGAAGGACCAATGTGCCACGTCCACAGGCCACGCTGTCTGCTCATCTTACGTTGCGCAGAACCCCTCGGTTTACAAGGAAACCTACTTCAAGATCAAGGACATCCGCGTCTTCAAGGAGGGCAGCAAACCCGTGATCTCGACCTCGGCATCTGCATCTGCGTCTGCGTCAGCCTCTATATCCGCCTTGGCTGGCGACTCTCACTCGCAGACGGGCACCGCCAAGGTTACCGACAAGTCTGCTTTCCTCACTGCTTCCGGCACAGCTGCTGGCACTATCACCGCAAGTGTCAGCGTCACCAAGTTCGCGTCAGCCACTGGCTCCGCGCCCAGCTCCATTAAGTCCGGCAGCGTCACCGACGAGGACGTGTGCAATGAGGATGACGATGGCTCTGTCACCCAGACCGCTGTCCCCACCAAGGACATTGTCACTGACAAGAGCGCTGTCGTCTCAGGAAGCGATATCACCAACAAGCAGACCCACGCCATTCCGACGACCACTGCCCAGCTGACCACCTCGACAATCTACACCACCAAGGTCTCGACTGTCACAGCGTGCCCTCCGACCGTTACTGATTGCCCTGGCCGTATTGGCAAGGTCATCACCGAGACCATCGCTCTCTACACCACCATATGCCCCGTTTCGCCGGTGCCTGCTCCCCAGCCCACGGAGCCAGTCAGAGGCAACAACCACAATCATAACAACAGCGACAAGCCCGGGCCCAGCTTGGACATCTCAACCACCACTTTCACCACAGTGTACACCATCACAAGGTGCCCTCCGTCCGTTCCGGATTGCCCTATTGGAGGAGTCACCACCAAGGTGGTCACGAGGTCGGTCCCTGCCGCCGGTCCCTCTGTACCCGTTGTTATCAAATCGATTCCTACCGCCGGTCCCTCCGTACCCGTCATTATCAAATCGATCCCTGCCGCCGGTCCCTCTGTACCCGTTATTATCGAACCGATCCCTACCGCCGGCCCCTCCGTGCCCCTCATCACCAAGACCGCCGTTCCCTCTGCCCCCAACTCCGCCCCGGACGTGATTAAGACGCTCTCCCAGATATCGTCCTCCGGCCTCCCCCCAAAGCCCATCGCGCCCAGCGGCAGCCCTCACGGCCACAACGCCACCATCCCAGCGGCCAAGCCCTCCACGCCAGTTGCCCTCAAGCCCACGGGAACCGCCCCTGGCGCCTCAACCACCGGCTGCTTCGGCCCTAGTTGCCCGACGAAGCCGGTCGTCGTCGTCAACGGCGCCGTCCAGGTCGGCGCCAGCTTCGTGCTCATGGCCCTTGGCGCGCTCGCCGTCTTCGTTTTCTAGAATGGATACAAGTACATACTGTCAGTGGGACAAATATTGCAACGTTTAATATGTACTTAAATGCGTGGGTCAATCAGCAACCCCTTCCAAGGGGAAGCGCGATACTCTGGTTTCATTTGTTGGAAAACTTTGAGCATCCTAATATTTTGGACGCGTTTCGATACCACACGCGTAGGTGCAGTTTTGACCTGAATAGCAATGAGAAAAGAGGTTGGCGTATAAGAGTACCCATGCCCCTGCAACGTGACGATCGCTCATTCTTCTCAAAGGGTTAGGAACAATCCTATCGAAGGTCAACAACCTGCTGACATGGGTGAAAACCGGGGCGTGAGTTCAATGATCGCTGCTTTCATGAGTCCAATTTGTCTAATGGAATTTTGGCCCCTAAGGGCCGATTTTACTAATCTACATGAACGATGCTGTTCGACCCCCCCTTCTCTCGTCCCCGTTGAAAATAAGGGACCGAAGGAATTGCTAGATAAATGTTTTCCCCACCAGCTCGCTCGCTGCAGAGCAACTTTTCTTCTTTTTGTTTCGTCTGCTCCTAGTGAATTTCTTCTCCCCTTCTTCGTCATCGAACGTCTCCCCCATGCTGTCGTCAGACTCAGTAGTAGCTCCCAAGCGACATACTGCCATTGTTGTATTTGCCCATCCGGGGAAGTTCTTTCGATCCGTGAGAATCCCGCGTGCCAGGGACGGGAGCCTATCTACCGCCCTTCTGCAACTTTGTAATTTCCGTTTGATACCGGATCTTGAAGCCATTGCATAATGCTCGCATATCTGGGTACGCCTGCTTAAGCAACTCGAAGCCACCAGGGATGACACGGACGGGCCACGAGTTGACCCTTGACGATCGACTGGCCTTGAAGCAAAGCCAGAAGTAACCGGGGTGCTTAGGATCAATGCAGTAGGCGTAAGCAGAACGATTGGGGTTGGCGTCAATAAACGTTGTGAGCCATTTCTCTGCAATCAATGTCAGTAGTGCTCGGCCACCAAGTGCGTGAACCGCAAGACTCACCGAGATCCGTCTTGGATCGTTTCTCAAATTTCTCATGCTGCATCATTTCGTCCACCTTTCTGGACATAGCCTCAATGTGCTCATGGATCAACTCGTCCAGATCCTTGTAGGTGAACTTGCCGCCCACCCTGAGCAGCTTGCCGACAGAGAATTCGGTCTCCTTTTGGAGCTCAAGGACATCAACGTGCTGGAAGACACCATCGGCAACTTTCCAGGTGATGGCTAGATGATCGTTACCTTTTGAGGAGGGGCGGATGATAACCTCGCCGGCGGCCTGAGTACCGAGCCATTGCTCTGCCTCCAAGCCATTGAAAGGCTTGAAAAGCGGATGCTTGATGACTCTCTGGGTGCGGCCGGTGCTCTTGTCCTTTTCGCGGAGCTCCTCCTTATCTGCCGCCTCCAACCTCTCGTCCCACTGCCCGTGGCCGTGGTAAAGCGGGCGCTTGTATGGGCGTTTGACTTCGGCTTCTCTTGCAGAGAGCTTAGCAAGAAAGTCCTTGTAATTTACCTCGAGAACCTTGGCTTGCACAGTTTGCCCAGTGGTCAAGATACCTCTGACTCGTACGCCATCTGGACCATCGTGGGCCTCGATGCGGCCTTCTATGCCGCAATCCAGCTTGACGATGGCAAAGTCGTCTTTGACAACCCGCACGTTGACAGGGATGATCATGCCTTGAGCTAGGGTATCCTTTGTCTCACCGGTGAACATGGTGAAGATCTCGTTCGGGCCGAGAGGTGCAAAGTTACGGCGCAACTCCTCGTAAGGAGCCTGAAGTTCAGCTCGAATGGTCTCGAGTGTGGCGCGCTTCCTCTGGCTGTAATTCCGCTCAAGCTGCTCAGCATACTCTTCAAGAATAAGCTCGTTGACCTTCTCTTGTTCGTCTTCTTTGAAGAGCTTGCGAACGATAGCTCCTGGACCGTTGTGATCGGTCTCCGCCTTGACGTCTTCCTCGTCAAGTTCCAGAGCGTCTGCCGCCATCTTCCGGCCCAACTCGTAGTCCTCTGGGTGAACACGAGTATTGTCGAGAGGATCCGAAGTGGGATTTGTTGCGTCGTAGTCGATAAACAAGAAACTGGCGCAGTTGTTCCATACTCTGGGGCCCACAACCGGAAGCTTCCCGCTGTCGGGATCGCCGACAAGCTCATCTCTGCTACTAACAGCTCCGCCGTTTGCGTTGATGGCTTTAATGACGCTAGTGGCTTTTCGGGGACCGAGACCCGCGACATATGGTAACAGATTGGCCGTGTAAGAATCGCCAACGGCCTCATTGATATTGACACCGCAGAGATTGACCATGTCGACCATTGCCGATTCAAGGTGCTTGAGAAGCTTCTCTTGAGGCAGCAGATTTTGGCAAGGATGGAAAGCTAGGGAGGTTATATCCTTGCCGAGAGCCGCGTACTCCTTGAGGGGATTTTGCATGTAGTGCGCCAAGGCAATGCAGTATCTTGTCAGGGAGCTGAGAGTAGGGTGCTCGGCGACCGCTCGAGGACTGTCTTTGTACAGACGAGCGACTTCGTCGGTCACGACGATGACTTCGAGCGGCTCGGTACGGTACTCGCCAAGCTCGGGATCATCGAACTCGGGACCCATCAAACCCTTCTCGCTGATCAAGCTCTCCAAGTCTCTTACGAGCTTCTGGGTATCGGCAGACCATCCGCTAATACCAATGGCATCGGGGCGACGTCGGTTGACAATTTCAACGAACTCTTCACGAGCACGCTCGTCACGGGCCAGATTGCCTAGCTTGCCCTGCTCAATAACCCGGCCGTCCTCCTCAACCGAGACCCAGCATGTGGGGTCGCGAGCTGGGTCCGCCATACCGTTTGACAGAGTGATGATGCGAGGCACCGTACCAAGGATCATGCCCTTGGGCTTATACGGTGCTTGATCGAGCCTCTTGGAATATTCCTCACGGCAAGCTTTGAGGACTTCTTCTTGACATGCGGTGCGGAGCGACTCTTTGACACCCTTGGCAATGACCTTGGACAAGCGGGGGACAACAAGGTCAAGCACCTTTTGGCGTTCCTCGTTCCACCGATCAGCAAGTTCACTGTAGTTGTCCGAAATAAACTCTTGGCGCAGTTGGCGCCTGAAGCCTTCGTCATTCTCCAATGTAAGCTTAACCTCAACGAGGCCTTCCTCTTCAGCCTTCATCATCTTGAGATACAATTCCGGCTGGCGAGCCACATCTGCAATGGTTTGGTTGATAAGGTACTTGACCTCGTAGAATGGGTGCGACTCATCGATCTTCTTCAGACCCTTCTCCGTTCGGCGACAACTGATCTCACCCATTTGGTAGAAATTGACTCTGAAATGCTTGCGCATACGAGGGTTGACGAAAAGTTCCTCTGCGTACATTTGACGAGCAGCGTACATGACTGTATCGCCGGTCTGGAACTCCTCATCGGTGAGAGAGTCGGCGAGATCATCCGGGAGCTGACTGTCGTCTTCGGCCCAAACCTTGTTGCCTTCACGAAGAGTGTTCTGAGCGAAACGATCTGGGGTGATACCATAGGCGCGGACGAAACCGAAAGCTTTGCTCCGCCTGACTCTGTCAAAGAGATTTGATTTTGAGCCCGGACGCTTCATTTGGTTGCCGTTGCCGTTGATCGAGGACATATCCTTGAGCTCGGCAGCGTACTGGAAGTGAAGGTAGTCTTGAAGGTCTTGCAGTTCCTCCATCGTCGCAGCCTGGGGAATCATGTCTTCGAGCACGTCGTCCTTGACGTTTGAAGTCGCCTTAAGGTTCTCGAGTGTCTTTTCCAAAGCGTTCCGCTTCTCGATAAGCGACCGAAACTTGATGTCAAGTTCCAGGATACGCCATAAATCATCCTGAGTGAGCAGTTTGTCCGCACTCACAATCCATTCAGGGGCATCGGGATCGTCGCGATGGTCCGGATTCTTCGTCTTCTTCGCATGAATCAAGTAGTCCTTGCGGTGTTGGAAGACGTAGGGGACTTCAACGTCGTCGACAACAAAGAACTCGAGAACCTTGCCGATTGCCTTGGTGAAGGGTCCGTGAAGTTCGGATTGGAGCATCTTTTTGGGCCACATCAAACCCGCAATCCACCGAGCCTCCTCCTTGAATTGCTCGGCGCTAATCTGCAAGTGCTTGAAGGGCTTTCTGTCCAGCTGGAACCTTTCGGGCTCGTCCGTGAATCGGATCTGATTGTCCTCATCGGTCAAGAGCTTTTCCTTTAGCTGCGATGGCTCGAAGACATCTTTGAGCTCGATGACCTGCTCTTCGCGCTCACGGTCCTCCTCTTCGTCCTCCATTTGAAGAGCCCAGTCGTAGTCTTCTCCGTTTCCAAAAATGGCCTCCATGTCCTCGAGGGCGTCTTTGTCGAGACCAGCGGTGTCAACAACACCTCCCACCCCTTTGTCACGGGGTCGGGCGACTTCAGCATCTTCGAGTTGGCGGGCCCGTTCGTCCTCGTCCTCCGGATAGTCTTCTTCGATGAAATCGTCGAATTCGTCAGCTTGGGATCGGTAGTTGGAGCGGTTGTAGGGCCGTGAGTCGTTGGCTTCCTCGTCGTCATCAGAGAACATGTCCTCCAAGCCACGTCGTTCAGGGCCACGGTCATCTTCGTCGCGATGCCCCCGTTTGAGGCGCTTGAACTTCGGCTGCAAGGTGCGTTAGCAAGACGCATGGCAAATGTGGTTCTGGGATTATCGTACCTGTGTGGGCGCTCGGCGTTCGATTTGTTCTCCGATCAGCTCCAAATCATCCTCGTCGAGCTGTTCCTCTTCTTCTCTGTCACGATGCTCTCGCTTCCGCTTTCGCTCGTGGGCATCCTCGTCCTCTCCTTCCTCCTCCTCTTCGTCTTCGTCGACAATGAATCCTTCACGGATCTATAGTATTCGCATTAGTAAATTGCCAAACCGCTGTTCACAAGACTGCCTACTTTGCGCGCCTCCTCCTCATCCTCGTCGTCCTCTTCCTCTTCAGAAGAATCCTCAGGGGCCGCGTTCCTTCTGCGCGAAGAAACGATGTCTTCGTCCATTGACTCCTCATCCTCGTCATCGAGTTCGGCCTCACCGTCAACGAAGTCACGCATTGAGTTGCTCATCCTGATGTTGCCAGGTGTGGAAGTCGGAGCGCGTGTGGCAAGTCACGTCAACTTCTACGGGAACTTTGAAAGCGCGGTGCGCTCGCTGAAGTCAACTGGCCAGACTCCAACTCGGAAAGGGAGAGTGGACTCCACGTCGGCTGTAGTTACTGGGCGTCCAGACGTGATCTTTGAATGGTCGGGAGAGAAGGATGTGATTGGAAGTTGAAGAGAAACACACGTCCTTATTCAGGCAAATTTCAGTCGCCGCTGCTTGCAAGTCTGCGCCTAGAATGATTGAAAGCTTGGACCTCCTAGGTTGCTCCAGCGTGCCTCGTTCGGGACCCAGACTCCAGCCTCGTCCGGCAAGACCCCACTGAGGCTGGTGCGATAGTTATTCCGATATTCGAGATAAGTCTATCTTATCGGTTTATCCGATGCCATCATATCCAAAGCCACGTGCGACCGGGTATGATCCCCTATCCCCTGTTCACTGATGCAAATCCCAAATTTGCGCACAATATCTCAACTCAGATAGCATCCCAGAGCTCAGGCTCACTTACATGCTGCTATTCTCGCACATGACTCTGCTGAATAGTACCTCCCGAAGGATGTGGAATACCTGATTAACACTCGTGAAGGACAACCTCTGTTAAAAACAGATAACGAGCTTACTTAATCAAGTTAGTAGCCCCTGCTCATCGCAGAGCAATAACCTAGCATTGCAATTGCTATGGAAACACCCAGGCATTGCTGCATCGTCAGTGTTGATGGGTACCAGGCCATAATAGCTTTCGGCCGGCCACCTGCAACATTTGGGTACAAGACTGACTTGCATATCTCGCTACGTTCCGGCCCATGCCGGCCACGCTTCCAACACAGAAGTCCGTTAAACAGAGGCGATGCAAGGATAAGCATGTCTGTAGGTGTTGAAATATCATATAACCGTTGTGATTTCGTGACTAGAATGAGCATTGTCAAGTCAAGCGGGAGACGAATAGGGGGGCGCTAATGGTTCCTGCCGGGCCTCTTGTTTATCAACATGACACAAACAAGGGCGTTACAGGGGGGTAAGTAAGCGCTTTTGCAACCAACACGGGCCACGGATCCGTCACTTAATGGTTCGATGGCAAATCTCTGCGCTTGGGCAGCCATCGGGGGTCTGTCAGACAGCAGACGAGACAATGCACACTGAGATTCGAGTCTTGTGTTGGCTGGGGGTGTAGGGAACCACCAATAAGGGCAGGCGGCAAGATACTGAGACACAGGGCCGTTTTGTGATTCAAGACCCCGATGCAGAGACAAAGTGGGATTTCTTCAGTGCTTCACCATTGGCTCAAAAGCCCAAGCCGGCTTATCACATACAATTTGGCAGTGCGCGGCCTCCCCAAGATGGCGCCCAAGCCCCTGCCAAAGAGTTGTGGACTGAAGTGATAGGTCGAGGGGGTGATGAAAACGGCAAACCGACTGGACTTCATTATCGTGTCAAGGGTTACGGTCGACCTTTGACGGATACCTAGGTATTCACAGGAACGGATGAGAAAACGTGCCTATTATTAGATGAGGGAGATGGGGCGCATGTCTCTCTGATAGCGGTTCGATTTGAACTCTGGCTCTGTACAAACGGATACGGATGACAGCAACTTTTCCCCCTTCGATTCTCCTGCACTGTGGCTTTAAAACACGCGTCAAGTCTCTGTCCCGTACTCTGGCGCCGGGTCTCAACGTCGTTCCAAACATTGGCCCGGTCTAGCGGCTCGCTCTAGTTCGTATTCTGACGATGTACCCAGTAACCTTGGGGCAACTTCTCCACCGTATCCGCCGTCGTCGCAAAGAAAGAAGCGGCCAGCCAGCAGAAAGCTAGGTACCTGTATTTGCAGGTACAAAATGGGGGGGGGGGGGGGGGGGGGGGGGGATTCTGTAGATAGCCGCACATTAGACCCCCTGTACGTTAGCCGTACAAACTATTCGTTGGCGCAACCCCGTCCATTAGCAGTGATCTACTCACTGTAGCTCGGCAACTTCCCTAATATGAGCCCGTCACGATGCTAAAGGCAAAAAATCAGAGCTCGTTCTTTCATCGGCCATTTATTCACAAATACATAGCGTTCATACCGATTAGGCAAAATGGACCCCGCATTCGCCAGGAACGCCATACCGCATTTTAGCTACTCTTACACGTGCCGCCAATCCTTACACTTTGTACGGTCGACTTTCACGTTCAGGGCAGCTGACCCATGTGACCGAAAAAAAAAAACGCCCCCCCCCCCCAAAAAATTTCCTTTTTTTTGGCGAAAAAAAAGGGGGGGGGGGGGGGGGGGGGGGGGGGGCATAGGGAGGAACAACGAAACCTTCTACTGGACGGCGAACACAATGGCAACGCTGGCCTGAAGGCTGTATCAAGCGCGTTGCTTATGAGTCGAAATGGGGGAAGGGGGAAGGGGGAAGTCAGAAAGAAGTCCAGTTGCTTCTTGCGCGGGGATTGGTACTTGAAGCCGACTTACTGGGATGACCAGGTTTTGGTATTGGACTACTCCGTAGAGAAACGGGTACAGCCAGCCGCCTTGTGAATCCGAAACCTTCTTTGAGCTCTCATTTGTCGACCTGATGTGCTGTAGACCTGTCTGTGTCTTGACGCAAGACTGGACCGGACCGGACTGGACCGTGGCTGGGCTGGTCGCTCCCCTGCTGCACCTGGTGTGTGGGTGGGTGCGTGGGTGTGTCGGCCGTGTGGAAGTGAGAAAGCGAGTCTTTGTTTGACCTGAGACCACCACTCCATGCATCGTTCTCTTTCCTCGCCTACCCTATCAACTTCTGCTCCCGTTTCTGCTTTCCACTTGACCCTCTCTGCTCGTGCGGTCCTTACTTCTCCCCCCCTCCCCCTCCCTCCTCTTCAAAACATCCCATTCCGACCCACGTAGCACCCATTTACCGGCCGAGAGCGAAAGCATTCACTTCTACGAGGCCTTCTCATATACAGCAACACGGAGCACGTTGCCTATTTCTTGCTATTCGCCCCTCCCCCCTCGCTCATTCTCGGAGTCGCCTCCCTACCTGACCTCGCACCCCACCTTGGCCGAAACGGGAACACCATCGAGAGCAATCACACCAATAAATTTCGAACCGTTCTTACCCCCTCTCGGGCCCCTTTCCCGCAGCCACCTGTCGACCTCGGAGACTGTCCATCGTCTCGTCGCCTGATACTAGAAATACTCCACGCCCACGCCGACGTTCTACTCACCTGGCATTCAGTCACTGAGTTCGGGACCTTCCAACCTTCACACCTCGCCCACACCTTCTCCGACACAACGCCGATTATCGCGCGGTCCGTCCCGGTGACAAGCCGTTACACTCGCTCACACGAGTCGACCGGATTTCTGCACCTTCTCGACTATAGGAGCTTCGGCATCCGCTTCTGCTGCACCACCGCTGCGCAGTCCGCAGTTGACATTCTCGACGGTTTACAAGCTCTGAGACGGCACAGGCCACGGCTCTAGCAGCGCTGCGGAAGAGCAGGTTGTTGGATCACACATACCTGTACCCAACCGGCCAACAGGGCATGACAGCGGCCTCTTCGTCGCTGTATCTGCTGGTGCATTCCAGTTTCACTTTCGGTCTCTTGTACTGAAGCTCTCCGAGTGAGAGTTATTAGCCCACCATGGCCGATCCTTTTGCGCCCCGATCCATGAAGCGCAAGAACGTCAAGGGCCTCGCCCTGACGCCTGCTGCGCCCAAGCCTCCCCCCACCGCTGAGACTAGCATAGCTGGATACGATCCCCGTGATAAGGATGGCGGCGACCAGTCAGCGCAGTTGGAAATCGGCATCGAGTACAAGCTGGATCTGAGACCAGAGGACCTCGAGATTTTAAAGGAGCTCGGTTCAGGAAATGGCGGCACTGTTAGCAAAGTCAAGCATGTTCTGACTGGAACTGTCATGGCACGCAAGGTCAGTAGCTTCATTGGATGCGCGCTTGGGCTCGATATTGACCAGCCTTAGGTCATCCACGTGGAAGCCAAGAAGGAGATGCGCAAGCGCATCGTTCGTGAGCTTCAGATTATGCATGGCTGCTCCTCCGAGTACATCGTAAATTTCTACGGCGCCTTTCTGAATGACCACAACGATGTCATTATGTGTATGGAGTACATGGATGTTGGGTAAGTTCGAGTTCGCCCAGATAGCGCCGGTAACTTTTACTGATTCGTATCTCAGTGCTCTCGATCGTGTGTCAAAGGTTTTTGGTCCCGTTCGAGTCGACGTGCTAGGCAAAATCGCTGTAGCTACACTGGGAGGATTGACCTATCTTTACTCTAAGCATCACATCATGCACCGAGACATCAAGCCGTCCAACATCCTTGTCAATTCCAGGGGAAGCATCAAGCTATGTGACTTTGGTGTTTCTGGCGAACTGATCAATTCGGTTGCAGACACCTTTGTCGGAACGTCGACGTACATGGCCCCTGAGCGAATCCAGGGTGAGAAGTACACAGTCAAGTCCGACGTCTGGAGCTTCGGTCTGACCATCATGGAAATGGCCATTGGCAAATTCCCTTTCAACGCAAGCGAGCAACTCTCGGACGGAGAGTGTGCACCGGCGGGTATTTTGGACCTTCTGCAGCAAATCGTGCACGAGCCCGCGCCGAGACTACCAAAGAGCGATGCCTTCCCCTCGATTCTGGAAGACATGATTCAAAAGTGTCTCTCCAAGGTTCCCGACGAAAGACCTACTCCCCAGGAGCTTTTTGTGAGTCCGAGTCCACCACCGTCGGCGAATCTGCCCACTGATGTTTGCAATGTAGGACCGTGATCCATTCGTCCAAGCTGCGAAGAGAACACCGGTCGACCTCAGAGAGTGGGCGGTGGGGATGATGGAGAGAGACAACCGCAAATCTCACTTGGCGCCTCAACTGTCACCGGCCACTCGTGATCTTCTGAACTCGAATGATTCTCCAACGTACCATGGCGGGTCTGGAAATGATAGATCTCTCGACACGCCAACTTCAGGAGAGATCCCTATAGCGGGTGCTGGTATCATCTCCCCGCGAGAGCCCGCCAGCCACTCCAACCGTTCTCCTACTCGAAACGGGCTCAACCCCTTAAGCAGTCGACAGCCAGGCGGCCATCCTGGAATGGGACAGAGGATTGTCACTACCAATTCTATCCCCAAATCTGGCGAGTACCCGAGCAGCGCCGGCCCTGTGAGCGCCAATGCTGCTTCATTCAGCCTGCCTGTTCGCCCTGCCCCCAATGGCCCTCTGCCGCCTGCCCCTCCTCGAAAGGGGACTCCCGATGACCCAAGACGTGAGAATCGACGACAGGCAACATTCGGTTTGCCACCGGCGCCCAGAAGTTACGCCAATGATGTGTACAATGGTACCTCCAATTAGTTGCAAGAGGGCTCAAACTACATCCACGGTGTTGCGCCTCAACCACACCAACCAAAATCACTGCATAATAGAGCATCAGGCCGCGCCGTTTACCTACAACAACCAGACTCATCCTTCGATCAAGGACCTAGAACCTGCAATGTGTCTGCGCAGACAGCCTATCGACCATCGTCTGACAATTTGATGGAAGGAGCGATCGCGTCAGCCCCGATCTACCCGTCCAAGCGGTCACTGATACCCGGCATGAGAAGTCACGGGAAACTTCGCGCAGACAATGTCGTTGGCTTGGAGGATCCTTTTATCTAGAAACAACCCAGATATGCCGGACTTTGGTACTCTTGCAAAGATCCAACAGTCGGGTAGTTGGTCCGACCGCAGCAAAGCTTCCCCCGCTCTCCCCTTCAGCATCATTTGGCGCACGTATCAATATCATGCTGTTGCAAATTTGGGCGTCTTTTCGAAGCTGTCGACAGCTGGGCTTTTCTACAAAGCTTGGAGAGAATGGCCTTGGTCGATTGCGACTAAGGCAGGGTGGATTGGTCGACTGGGAAGGCCACTCATGTGTGAGATATTGTATCTGGCGTGCTTGGAGGACGGATTTCATTGGAGCCTGCATGCTGTCTAGACAAAGTAAAGAATGCTTGAGCAATCCGCTATGCGCTTCTCACCCCGTGACTTCTCTCTCGGCCAAGCATGTGTCATTAGGTGAACAAACAGCCAAGCGTGTTTAGACCAGCAAACCTGCAGCCTACGCTTGGCTCCATTCATGTTGAAGGCGTCAATTCCCTGCCGCTAAATCCCTCCTCGAGAATGGGAATCAGCTCATCCAGCCGCCGAATCACCAAGTCAGTATGTTCATGATCAATCAAGTGCGCATTGACATCGTTGGCGAGTAGCACCGTGGCCGCACCAGCCCTGCGGCCAGCGGTCATGTCGTCGATTGAGTCTCCAACCATGATCAACTCACTGGCATCGCCCTGCATTACTTGTGACCCTTGCGTAGCCTCGTCCCTAGGACCGCTCTGTGACTCTGCCGGCTTGACCAAACCCCAACTCCGAGCGATGTGCAAAATACCAGCGGGATCGGGCTTGGGTGGGCGGAAGTCGCGGGTAATGATGGGCTCGAAGAGTGATCCCTCAAGAAACTTGCCGAGCAGGTGGGCGACGGGGCCGTCAAAATTGCGGGTGCAAATGCCCTTACGGACGCTGCGGCGGTCGAGGTAGGACATGAGATCGGCCAAACCCGGCTGGGCGACCTGGGAAGCCATGGCATTGCGCTCTATCTGGCGGATGGAATCCATGGCCGTTTCCTGGGCCTCCTGTGTGGGAAGAGCGTAGATGTGGTCGAGGATGTCGACGGACTTGGTAATGCCGAGAGCCTGGCGCATCTCGCCGAACATGTAGGTTTGGGGCTCACTGGTGTTTGTTAGTGAATAGCAGGCAGAGTAACGGAACGACGCATGAAGATGGGAGTTTATGTTTGAGTCTTCCACGGATGAATTGCGTATCAAAATGGGGGAGAGAAGTGCAGGACTGGCTCGGGTTCGGGCATCTTTCGCAATTCGAGAAAGAGACAGAGAGAGAGAAAGAAAACAAAGGGGGGGGGGGGGGGACAATGCGACTCAAACAAATTGCCTATCAAGACATACCATAACGTTCCGTCCATGTCGAAGACAATGCCCTTGAGTCGAGGTGCGTTTGAGTTGGCCGCGGCGCCGGGTTTCAACGGAGCAAACTGCCGGCGAGTAACTGCTGCCATAGTTGACACGAACCTCTTCATAGAAATAGTTATGCTATAAATAATGGTCGATGGTGGTGATTAGAAGAAGAGGGGAAAACCGCAGAGTGTATGGTATTGGAGTCTTGGTCAACTGTTGTCGCGATATTTCGACAAGTCGATATGAATCCTCAAGTTCTTGTGGAGTCTGTTAACTAAAACGGATAAGAGAGTCAGTCGGCTGGTAACACAAGGTACCTAGGTAGTTGGGTGTGTCGCACCATAGGTAGTATAGACCCCGGCATGGGTTGTTGCATCGATGGTGGGCATGGGGAATAAGGCAGAAGGTCTAGGTGGGGTGTGGGAGGAAGGAGCTTTCATACATATTCCATGTGACGTGCCGCGTGCCCAACCTATAGAATCTTGAGAGCAGCCAAAGCTTGCCGTGCGAATGACCAGCTGTTGCGAATTCATTCAGGCGCCTTTGCAGCTGGCAATAAATAGGGCCCGTCATCGCTGATTTAGAAGCTGTGCCATTTCACGGGGATATTAAACTCTACGTCACCTAAGACCTAGCAGCGACCGCCACACGTTCATCCCTACCGCTACCCCTACATTACATTGGACCGAACCTACCTAGAACAGGCGACTCCCACAAAGCTCCCTCGTCGAGAGCGCATTCTAGTTCCACGATCCAATACGGCTAGCATTTTGGGTGCTGCGCAACACCCAGCCGTTATGAGCTCGTCGAACACAACCCCATGGCCACCTAGGCGGCCGTCAAAACGGAGCGTGAGTGACACGTGCTGGGACGGGAAGTGTGCCTTGTCGCGATCTGTAGCTGACCCGCGATGCGACCCCAGAAGCTCCGAAATGGCACCTTCATCGTCGCAGGCACCGGCAAGCGTAGCCGCCGTCAATTCTCCCTCCGCGGATCAAGCATCGAGATACCGCAGCCCGAAGTGAATGGATACCGGTCCTTGCTGACCGCCGAGACCACGGGCGAATCCATCGATGTGGTCAAACATAATATCAAAACCACCGCACGCCACTTCTGGGCCTGGCTCAGGTCGCCGGCAGGGAAGGGTGTGCTAAAATGCACCCTGGCGTACCTCCTGGGAAGCATGGCGACGTTCCTCTCGCCCATCTCGGCCTTTCTGGGCAAGCCCGATGGAAAACACGTTGTCGCGACTTTGACGGTCTACTTCCACGCCAGTCGCACGTGGGGTTCCATGGTCGAGGCCGTTGCCATCGCCACTATTGCCGTTCTATACGCTGAGCTTGTATCCGTGCTTGCAATGGCTTTCTCTGTTGTTGTAGGAGGGCAGCTTGGGCTCATACCACTTTCGCATGTCCTCATCCTCACCTTTTGCATTGGCGGCGGTATGGGCTTCATCGGATGGGTGAAGCAGAGGCTGAACAACCCCCTGGTCAACGTGGGCTGCACTCTTTCCTCGATCGGCATCATATCTGTTGTTACTAGAGAGGAGGCCATCCATGAAGGGCACTTTTCCGAGGCCAAGATCGTGCAAGTTTTGAAGATGTTGGTTATGGGTATCACGATCACCGTGACAGTCAATCTCTTGATATGGAGGGTATCGGCGAGGGCGCTTCTGCGTGCTTCCGCGAACTCTGCTGCCGTATCGCTCGCGGACATGCTCTCCATGATCACTCGCGGCTTCTTGAACGGCTCCGAAAGCGAGATCATGTCGGGGGACTTCTCCCAGGTCGCGAGGCTGTACAAAACTACGTACGGTAAGATGACGAAGAGCCTACGAGAGTCCAAGTTGGAGCACTGGGTATTGGGTCGTGAGAAGATTTACAACCTGGAAAAGGCCTTGGTGAAGTCACTGGAATCTCTTTCGCAAGCTATAGGAGGCTTGAGAAGTGCGGCCGACACGCAGTTCACTCTGCTCAAGGAGATACCACAGGACCCCATGGCTGGACAACTGTCTCCTGGAAACACAGTATTCTCTCCAACGTTGTCCCGCGCCATGTCCCAATACCTCAAGGGTGCTCGGGACCGATTTGCAAGCCTAGCGTCAATTGAGGAGGACGACGAGATTGACGATGATGACAGCCACCCAAGTCCTACAGAAACGACAGATGGGCCGCCAGCACCACTCCCAACATTTCGTTCGCCATCAGAGATCTTCGAGCTTTTTATCGCGCTGCTGGGCCCTTCGATGAAATCTTTGGCGTACACCCTATCAGAAATCCTCAGGGAACAGGCTTTCGCTGAAGGGGCAGATTCTACGGTAACAGTCAACCCCCATTTCAAGCATAGCTTGCAGGACGCCATGATGCTATACAGCAACGCAAGGACATATGCCCTTCAAGAGCTTTACAACAGTATTGAACTAGGCAGGGCACGATCCGAAAAGATCCAGGCAGATATTGAGGAGGTCGCTGCTGCCTGCGGACACTTCAGTTTTAGTCTGCAGAATGTTGCCGAGGACATCGACGCATATCTAACAGCCCTGGAAGAATTGAAGTACGCCCGTGAAACGGGCTCTCGCAGCTGGAACTGGCTGAAGATTTGGAGGTACTTCTCATCGCCCGCAAAGCCCAAGGAGGCCGACCCAAACAATCTAGACACCGAGCGCTTGCTGCAACAACCTATGGAACCCGCCGAGCAGCCTGTGCGTGCTATCAGGAAGTCAGCCGTGCCAAGAGGTATCCCGGATACTATGATCAAACAAAGAGATACCTTCAGTTGGAACGCTGCGCCGAATGCAAGCAGTATCATGAGATTTGCTTCGCAGCAGCTTCTTAAATATTTGAGGGCCTTGGCGCGTGATGACAGTAAGTTGATGAGATCATCCCATTTGGCTGTAGCATTGCTAACGGCTCTTTGCAGTTCGATTCGGTGTCAAAGTAGGCTTTGGTGCCATGGTTTGGGCGGCCTGCGCCTTCATTCCGGCAACAAGACCGACATACCAGCACTGGCGCGGCGAATGGGGTTTGCTATCCTTCATGATTGTTGCGTCCATGACGCTTGGAGCGGCCAACACCACTGGGACTGCGAGGTTCATCGGCACAATTGCTGGAGTCAGCTTTGCTATTATAGCCTGGGCCCTCAGCCAAGGAAATGGCTTTATTCTTGCATTTTTGGGTTGGATGGTCAGCTTTTTCAGCTTCTACATGATGTTGGTCAAGAGCAACGCTCCCTTTGGCAGGATTACGCTTCTTTCCTGGAACGTCACTGTTCTCTACGCCTATTCGTTATCGCAAAAGGTAGACGATGACGACGACGACGAGGGCGGCTCGAATCCTCTCATGTTCGAGATCTGTTACCACAGATTCGTCGCGGTCTCGCTGGGTATTCTCTGGGGTATCTTTGTTTGCCGCGCAATCTGGCCCATTTCAGGAAGGAGGAAGTTCAAGGAGGGCCTATCGGTGCTCTACCTCCAGTTGGGGCTCATTTGGAAGAGAGGCCCGCTAGCTATACTTCTCAGGAGTGACAATACAAGGTCGTACATGAGGGCAGGCGAAGAGCAGGCGCTACAGCGTTACGGTAAGGAGCCACCCATGGCACAGCGATTCGACTATGTTAACACAAAGTCCAGCCTTCAAGCTCGAGGCTTTGCGAAGCGCTGCAAAAAGCGAATTCGAACTTCGTGGCCCCTTCCCCGATGCCGCTTACGCTCGCATCATGCAGTCCACCGGTAAAATACTGGACGGCTTCCACGCCATGCGGTTGGTGACCTCTAGAAGAGGCCAGCTGTCCGCTGGCGAAAGGGCGTTGCTTGAATATACGGCATCAGAGCGGGCACAGCTTTGCGACCGCATCTGCCACGTGTTCCAGGTGCTCGCCAGCTCTATGATGCTTGAGTACCCGCTTACCGACGCGATCCCCTCGGTGGTGGGCAACAAGGACCGGCTGTTGGGCAAGATTTATCAGTTCCGGAAGAATCACCAACCGCCGTCCCCTAAGATCGGAAATGGCGAGGAAGTACAGCCGCAGACCAGCGGCAACGGATACAACGACCAGATTACCAAGAACAATGTGGTCGTGGAAGAAAAGGACTACGCGCTACTGTACGCATACACCTTGGTCACAGCCCAGGTCGCGCAGGAACTGGAGTGCGTGCAGCGGGAGGTTGAGAACCTGTTTGGCGTCCTTCACACCGAGGCGTTTTTGCTGCAATAAACATATGCCCGTTGCGCCGGAAGAGATACGGACGGATCGTGTCGACGAAGACTCGCTGATCGAAGCCGAGGGTTAAAGAGACGGAAAGGAAGAAAATAAAAAGGGACGAATGACTGATGAAACGGGGCCTCGAGCTGACGTTTGGTCTTACTATACACACACATGCATTGTTACTGGGGATACCTCTGCAGATGAGCCCGCCATCCAAATACCTGATTCACTTTCTTTGGGGGCGGCGGGGGCCGAAAAAGCGATATGGGCATGAGAATACAAGGCATGGATACATATTTATAACTACATAGACTAGCCGTAGTAGCCTATAACTATCGTTATACCATATTTCCTCGGGGCGGATGTGGAATGTGAGCCCGCGGGTTCGAATGATGCCGGAAACATGGCCCCATGATGGGCGATCCCTTTCGGGATGCGTGCATACCCCCCCGCCAGGAGACAAGCCACGTAGCCCAAGCGGCGTCTGACGTCGAGACAGCGTCCTGGCTATGCCAGCCGCAACTCCAAGGGCGCCAGGCCGATGCCAACGTCAAGGTCTGGTATGCGTGAGTTCGTCAATTATGAGATATGGAGGAGTTGCAACCCTAACTATACAATTAGCAACAAAGCTGAGTATGACCCCGAGCCATCCCAAGCTCGCCCGGCAACCGCGACGTATCATGTACGTGGACGCAGACAACAATCCCCAATACTTTTTACACGGATCTGTTGAGCATACACCACCAAACAAACTGTATGCCCCGAATCGAACCGATTCTTCCATCTCTTTGATTCCGTGCGTCATCTCTTTGGCCAACAGTCTACTAGGGACACTTGCGTCGACCCCCCATCATGTATTACCCTCACAGATCAGATCCCGGGAAAAGAACAGCCGCGCACTATCTCAACGCCATGATGAATAACCGCGGAATCCTCCCATGAATATCCGTGAGTAAATGGCAACGTATATGGTCGATAAAACAGCCTCAACTCCAAGCTCGCTGCGTCAGCTTCATCAAAATAAATGGCATCGTATATGACAAAAAATGCGGAAATGTTCTCCTAGTTCCAGCCCTGCATGCGTTCGTTGTCCTCGTGGATGTGGAAGCCAACGCCGCCGTCTGCGCCAGGGACCTGCCAGCCGCGCTGGGTGCTAGGATACTCGGAAGGCTGGCTGCTCACTTCGGAGTGGATATCGTCATCGGCCGTCGGGGTGAAGAGCGGGTCGATGTTCTCGCCGTCCGACATGTGGTCCTGATCCTCGATGCCTGGCCAAGGCTCATCCTCAGGCAGCTGGATCTGCCGAGAGTATGATGAGTCGCCCTCTCTAGCTGGAACTGGCTGAGCCGCCATCTCGACACTGTAATCGCTCTCGTCGCTCTCGTCATACGGGTTCGTACTACCGTAGTCTGGATCCAGGTTTTCATCGTCCTCTGTAGGTGAACCACCCACGCCGCCGCTTATGCCACGTGGGCGTGTCTCTGCCACCGGCGCGTTGCTATACGGGGTGGCATAGTAGTGTGGCGTGATGCCTCGAGTCGATGGATGACGCTCATCAGAGGGCATTACACCAGGCATGGGGCTTGGTGATACGGTCCAGCGGGGCGTGTTGAGGGGTCGGCTCGGAGAACGAGTTCGGCGCCGTTTGTAAGCTGTCATAATATTCGGCGGGCTAGTGCGGATATGAGCAGCCGCTCTCTGCTGTCCGAAGGAGGATACACGACGTTTGATTTGCTGTGACGGCGAGAAATTTGCAGGAACTACCGGAGGCAATGAGGTGGTACGGATGTAGGAGGGTTTGGATGATCTTCGCTCCCGTGCGGGTGTTTGACCACGGGCCATCATGGGACTAGAGGACCGCATCGAAGATTGCATCGCAATTTGGTGTAGAGAAGGGGAGGCTGATACGCGCTGACCAGCCTGTCGTATACTCAAAGATGACTGTGCACTTGGGGTCTCGTCAAGCTGGTCATTCCACATCCAGTAGTCCTCTCGTGCGTCGGCCTCGGGTACGGTTGCTTGGGAGTCAGGATAAAAACGGCTGACTTCTCGGAGCCGTTGCCAGTTCCAGCCACTCTCGTAGGCTGGCAGATCTTGGAGGTAGGCCTCAGGCTGAGTGATGAAGAGACGAGGCTCAGAAGACCGCATGATAACTGAGTTGAGGAAAGATACATCCCAGAGAGCAGGTGTGATCATTTCTGCCGGGGTCAAGAATCGGAGGCGGGAGTCTTTGTGGATCTTACGGAGCGGAACCCATGGCTGTTGCAAGCCCAGGAAACGACTCGTTTTGCTATCAAGACTGCGCCGCCGTGAGACCGAGCGCGAGCCGCCCGAGAGCTCGACAAAGGTAGTGCCAAAGGCAGCGTGCATTGCTGCCTGTACACTTCTGGCGTCGGATCCCTTGATGGAAATGGTGCGCACCAGGCCGCGGCTTTCCAGTCTCTTGTTGATGATGCTCATGGAACTGCACGCCTTGGCCATCAACCATTCGTAGTCGTGGCCTGGATCAGCCCACTCCGCGCAAAAGGGCGATTGTGCTCTCAGAGTCGCAGAGCTCATGGTGTTGGGCATTTGCGTCCACTCATCCAAGCTTGAAGGGCCTTCCGACTTGAAATCCTGGAGCTCCTGCCAGACTCTCTTCAAGGGGAAAGGCAGGAACACAACCTCAATTTCCCAAGGTCGAGCATTTGTAGGGAGTAACGATTGAAGCTGAAGGATCTGAGACTGCAACAACTGGATCTGGCTGAATATCTCACCCGAGTGCCCGGCTCGGGTGGCGGTACTAGTTGCAACCGAGATGATGCTGTTGGTCGACTCATCAAAGGTTTGACGGTCAACGCGACGGCCTGTAGTACTGCTGTTATCGTTCATAAGCTTCTCAACCTCCTCAACCCGGACTTCAAGGTCGGTCACGCGAAGGTCGGTGGCGTCGTGCTTCTCATGACACTCATCGTGGCCTGCAGCAGAAAATGAAACGTTTTCCAGCCTTTCGAGGCGGTGCTCGTGTCCTTGAACCGTGTCGGAAAGGTGCCGAAAGGTATCCCGGGAGGGTCCGGCAAACACAGCATCGACCTTTCCAAAGGCGCCTGGAGACTGGGGAGCCTTGGGAGTAGCTGCGCCGCGTTCGCTGTGAAGCGTCACAGTCCCGGCATCGTGCTTGGCTTGATGATCCTGCCGGGCGGGCGAGTTTAGAACCTGGGACCTGTCCTTGCGTGGAGTTTGCACATTGGAAGCAGCAACACCACTAAGTGTCTGGAGACCTTTTCCGGAGAACGGACGAAGATAACGAGCCTGGCTGGATGATGTAGTAGAGCTGGGTTGAGATTGCATTAAACACTGGGCTGGTATGGGCGGCAACGCAGTATTTCCAGAATGGGACTGGATGAAGTCGCCCCAGCATAACGTATCCTGTAGAGTGGATTCGGGCCGCTGTGTGGAATGGTCCTGCTGGCGAGGCCTGATATCCTCGGGCTTCTTTGGGGATACGGCCATGGCAGCATCCAGGTTCACAAATTCCATGGTCGGGGTGAGTTCGGTGGGCATCCGAAAAGACATATCCGGCAGCTGGACCGGGCTGAGAGGCTCCCTGGACATTCTCGGTCTCTCATTCTCCTGGCCGCCAACCTGGGCGGTGGTCGTGGGATGAAATGCGGGCGTGGGCGTGGGCGTGGGCGCCGGCGCCTCGCTCGCGGCGCGTCCATCATCGTGGAAGCAGGCGTGATGCGAACACATGCACCAGACGGAATTGTCGGTACCCAGGTTATCCGTGTATGCTCTCCCGACAGCAAAACGGCTCCAGAAACGACGGCATCCGCACTTGGCTCCATTGGCGCCGGGCGTCAAGTCCACGTAGTTGCAGGCTCCTCCGGGCAGGTGGCCCGGGTTGCGCTGGGCAGCGCCATCATTATAGATATCGAAGAAAGAAGAGCCCGGCAGAGGGGGGTCAAATTGTGTTGTTGCCATTGGCGGCAGCGATATTCATCGGGGAGGTTGGGCGGCGCGGATCGGACGGCGATGGCTTAGACGGGCGCGGGAACTCGAGGGTTATTGGGATAAACCGGGATGGGAGGTCGACGACGTTGATGTTGGAATGAGAGGAGGGAACAGTGTTTGGGAAGGAGGAAGATGGAAAATCCCTACGCGGCCCAAACCAAGGCCCAGCTGGGTCGCAATCCGAGAGACCTAGAAGAACATCGCAGCTGCTGTGGTCGTTAGCCCTCTGCCCGCTCTCTAGGTATAACACCAAATGCACAGGTTAGAAAATCGATGTTCGCAAGCCAACCCAGGATAATTCTCAGACATTGAGCAGACGCACCCAAAACGAACTGGTTATTGGACGAGTCGGAATTCAAGCTGGCAAGAGGGAGTCGTCTCTTTTATATTTGCACGCGCCAATCCGGAAAATGGTTGCGCAACTCGAGAAAGGTGGAAGGCGGACGAGTCTGGCGGGCGATGGAGTGGTGGAGGACGATGTGTTGTTGATAGAAAGTGAGGCGGCCACTGGATTGGGCAGCGCGAGCACGATACAAGGACGGGAACCCAGGATGTCGGTTGATGGCGGGGGGTGCGGGAAACGGGGCGCGATGAGTGACTACCTAATACCAACCTATCTGTACAAAATGATGACGGGAAATGTGGAGAAGAGAAACAGTCGCGAACTACGGCGGCTTTGCTCAGCTCTGCTCTTTCTAGGTCACAGTGTGTGAGTGTGTGTCAATGTGTTATCGGGATGAGCGTGGCATGACATGGCATGGGGGCATGTAATGCAGATGCAGGCTGGCAGAATGACTCGAAAAGAAGCTGCAAGGGTTCCTAATATCTCGGGATCTCGTTCTGAGGTTTCTGTCTGCTGTCTGTGAAAATGGCATTGCTATCTATGTATGAGAGGTCGGCGGCAGACATCTATTATTGTCGAGGTGTGCCTGGCTTGTAATCAATTTAGGTGCGATGGCGGTACGTACTGCGGCATGGAATGTGGCTCGTTGTGTCCTTCAGCTACCCAACCCGCTGCAGTGGGCGCAGCCCGCTGTAAACCAGCAAGAGGCGTGCATCAACAAGCGCTTCCACAGTGCAATTCCTTAACAGACGGCAAAGGCCTGGAGGCTTCAAGCAGCAGAGCAGAGCAGGGGGATGAGGGAAAAGACTGGATTCACGACCAGAACGCGTCCCCCATGGCATGGGTTAGTGTGTCCAGGTGGCTTGCAGACCCTTGCAAGCTCCATGTTCCTGAGGGGCCGGATGGCATGCAGCGGAAGCTTCCCATTGGTCAAACATGCCAGCCTCTGGGCGACTCGAATCACCTCGTCTGCCTACCTACCTACTACGTCGGTAGGAACCTAGGTGTGTAGTGGATGCGAGGCGGTGTTGTATCCTTTCCAAGTTGTAACTCCAACATTCACAGCTTAGCAATATTGCCAACTGGGAGCCGACTCTCCTGCAGTGACCTGCAACCCGTTCTGCTCCCCTGCCTGTTTGGTTTCAAACAATGCGCTCCACAACCACGACTGGGGGGATGAGCGATTATAGACAGGTGCGAGGGCGAAAAAGCAACGACGAGGCTGCTTGTTCCACTCCAGCGATGGTTGACTCGGCTGGATCGGCGGGGCGCCCGACTTCTTTTCTTTTGCCATCAAGAGTCTGGGGCGGCGGCAAGATGGTTGACTGCACACTCTTACCTCCTTGGCACCCCTCAAGACGCCTAGACGAGATAATGACAGGTGGGTGAACAGACTTCCACCGGGACAGGGCCTTGATTGATAGACATGTGGTATGGAGTCCCCCTTCCCACGGCTCCAGGCTGACGTTCGATGATGCTGCCCATTCGCAACCGCGAGGCGTCCGAACCCCCGTCGATCTGCTCACGGCAAGGCGTCAGCCATGACTGATTGGTCCCTCGGTGGTGAAAAACGACCCTTCGAGATGCTGCTGGCCTTGTCCCCCGGACAATTGCGCAATTTTGGCCAAAGCCTCGCGGCGCATCGTTGGCTACAATCAACGAAAGTAAAAGGTGTTCAAGGTGAGAAAGACATTCCCTGCCCCCTGCGTTCGTAGTGTACAGTGTGAAGGGCGGTGGATGGTCAACATGAGTGATAGAATATTTTACTGCTTGGTCGATGACTCGCCGTGATGCGCCTCTGTGGACGTGTGTCGTCTCGCAAACCGCGTCGCCCGGGACTCTGGTTAATTACACACGCATGCACACACCATTATTTGGGTTCGCCAAGTGTTGTTCGTGTCACCCTTCCCGTTAGGAGTCCCGCTCGGAGCCAAGACCCCCCCCCCGCGCATTCACCACGTCTGCCCGGTTTATCTACGGTAGTCGAAGCTTCAGAGGGGTGTGTCTTTGCCCATCATGCACAACTAATGGTATCTTCTGCTATACCTGCGTTACAAGTACTGGTTATGCACACTACAGTGAAACCGGGATAAAGACGCCTTCGATTGTCTAAGCTCGATCATATCTATATGGTCTCTGTAGATGCCCGATAGCTCCAACCAACCCTGTCTGATTATGATGCTGAATGCTGACACACAAATCACCCGCTGGAAACACCAATATTTCAGTTCAACTCCCGCTAACTCATGCAGTAATACACATCTATCGTGTACAGACGCCCATTCCTAGTCGTTGGCCATGGTTCGAGAGGTCCGAGATGCAGTTGAAAGTCGCGCGTCATCAGACCTCGCCCCAGCTTCCCATAGGACCAACCGAGGCGATGACTGATCCCGTTCCGATGGACCCCCCAATGTCCCAGTAGTGGCGCGACGAAACGCTGCTGCGTCTCGCGGACCGCCGTGTGCTGTGACTAGCACAGCTAGACGCATGCCGCATAGCAGCGGGGCTAGACGGCGTCGTCGCCTTGAATGTCCTGCGCTCTACCGGTCGGGCTCGGGAGACGAGCGGGTGATGCTGGCGCACCCGCGCGGCTTTAGCTGCTGTATCTGGTGTGCTTGAGGTGGCAAGGTGGGAGGTACCGGTTGTGAAGGCAGCGGACGGAGTCGACCGCGAACTAAAACGCGATCGCAAATACCGGAAGACGAGGTTAACGTCCAGGTCTTGCTCCCACTCCTCTTGCGTAAAAGATGTGGGCATTGGGGTTGACTCATCCCTACTTAGAAGTGCGGGAGGATCGCACTGGGGCCGGCCGGTGGGGATGTTGATGGGGCGCGCGTGTTGAACCATTGTTGGCTGGAACTCGGGCATCTTCGTGGACACTTCCTGTACCTTGGGAGCCATTGGCGTATCAGCACCTGACTCTGGGATGGCTGGCAAGCCGGCGTAGGGAATAGGCATCTGTTGCATGCGAGTGTATGTCGAAAAGGCGCCAGCATGGTGATGCGACAGCTGGTTGACCATTAAGCCAAGCTCTTTTGCTACGTGATCCAACGCCCGCACTTGCCAAGATGAGTCATTGGTCTCCTGAATTGGTGTGCTGGATAGGTCCGCGCCCGTCTTGGGAGTTGTTGACAGGTCATCGTCAAACAAAAATTGCTCTCCCAGCAGAATGGAGAGTAGTCTCTCGTCGATGCCTAGGTCGTTGAGGACCTTGCGGGTGATACTGGCGAGCAGACCCCGCTCGTTATCCTTGGTGGCGTCAGCCTGCTCATAATGCCAGTCCATACTGTCAGCATCATCTTCGTTCCCCATTGCACTTAGGCTTGCAACGTCCTCGGCATTTCTGTCTTCCGCCGCCACAGTTGGCCTGATAGAGACCATGGACTGTTGTCGACGTCTCGTCTCTCTCCTGATCTCTTCCAAAAGAATTCGACTCTGTTCTAGACGCCAGGCCTCGATCCTCTGTAGCTTGTGTGTCTCTTGCTCTTCTTCGACTTCCATCTCAAGCCGGGCTAGATCTAAACTCTCGCGGCGCGTTCGCACGCGCTTGGGGTTGAATCTCTCAAAGGCGTATATCTGCTCCTGGACCTCAGGACCATCTAGCCTGAAAGACCCCAAGCCATCGTGGGCAGGAAGCACGGGAGCACTCTGGGCGGCAGCGGCACCCGCAGAATGGGTATAGAGGCTCGGGACCGTCCGAAATTCGGGTAGATGGCTGTCAAGACTGTCGAGCTCAGCATCGTCTTCGCCCAACTCTTCCTCAACGGCACTCGAATGCACGCCGGAATGCCGGGACTCGGTGTCGCGGGCTGAATGTACGAATGTGTTTAGACTGCCTATGTCACTAAGCCTCGATCGGCCCGGCGTAGTGAGAGACTCGTCTTGTTCGCTGAGGTACGACGTTGTTGTCGTGTCATCAGCAGGCTCGAAGAGCACCCACGAGTGGGAGGGGTCGGTAGCAGCTGGGTCTTCGACGTGGAGCTGGGGAACATCCCGCTCCTCTTCCTGCAAAGGACGGGCGGCACGCAGCTGAGACGGCCGCCTCGTAGGTTGATGGAAAGCCATGATGTATGATTTGTTTGACAAGTTGTGAGGTCGACGGTTTAAGGGCAGGAATCAACCATAGACTGGTGACAGGTAAAGCTGTGCTCGTCCGATAAGGAATAGGCGAACAATCACGATAAGACCCCCCGGTCGCGATATCGCGGTGACGCCTCGGTAGCGGCACCTCGTATTAGTAGCTGGGTGTCCGTTCGTAGTTTGACAAAGTCTCGAAGTCGAATGATCAAAGCAAAGAGTTCAGGTTCGAGGCTGGTTAAGCATTCGTAATAGGAAAGAAGTCAACTGTCGGTCGGTCAGACGCAGGCCACAGCGGATATATGTGGCAGCAATCTACTGGGACCAACAAATGATAAGAGGGATGGAAAGGAAGAATGCGGGATGTAGGATAAGAGGGTAAGGGGCCTTGGGGGGTGAGAGGGGTGGGTTCTCATGGGGGCCATGACGGATGGGTCTGTCTCTGTCACTGTCCCCGATTAAGGCGTCACCGACTAAGAGCGGGCCAAGTACCGCAGTACAACCACCTACCACTTCGGCCATGTACCTTGCACTGCTCGACGTTACGAGTAACCCCGAAACAAGTGGGCGAACTCGGCGGAAGAGCGGAGCAGGCGCGGTATTCTCAGACAACACACCTCCAACCAGGAAGGACGACTCGTCAGAATGGCGCAGGGAGAAGAAAAGAGCAGAGACTGGAGGGGCGCACCACATGGGACTGTACGGATACTACTGGAAGGAAGGGGGGGCAGGCGGGTGAATGGGGCAAGGTCAGACCGGAGAGATAAGTGGATGGATGATGTGCTCGCGTGCGACCAGCAAGGGATCCAAGGGTAAACCACACCCAACTTCAAGGAACCTTTGACTTTGATCCATGAGTTTGGGACATTGGCTCCGTACACTGCAGAGAGGCAGAAAGAAGCAAGCTGATGGGGGGGAGGGGGCTCAGGTGCCCAATAGCCAGAGAGAGAGAAAAAAACATGACAAGGGAATACAAGCTCCGGGCTTGCTGTTTCTGGGCTCCGAGGGGGAAAAGACAAGAAAGGAGATCATGGACTACCAAGCCTACCCGTCTACAATACTTCAGATGCGCCCTGAGCGGTGGACATGACGAGACGTGGCGCTAAGGAGCTTTGAACTCTGTTTGGTTGAATATTACATGTAGACTCTTCTGCGTTCGCGGTACCGGCTGGAACGGACGAAGTGAGGTAATCCTCGTGTCATTTCTAGCAGAGACCACCCATCTCACTCCTCTTGACTCTCAGTCTCCCATTCTCACCAACCCGTTTGCACAACTGTTGCATGCACCCCAGACCGGAGACCCGGAGCGCTAAAAGGCAACCTCTGAACACCAGACGGTGCCCAGTTTACATTATGCCTTCTAAGTGTGGTCCGACTCAGGAAGAGAGTAAGGCAAGAGGTCACATTGGCGGTCAACTTCGCTCTCAACAAGTCAGACCCATGCCGTACCATGATGCATGTTTGCCCCCCCCCCCCCCCCCGCGAGATGACTTATAGAGACGCAGCACTGCTCGCCTTCGAATTGTCCGTGAATTACCTAAGCGCGCGGAGGTTTTCGGAAAAAAAAAAAGCTGGGAAATTTCCGAGCCCCCCGGCCCTTTGTGGGGGGGGAGAATTTAAAAAAAAAAATTTTTTATTAAAAAAAGGGAAAAAAAATCTTTTTAATGGTAAAAAAGGGGAGTTGTTTGTAAAAAAGGCCCCCATCCATTTCCCGGGCGCCTCCCCCGGAAAGTCCCCCCGCCCGGGGGGCCACAAATCCCCCCCCCCGATTTTTTGGAAGAAAAGGGGGGGGAGTGCTCTCCCCCCCGCCCCCCCAGGAGGGGGGTGTTGCTGGGGGGGGGGCCCCAGTTT